CGGGGGCCCACCCCGCCACCCAGGCGTCTGCACTGACGGGGAACCTAACCTGAGACCATTCCCTTGCAGAGGGCGCCCACCCCAGGGGCCCCTCCGCCCCCCGCCAGGGCTCCGGCACGTGGTCTTCGGGGCCAGTGCCTCCGAGTGAAATTGCCGGGTACAAAGTGGCAGTAGTTTCATCAATACACTTTATTGATTAGGCTATTAGTGTTGTCTCATTTTCCCTACCCTTGATTCCCCTCTGCCCTGCTCCCCACCTCCCACCAGCGTCCCCCCCTTAGTTCACGTCCATGGGTCGTCCCATGCCCTGCTCCCCACCTCCCACCAGCGTCCCCCCTTAGTTCACGTCCATGGGTCGTCCATGTAAGTTCTTTGGCGTCTCCAGTTCCCACACTGTTCTTACCCTCCCCTGTCTGTTTTGAACCTGCCAATTATGTTTCTTACTCCCTGTACCGTTTCCCCCTCCCCCTCCCCGCTGATAACCCTCCCTGTGATCTCCCTCTCTGTGGGTCTGCTCCTGTTCCAGTTGTTTGCTTAGTCTGTTTTTGTTTTTGTTTTAGGTGTGGTTGCTAATAATTGTGAGTTTGCTGTCATTTTACTGTACATGTTTTTTATCTTCTTTTTCTTAGATAAGTCCCTTTAACATTTCATAAAATAGGGGCTCAGTGATGATGAACTCCTTTAACTTGACCTTATCTGAGAAGCACTTGATCTGCCCTTCCATTCCAAATGAAAGCTTTGCTGGATAGAGCAATCTTGGATGTAAGTCGTTGCTTTTCATGACTTTAGATACTTTTTTCTGGCCCCTTCTTGCCTGCAAGGTTTCTTTTGAGAAATCAGCTGATAGTCTTACGGGAACTCCTTTGTAGGTAACTGTCTCCTATTCTCTTGGTGCTTTTAAGATTCTCTCCTCATATTTGATCGTAGGTAACACAATTATGATGTGCCTTGGTGTGTGCTTCCTTGGGTCCAACTTCTTTGGGACTCTCTGAGCTTCCTGGACTTCCTGGAAGTCTATTTCCTTTGCCAGATTGGGGAAGTTCTCCTTCACTATGTTTTCAAGTAAGTTTTCCATTTCTTGCTCTTCCTCTTCTCCTTTTGGCACCCCTGTGGTTCAGATGTTGGAACGTTTGAAGTTGTCCTGGAGGTTCCTAAGCCTCTCCTCATTTTTTTGAATTTCTGTGTCTTCATTTTTTTGTGATTGGATGTTTCTTTCTTCCCTTTACTCCACATCTTTGACTCGAGTCCCGGTCTCCTTCTCTTCACTATTGGATCCTTGCATATATATTTTTTTAAGATTTCATTTATTTATTTTTAGAGAGGGAAGGGAGGGAGGGAGAGAGAAGCGGGGGGGAGAGAGAGAGAGAGAGAGAGAGAGAAACACAGAGAGAGAGAAACAGAGAGGGAGGGAGAGAAACATCAATGTGCGGTTGCTGGGGGCCATGGCCTGCAACCCAGGCATGTGCCCTGACTGGGAATCGAACCTGTGAGACTTTGGTTTGCAGCCCACGCTCAATCCACTGAGCTGGGCCAGGGCAACCTTTATGATTTTATTAACCAAATTCACCCTGCTAAACTCAATAAAAAACAAATAAAAAACATTTGAAAGTATGTCCCAGTCATCCCTTCGAAACTGATGCCTTCCTTGTGCATTAACAACACCCCGGGGAGACCCCAGGGGGGCCTGCAGACCCCGCCTTTGCAAGGCCTCCCCAGGACCCCGGTGACGTAAGCAGGTGGAGGGCGAACATGTCTGTTTAGTAGGTTCGTTCTTCCCACTGGTCTGCCTACTGTGCATTCTGTAGTTTGGGGGGAGGAGGGCATCTTATCAATTTTCCTGAATGATTTCCACGGCAGACATGTGTGTGAAAGTCCCCCCTGGAAGTGGGGTTGGATGTGAGGCCTGGGCTCTGCGGGGTCCCCCGGACTGTCCCTCAGGGGCTCCGTGTGGTGCTCCCAGAGGCCAGCAGGTCCCTCAGGGGCAGCAGCCAGAGGGAGGATGCCCCGGACACCACACGGGGACAAAACTCGCCTAAATGGCAACATAAAGGGGCCTGAGCCCCAGAACCGAAGGGAGTGGGGAGGGAAGGAGAGGAGGGAGGGAAGGAAGAAAGGGAGGGAGGGAGGACCGACAGGCAGAGAGAAAGAAGGGCTCAATAAAAACACCCCCCAGATGTTGGGCAAACTGAAGTTCACTGCTGGGGCTCGTGTGTGTCCATGGAAAGGCCCAGAAGGCTTCTGCAGACTCCAGATGGCCCCGGGCCAGCCCGTGTGTGTGTGTGTGTGTGTGTGTGTGTGTGTGTGTTGGGGACTCCATGAGCCCCTCTAGAGCACAGTGGACTCCCCCTCCCTTGCGGGCCCACCCCCCAGAGAAGGAAAGGGCCCTCCCAGGGCTCTGCGGTGCTGCCCGCACTGTGGGGCAGGGAGGCCTAAGGAGCCCTGAGCTCAGCCCTGCAGGCGGCTCCTGCTGCTGTGGGTCCCCAAACAGGACCAGGGAGTGGTTTCCTGCGGCCCTTACCTGGATTTCGCATTAGCAGAGACACACACAGCAGGGATTTGGGTGTCCGCTGGGTCCCCCTGTCCACAGTTCCCAAGCCCCTTGTATGCTCCAGGCTCCCCCCCCCCACCTCAGCTTTGTCCTGAGAGCTAGGAGGAAGCCTGCCCTTGGCCTTCACACCCCCAACCCCCCAAGGCCAGAGGCCGGTGCGCACTGGGGGGACAGATGCTTTAGGAAGTGGCCGGTCCTGTCACCAAACGCTAGTTCAGCCCTCACTTCCCAAGGCCCTGCGCTCTCTCCGTGGAGCTGTGGGACGGAGTGGGCCCCAGGTCGAGGGTCCCCTGGGGCCAAAGGGTCATGGGGGCTCCGAGTGGGCCGGGGGGAGGGCAGGGGTGGCCTTGGGCGACCAGACTGCTACAATAGCTCCACGGGGGCCAGTCCGAGGGGCACGCACCCTGCCCGGCTCCTCCAGAGAAGCAGATGGCCAGGGACCCCAGTGCGGCGGCACCATTATTGCGACCTGGGTGGGTGGGCAGTCTGGACCCGTGGGTGGGCCGAAGGGCCTCTTCCCCTGGAGAAGAGGCGGGGCACCAGCTCTGTCTGCAGGTGGTCGCTGCTGGGGAGTGGAGAGGACAGAAGCCAGGGGGTGTTTGGGGACCCAGGACACCTGGCAGTCAGAGTGGGGGCAGGCACACCTGAGCACTCCCCCGGGGCCCTGGGCAGCGGTGGGCCCAGCCCCGGCCCGTCCAGTCCCCGGACTCTCAGACTCACACCCCGTTTGACACACAGACGCACCCGCACCACCAGGGGGCGCCTCCCTGCAGTGTCTGACCTGCAGCGCCCAGTCACACTTGCCCAGTGCCCTGCACCATGAGTGCGCCCTGGGACTCTGGCTGTCCCAAGTGAGCTCAGGACCCCTGGGCTGGCTGCGAAAGGCCGAGGGTCCCCTGCCCACGATGGCCGGGTCCACAGGACCTTCAGGGCCGACGGTGCCCTGCGGGCCATGGCTGGTCCCAGGGACTGGGGGAGGGAAAGAGGGAGAGGCAGGCTCTGAGCCCGGGACCCCCCAGCGCTCCTGGCAGCGCGGGGCGTTCTGGAGCCTGAGTGTGGGGTGGGAGGGTCCGCAGGGCAGGTCTGGGAACTCGCAGCTCCTTCCTGGAGCTCGGGGGGGGGGGGGTCCCGGTACATGAGACACTGGGGTGGACCCTCCTTGCTCAGAGCACCCTCATCCAACCAGAAGAGGCTGGGCAGCAGCGTGGGCCCCCGAAGTCCCCCTGCATCCCCTCAGTGAGTGTCTGCAGGTCAGCCCAGAACTCGGGGGGCCAAGGTGGGGGGGAGGGAGCTGGGAGGGGAGAGGCCCCAGCCTTGGCTGCAGCTGAAGGGGGGAAGAGGGTGTTCTGTCATTTTACCTCGAAGACCGGCCAGGTGGGGGCGCTCCAACCCACGGACCCTGGGCAGATCTGGTCCTGCCTGGTTGACCCTGGCCCCACCTACCATTTCCTGAGCAGCCCGCCCCTGATTTCTCTGAAGCTGGTCCCTGATTTCCACGAAGCCGGTCCCTGGTTTCCCAGCAGCCAAGACGCACGTAGTCTCCTGCCCCAGACAGTCATTCTGATCCCTGTCCCAGCGTTGGTGCCTGCTCCTGCCGCCCACCCACAGGTACGCTCGTCCCTGGGACTGATTCCTCTTGGCCTCTGGCTGGTCCATGGTTCTGCCTCATCCAACCCGTGAGTGGAAGTGGGTTGCCTGTCCAGGGGTAGATTTGGAGGCCGGGAGTGGGGGTCAGCGGCAGGATGCTGACCCAGAGCCACCACGTCCGAGGGTCTGCGGGGTCCCAGCTCCCCGGGCACCTGGCAGTGCTCCCCTCACCCCTCCAGAATCCAACGGGGGTGCGGGGGGAGCGATCCACCCCACAGCCCGGGACCTGACACCTGCTCAGGGTTCCAGGGCGGGCTGGGCGGGCGTGAGGCCATGGCAGTGGCTGAGTCCCATGTTCTCCCTCTCGGGCTTGTCCAGAGCCCAGATGTCCTGTCTGGGAGAGGCCAGCAGGACATCTCCCAAGAGGACACCAGCTGGGACACCCCCACACTCGGCCAGGCCTTGCCTCACTTGCACTGAACGCGGGCAGGTCCCTCCCTGTCCCGGGGCAGAGGTCACTGGAAAGCACAGAAGAGTTTCCATCTGCCCGCTGCTTCTGTTTGCCCATGAACTGGCCGCAGCCCTGCTTTCTCGGTGACAGAGAAGGTGTCACATGACTGGGTGCTGTCCCTCATGCGCACAGGGGAGCTACGATGCTCTCCCGAAAATGAGGACCCGTCCCCAAACTCTGGGGACAGTCGCCTTTGGGTGGCAACGCTCTGACACTCTCGAAACTCTCTCTGGAAAGGCTTCCTCCCAGGCTGCCGAGATGCCCGTTGCAGTACAGGGACGTCATGAGGCTGCTGGGCTCCGTTTCCAAGAAGAGGGGGGTTAGTAGTGGTCCTCAAGGGCGATTGGAGGGTGTCGTGAAACCTGGTGTTGGTGCCTGGATTGGTACCCTCCTTGGCGGCGTCCCAGGAATGGCTGTCGGTAAGTGCCAGTGCATCACAGGGGCAGCCGGCCCGGGGGCTACGGGACAAAGGCCTCAGGTCCCCAGGGCCCTCAGAGCAGGCTGCCTCCTGCATGAGGAGGGGTGGCGTTGAGGTCGCCTCTGAGACACCATCTTTGTCACAACCCACATCCTGGGAAACACCGGCCGCTGTGTCTGAGTCTCCGACCTGCAGGTGTCTGGAAATGGCCCCCATGTCCTGCAGACCCGGAGGACGCCCTGCCCAGGGATATGTCCTGCAGACTGAGGCCTCAGGGTGTCCCTGGGCGGCCCCTCAGGGACCCCTACACGGGGTCTTTCCATGGGGGTGTCTTTATTGAGCCCTTCCTTCTCTCCACCTGTTGGTCCTTCCTTCCCTCCCTCCTCCCTTCCTTCCCTCCCTCCTCACTTCCTTCCTCTCTCCTCTTTTCTTCCTTCCTTTCTGCATTTTTCCTCTCTCTTTCTCTCCCTCCCTCCTCTCCTTCCTTCCTTCCTTCCATTTCTTTTCTCTTTTCTTTTTTCTTTTCTTTTCTTTTCTTTTCTTTTCTTTCCTTTTCCTTCCTTCCTTCCATTTCTTTTTTCTTTTTTTCTTTTCTTCTTTTCTTTTCCTTCCTTACTTCCTTCCATTTCTTTTCTCTTTTCTTTTTTCTTTTCTTTTATTTTCTCTTCTTTTCCCTTCCTTCCTTTTCCCCCTCCCTCCCTCCCTTTCTTTCTTCCTCTTTCTTCTCTCTCCCCCTCCCTTTCTTCCTTCCCTCCCTCCTCTCCTTCCCTCCCCCACACCCTTGGGTTCTGCGGCTCAGGCCCCTTTACGTTGCCATTTAGGAGAGTTTTGTCCCCGTGTAGACCCCCAGTCGGGTGCCACCAGACTGCTACAAATGCTCCACAGGGGCCAGTCCGAAGGACACGCACTCTGCCCGGCTCCTCCAGAGAAGCACATGGCCAGGGACCCCACTGCGGCGGCACCATTATTGCGACCTGGGTGGGTGGGCAGTCTGGACCTGTGGGCGGGCCGAAGGGCCTCTTCCCCTGCAGAAGAGGCGGGGCACCAGCTCTGTCTGCAGGTGGTCGCTGCTGGGGAGTGGAGGGGACAGAAGCCAGGAGGTGTTTGGGGACTCAGGACACCTGGCAGTCAGAGTGGGGGCAGGCACACCTGAGCGCTCCCTGGCCGGTCTTCGAGGTAAAATGACAGAACACCCTCTTCCCCCTTCAGCTGCAGCCAAGGATGGGGCCCCTCCCTCCCAGCTCCCCGCTGCCCCACCCCCCTGCATCCTGGGCTGACCTGCAAACACTCACTGAGGGGATGCAGGGGGACTTCGGGGGCCCACTCTGCTGCCCAGCCTCTTCTGGTTGGATGAGGGTGCTCTGAGCAAGGAGGGTCCACGCCCGTGTCTCATGTACCGGGACCCCCGAGCCCCGGGGAAGGAGCTGCGAGTTCTCAGACCTGCCCTGCGGACCCTCCCACTCCACACTCAGGCTCCAGAACGCCCCGCGCTGCCGGGAGCGCTGGGGGGTCCCGTGTAGCACCCGACATCATCATCACAGGTGCCCTCAGGAGGGGCACCCATAGGGGCACGTGCCGTATGTCAGTTCACGTGAGCTGTTCAGCGAGGGCGTCCCCACTCCCAGTCAAACTGTCCAGGGCAGGAGAAGCTGCCAACCACCGCTGACAGCGTCACCTGCCCTCCTCTCCCCACCTGCTCCCACGTGGGAACCAGGACCAGGCAGCCTGGGCCGGGTGCAGGGCCTCTTGGTCCTCGGTCCCGGGGGATCCTTTCCCGATGCTGGGGTGGTGACCCCTCTCAGCCTGGGGGCGCCCCTTGCCGGGCTCACCGGCCCGGCCTCCTGGGCTGCTGTCCCTGGGGTGGCAGGATGGACATCCTAGCCGTGTCGTCGGGCGGGGGCCCCAGAGGGGGAGAGGCAGCGTGTGGCCCCCCAGACCTCCCACCCCTGCATGTTCTCTCCACTCCGCGTCAGTGAGTTCCGGCTGCAGCCGCCAGGCGGTGGCGGGTGAGGGGGGCCACAAGCCCGCACCTCCCGCCTCAGTGGTCGGGTCTGCGTCTGTCCCCCGCTCTGAGGTGCTCAGGGGAGGCCGGCTGGCTCCACCTGCCCCGTAGCCCCGCCCTGACGCCCTGTGGGGGGCGCCTCTGCGGGACTGAGTAGGGGCTACTGGGGAACACAGGTCCGCAGGGGAGGGGGCGGTGGCTGCCTGCCACCCCAGTCAGGGGCAGGAGCCTCCGTTTCCCAGGAAACGGGAATTTCTCTTCTCCAGAGAGTGGGTAGGTAGCTGGTCACCGTTCCCGTGACTCTTGGCATTAAGTGCTGCCCGCGGTCACAGACTGATGGTCCCGCAGAAGTGGAGAGAGGGGCAGACGGCTCCTGAGGGCGGTGTGCACACTGCCTGTGTCCTGGGGAGACTTCGGTGACACGTGTCAGTGATGGCTGTCCTCCGCAGGTGGCTCCTGTCCTTCCAGGCCGAGGGCAGCCCGGCCCAGGGCACCGTGCCTCTTCCTGGGTGGGGGGCCGGCCTCTCTCCCCTGGGCCGTGTGGGGGGGGGGGGGGGGGGGGGGCTGTGCCCCATGCCCCCTGAGAGGGTGCTCTCTGGCCCGGCTGCGTCCTTCAGAGAAACTTCTTGTGAAGGGTGTCAGAGGAACAGGGAACTTACAAAGACAGAGGACAGAAATCCCATGTACCCCCCGTTTTGACCCCCCCACGCTCATGACCAGGTGACAGGCACAGCTGTCACAGCTGGGAGGAAGCCAGCGCTGTCCCCTTACGAGTCCCTAGCCCCCAGACTTGGCTTTATGGGGTGACCAGCTTTCCCATAACTGACCCTCTCCCGTCCCGGGGTCCCACTCACGACTGATACTACGTGGCGTTTGATACCACGTGTCCTTGGTCCCCGGGCCTGGGACCGTCCCTCAGACCTGGCTGGCGTTCCCGGCCGTGAGAGGGTGGCGGGGTGGCCGCCGGGTGCTCTGTGGACCCGCTGCGCCCGGGCGTGGCTGCTGCCTCTCTGCTGACAGCGGGGGCTACGGGCCGTGGGCAGCACCCCGCTGAGGAGATCTCCACGCCCACAGCTCCGCATCAGGGGCACCGACGTCCCCGGCACCTCGAGGTGACGTTCACCTCGTCACCCGGTCAGGGGGTGTCCCCAGCGTGACGTCGGTGCCGCGTCCCCTGTGCGCTGCTCTCCCAGAGAGAGTCACTGCGTCCAGCTGGGCCGCCGCTGCCGAGGACACCGTTTGTGAACAGGGCCCGACTCACTGAGCCTTCCTTGTCCTCCAGGTGGCATCATCGGAACCCTGGTAGGGGTCTGGATGGTCATGGACAAGAGGCAGCCTGTGTCTCAGGTCCTGAAGGGGCTGTCTGGCGCTAAGCAGCAGAAGCTGTTCAATAAAGTCAAGGCCATCATCTGGAACCTGGATTCCATGAACGAGGAGCAGCTGACGGAGTGTGTCATGAGCAGTGAGACACTTCAGCAGCAGCTGGTGGAGTTGCTGGAGGATTTCTTCGAAAAGGAGCTTAAGATCCCACATGAAAAGCAGAGGTAGCTCCTGGGGGCCGGGGATCCCCAGGAGCAGTGGGGGCTGGGGTGCCCGCAGCGCCACGTGTCACCCTAAACCATCAGTGCTCACCCTTTTTCCCCTCATGGCACACGCAAGTGAATCACTGAAATTCTGGGGCACCCCACAAAATAAGTTGTTCTTTTTGCTGATCTGATGAACGAAATGTGTATAATTTTGATTGATTCACATCAGATGTCTACTGTTGTGTCGTCTGTTGTCATTTTTGTATTTGACCATCTGTAGGGGCGTCACACTCATTGTCACCGGGGGCCACATCAGCCTCGCGGTGGCCTTCAAAGGGCTGAATGTGACTTTAGGACTGTGTACATGGAACTGCTCCTTAACAGGGGGCCAGGAGCTCGGTGCTGCCACCGGGTAGAAACAAGGCACCAGGCCGGACAAAATGAGGTGGGGGGTTGGGTTCGGCCTGCGGGCCTCGTGTCTGCCTCCTGTGCTCTAAGGGAAAAGAGGGCAGTGCCCCTGACTAACAACAGGTCAGGTGTCACATGTGAAAATTCCCACGGCGCCATGGGTGACATCAACGCCTTCCGCGGCCGGGAGCCTGCTGCAGGGGAGGCAGGGCTGTGCGGGAGCCTGGTCCAGACACCCCCGATGCGGGCGACCTGTGGCGTGGCCGCCTGGGCCTGCTGTCTGAGCCCACCCTCCTGCCGTGGGGTCTGCAGGGAGGTGGCGGTGGGCAGCCGATCATCTGCGAAGGTGACCTCTGACCCGGGCAGGTGCAGCAGGAGTGCGCGTCCCTCTGCACCTGGGGTCCCAGGACCTGGCAGCCGGCCCCGCTGGAACCATGGGGACCCCCTGAGTGAGCCCCTCCCCAGTCCCTTCTGAGGGGCCCCTGGGAGGGAAACGCCGAGGGCACCCAGCCCCTGTCCCAGCACCCCGGGCCCTGCTGTCCCATCCGGTTCTGCTTTTCCAGGTCGCTGCTTGCAGCAGAAGGTGCTCTTGCATTGCTCTTTCTGAATATGTCGGGTCCCAGGCCACCTCTGAGAAGTGGGCACCCGAACACCCCACACACTGGGTCCTCCCCTACCTAGAACCATGCCGGCACTGTCCCCAGATGGGACAGGAAATGGTCGGTGGCTTCTTTGAGGAAACACATTATTGACATATTTTTAGAGAGGGGGAAGGGACGGAGAAAGAGGGAGAGACGTGCATTCGCTCCCTCTCATACATGCCGCACCCGGGGGCCCACCCCGCCACCCAGGCGTCTGCACTGACGGGGAACCTAACCTGCGACCATTCCCTTGCAGAGGGCGCCCACCCCAGGGGCCCCTCCGCCCCCGCCAGGGCTCCGGCACGTGGTCTTCGGGGCCAGTGCCTCCGAGTGAAATTGCCGGGTACAAAGTGGCAGTAGTTTCATCAATACACTTTATTGATTAGGCTATTAGTGTTGTCTCATTTTCCCTCCCCTTGATTCCCCTCTGCCCTGCTCCCCACCTCCCACCAGCGTCCCCCCTTAGTTCACGTCCATGGGTCGTCCATGTAAGTTCTTTGGCGTCTCCAGTTCCCACACTGTTCTTACCCTCCCCTGTCTGTTTTGAACCTGCCAATTATGTTTCTTACTCCCTGTACCGTTTCCCCCCTCCCCTCCCCCGCTGATAACCCTCCCTGTGATCTCCCTCTCTGTGGGTCTGCTCCTGTTCTAGTTGTTTGCTTAGTCTGTTTTTGTTTTTGTTTTAGGTGTGGTTGCTAATAATTGTGAGTTTGCTGTCATTTTACTGTACATGCTTTTTATCTTCTTTTTCTTAGATAAGTCCCTTTAACATTTCATAAAATAAGGGCTTGGTGATGATTAACTCCTTTAACTTGACCTTATCTGGGAAGCACTGTATCTGCCCTTCCATTCCAAATGAAAGCCATGCTGGACAGAGCAATCTGGGATGTAGGTCCTTGTCTTTCATGACTTGGAATCCTTCTTTCTGGCCCCTTCTTTCCTGCAAGGTTTCTTTTGAGAAATCGGCCGATAGTCCTATGGGAACTCCTTTGTAGGTACCTGTTTCCTTCTCTCTTCCTGCTTTTAAGATTCTCTCCTCATATTTGATCTTAGGTAACACAATTATGATGTGCCTTGGTGTGTTCCTCCTTGGGTCCAACTTCTCTGGGACTCTTTGAGCTTCCTGGACTTCCTGGAAGTCTATTTCCTTTGCCAGATTGGGGAAGTTCTCCTTCACTATGTTTTCAAGTAAGTTTTCCATTTCTTGCTCTTCTTCTTCTCCTTTTGGCACCCCCTATGATTCAGATGTTGGAACGTTTGAAGTTGTCCTGGAGGTTCCTAAGCCTCTCCTCATTTTTTTGAATTTCTGTGTCTTCATTTTTTTCTGATTGGATGTTTCTTTCTTCCCTTTGTTCCAAATCTTTGACTCGAGTCCCGGTCTCCTTCTCTTCACTCTTGGTTTCTGGTATGTTTTTATTTCACTTTTCATAGCCTTCACTTCTTCCTCTATGTTGCAGCCATACTCAACCATTTCTGTGAACATCCTAATTACCAGTGTTTTGAATTGTGCATCTGATAGGTCCACTATCTCTTCATTGCTTAGTTGTATTTTTTTCTGGAGGTTTGATCTGTTCTTTTATTTGGGCCTTAATTTTTTTTTGTTTTGGCATGCCTGTTACATAGTGAGGGGTGGAGCCTTAGGGATTTGCCAGGGCAGGGCAACCCACGTCCCCGAGTTATGGCGCTGTGCATGGGGGAGGGGCCTGAGAGGGAACAGTGCCATTTGTTCAAGTCTCAGCTGGCTTTCAACCACTTCCCCCCTACCGACTAGCAAAGTGGGCCCTTCGGGTGCTGATTCCCCTGCGGGTGGGTCTGTGCACGTCCTAGGACCCTGTGGGTCTCTCCAATGAGCTCTCCTGTGAGGCTGGGAGTTTCTCCTGCTGCCCCAACCCCCACGGGGTTTTACGGTCAGAGGTCTGAGGCTTTATTTCCCCGCTGGAACCCTGGGTTGTGGGTCTGTCTCGCCCCCCAGTTGTTCCTCCTGGTTAACCTGCACACGAATGTGGGAGCACCCGCTCCCCAAGCCACCACCAGGCACAGTCTGTGAGCCGCCGCCTTGCCACGCATGCTCCCCGCCCCTCCTGTGGGTCTGGGCGAGTGTTTCTTCTTCCACTCCTTGTTTGTCGGACGCCCACACGTTTGATTTACCGGCAGCTCTGGTTAGGTTTTGTTTTTACATGTGTTGTTGTCGTCCTTCTTTGGGTTGTGTGGCAGTCTGCAAACTGTATCCACCTGCGCATCATCTTGGCCAGGAATCGTGAAGTGGCTGTGTTTCCTAAGGCTGTAGTTTTACTGAGTCCAGGTTTCTATCGGACGGGGACACAGGAACACACGGTGGGGGGAAGACGGCCTGCCCATCCCACGGGAGAGGCGGAGAACTGGGCACAGATGCTCAGCGCAGAGACACCAGGAGAAAGGCCTCCTGGACATGACAACTGTGTGGTGACTGCTGGGGGGGCACGGGCAAGGGGGACTGAAGGTACTGCACAAAAAATACAGCAAGGATTAAGTTAAAAAAACAAGAAAACTGTTACAGAACAAAAGGGTGGGCCAAGGGCAGCCGAGGCAATATACTACTACCTGAAAGGAAACCCCCCAGGTTCATTATATCCGCCGCCAGAGGAAAGACATCTCTCAATACCAGAGATCGGTGAAAAGGAGAGGAATTTGTTATTCATTTGAAATAACACAAACTAAAGTTCCCCACAAATGCACACAGTCCTCCCAGCACCCTCCACGTGGCAAAAGGGAGCACCTCCAAAGCCTCGTGGTGCTGATTCTCACCCAAGCCTCATGGTCCCAACCACGACACCACAGCTGCGTGGTCCTAAACAGACTAGTGGTCCCAAAAGGAAAGAGCCCCAATGGCTGCCTCGCTGGGTTTAAATCCCAGCGCCAATCTTCCTCTGCAGCCCCATTTCTGGCTCCTCCCACAACTGGCCACAGCTGCCCGCGTTCTGGGCAGGTGTGGCCCTGTGCTGTGGAGCCAATTATCTCCAAGCTCTTCTGGACCCTGTAACAAATCCCTATTTGGGGCTCCCCTCTTGGCTGCACCCTGTTACAAAACTAGACCACCTTCTTACACCATCTACAAGAATAAACTCAGCATGGATTGAAGACTTCAGTGTAAATCTCAAAACCATGGGAACCCTAGAAACAACCAGGGGCAGTAACCTCTCGACCGTTTATTGTGGCCATAGCTTCTTCTGCTGTATCTCCTCGGGCACGGGAAACCAGAGAGAAAGTAATGACCCTAAAACGTGTTTGCATAGCAAAATGAAAACACATTCCCCAGTGACACTCCTGATGAGGGGTCAATATCCAAAATGCATAAAGAACTCGCACAACTCAACACCAAACAACAACACTCCAATTAAAAACTGGGCAAAGGACCTGAACAGACACTTCCCCAAACAGGACACGCAGAGGTCAACAGACGTGTGAAAAGATGCTCAACGTCACGAATCATCAGAGAAATTCAGTTAAAACCTCAGTGAGGTATCACCCGACACCTGTCAGAATGGCCGTCACCAACAAACCCACAAACAAGTCCTCGTGGGGACGGGGAGCAGGGCACCCTGGTGCACTGCTGGTGGGAATGCGGACGGTGCAGCCGCCGTGGGGAACAGTATGGAGGTTCCTCAAAACATGAAAACGATACTGCCTTCTGACCCAGCATCCCCCTTCTGGAATGTATCTGAACAAACCGAACCCTAACGGGAAAGGACGTAAGCACCCCGTGTTCACTGCAGCGAGCTCACTATAGTGGCCAAGACTGGACGCAGCCCTGTCGCCCGGCGGCAGCCGAGGGGTGGAGGGGCTGCAGTGCGCTCCCGCGGCGGAATGCGCTCAGCCCCGAGGACGGAAGGAGCTCTCACCCCCTGTGACAGCAAGGATGGGGCCACCCCAGAGAGGGGTCTGCTGGGTGGGACACACCAGTCACTCACGGGGCGGGGGGGCTGGCGGTGCGCTGGGGGAAAACGTGGAGAGATTCGGCAAAAAGAAGGAAACAAACAAACAAAACACGGGTGGAGAGCCCACAGCGTGGAGGGGACCGGAGGGAGCGCAGAGGTCGGGGGGGGAAGGAGGGGTGGGGGGCCGACCTGGTGCAGGGAAGAGACCTGACTCTGGGCGGCGCACACAGGCTGCCACGTGCAGGTGAGGTGCTGGCTCGGCCGAAAGTCTCTCCAGAGTTTGCCTTAAATAAAAGACACAGTTTCCATGTTCACCAGTAACGCGTGGTTGAGTTGGGTATTCTGAGTGCGTTGGCCCTCTCCCTCGTGCCATGACGCTGATTGCTCCCAATGAACAACTGGATTTGGTCGCTATCAGCTGCAGCTGGTCCACCCGGCTGTGGGGCACCGTCCAGCGAGAAACGTCCAGCACGGAACTTCACAGACCACCTCTGACACGTTCCATCGGTCACAGCGCCTTCTCCACGCACTGTACATGACTTTTCTTGTTTCACTTGTGTTTTGACCTTTCTTGGAAAAAATAAAGCATAAGATCCCGAAAATGGTGCTTACTCTCTTCCTTCTTCAATATAAAAAGGGCTGTACAGAAATTCTCCAGTTTCAGTTGTTTCAGAGGCACGCGGACAGGACGGCTGGCACGGTGCGTCTCACAAAGCTGTTTCCGACGACGAGCAAGCGCTGCCGGAGCCCCCGTCCGGGAAACGCCCAAGGGACCTTCCGGCCAACGCGGTGTCACAGATTCGTCCACCTGCAACCTTTATAATTTTTTTTGTTTTAAAATGTTTTATTTCTTTATTTTTAGAGAGGGAAGGGAGGGAGAGAGAGAGAGAAACATCATGTGCAGTTGCTGGGGGTCATGGCCTGCAACCCAGGCATGTGCCCTGACTGGGAATCGAACCTGCGAGACTTTGGTTTGCAGCCCGCGCTCAATCCACTGAGCTGGGCCAGGGCAACCTTTATGATTTTATTAACCAAATTCACCCTGCTAAACTCAATAAAAAACAAATAAAAAACATTTGAAAGTATGTCCCATTCATCCCTTTGAAACTGATGCCTTCCTTGTGCGTTAACAACACGCCGGGGAGACCCCAGGGGGCCTGCAGACCCCGCCTTTGCAAGGCCTCCCCCAGGACCCCGGTGACGTAAGCAGGTGGAGGGCGAACATGTCTGTTTAGTAGGTTCGTTCTTCCCACTGGTCTGCCTACTGTGCATTCTGTAGTTTGGGGGGAGGAGGGCATCTTATCAATTTTCCTGAATGATTTCCACGGCAGACATGTGTGTGAAAGTCCCCCCTGGAAGTGGGGGTTGGATGTGAGGCCTGGGCTCTGCGGGGGTCCCCCGGACTGTCCCTCAGGGGCTCCGTGTGGTGCTCCCAGAGGCCAGCAGGTCCCTCAGGGGCAGCAGCCAGAGGGAGGATGCCCCGGACACCACACGGGGACAAAACTCGCCTAAATGGCAACATAAAGGGGCCTGAGCCCCCAGAACCGAAGGGAGTGGGGGAGGGAAGGAGAGGAGGGAGGGAAGGAAGAAAGGGAGGGAGGGAGGACCGACAGGCAGAGAGAAAGAAGGGCTCAATAAAAACACCCCCCAGATGTTGGGCAAACTGAAGTTCACTGCTGGGGCTCGTGTGTGTCCATGGAAAGGCCCAGAAGGCTTCTGCAGACTCCAGATGGCCCCGGGCCAGCCCGTGTGTGTGTGTGTGTGTGTGTGTGTGTGTGTGTGTGTGTTGGGGGCTCCATGAGCCCCTCTAGAGCACAGTGGACTCCCCCTCCCTTGCGGGCCCACCCCCCAGAGAAGGAAAGGGCCCTCCCAGGGCTCTGCGGTGCTGCCCGCACTGTGGGGCAGGGAGGCCTAAGGAGCCCTGAGCTCAGCCCTCTAGGCGGCTCCTGCTGCTGTGGGTCCCCAAACAGGACCAGGGAGTGGTTTCCTGCGGCCCTTACCTGGATTTCGCATTAGCAGAGACACACACAGCAGGGATTTGGGTGTCCGCTGGGTCCCCCTGTCCACAGTTCCCAAGCCCCTTGTATGCTCCAGGCTCCCCCCCCCCACCTCAGCTTTGTCCTGAGAGCTAGGAGGAAGCCTGCCCTTGGCCTTCACACCCCAACCCCCAAGGCCAGAGGCCGGTGCGCACTGGGGGACAGATGCTTTAGGAAGTGGCCGGTCCTGTCACCAAACGCTAGTTCAGCCCTCACTTCCCAAGGCCCTGCGCTCTCTCCGTGGAGCTGTGGTACGGAGTGGGCCCCAGGTCGAGGGTCCCCAGGGGCCAAAGGGTCATGGGGGCTCCGAGTGGGCCGGGGGGAGGGCAGGGGTGGCCTTGGGCGACCAGACTGCTACAATAGCTCCACGGCGGCCAGTCCGAGGGGCAGGCACCCTGCCCGGCTCCTCTAGAGAAGCAGATGGCCAGGGACCCCAGTGCGGCGGCACCATTATTGCGACCTGGGTGGGTGGGCAGTCTGGACCCGTGGGTGGGCCGAAGGGCCTCTTCCCCTGGAGAAGAGGTGGGGCACCAGCTCTGTCTGCAGGTGGTCGCTGCTGGGGAGTGGAGGGGACAGAAGCCAGGGGGTGTTTGGGGACCCAGGACACCTGGCAGTCAGAGTGGGGGGCAGGCACACCTGAGCGCTCCCGGGGCCCTGGGCAGCGGTGGGCCCGGCCCCGGCCTGTACAGTCCCCGGACTCTCAGACTCACACCCCGTTTGACACACAGACGCACCCGCACCGCCGGGGGCGCCTCCCTGCAGTGTCTGACCTGCAGCGCCCAGTCAGACTTGCCCAGTGCCCTGCACCATGAGTGCGCCCTGGGACTCTGGCTGTCCCAAGTGAGCTCAGGACCCCTGGGCTGGCTGCGAAAGGCCAAGGGTCCCCCGCCCACGATGGCCGGGTCAACAGGACCTTCAGTGCCGCCAGTGCCCTGCGGGCCATGGCTGGTCCCAGGGACTGGGGGAGGGAAAGAGGGAGAGGCAGGCTCTGAGCCCGGGACCCCCCAGCGCTCCCGGCAGCGCGGGGCGTTCTGGAGCCTGGAGTGTGGGGGTGGGAGGGTCCGCAGGGCAGGTCTGGGAACTCGCAGCTCCTTCCTGGAGCTCGGGGGGGGTCCCTGGTACATGAGACACTGGGGTGGACCCTCCTTGCTCAGAGCACCCTCATCCAACCAGAAGAGGCTGGGCAGCAGCGTGGGCCCCCGAAGTCCCCCTGCATCCCCTCAGTGAGTGTCTGCAGGTCAGCCCAGAACTCGGGGGGCCAAGGTGGGGGGAGGGAGCTGGGAGGGGAGAGGCCCCAGCCTTGGCTGCAGCTGAAGGGGGAAGAGGGTGTTCTGTCATTTTACCTCGAAGACCGGCCAGGTGGGGGCGCTCCAACCCACGGACCCTGGGCAGATCTGGTCCTGCCTGGTTGACCCTGGCCCCACCTACCATTTCCTGAGCAGCCCGCCCCTGATTTCTCTGAAGCTGGTCCCTGATTTCCACGAAGCCGGTCCCTGGTTTCCCAGCAGCCAAGACGCACGTAGTCTCCTGCCCCAGACAGTCATTCTGATCCCTGTCCCAGCGTTGGTGCCTGCTCCTGCCGCCCACCCACAGGTACGCTCGTCCCTGGGACTGATTCCTCTTGGCCTCTGGCTGGTCCATGGTTCTGCCTCATCCAACCCCTGAGTGGAAGTGGGTTGCCTGTCCAGGGGTGGATTTGGAGGCCGGGAGTGGGGGTCAGTGGCAGCATGCTGACCCAGAGCCACCACGTCCGAGGGTCTGCGGGGTCCCAGCTCCCCGGGCACCTGGCAGCGCTCCCCTCACCCCTCCAGAATCCAACGGGGGTGCGGGGGGAGCGATCCACCCCACAGCCCGGGACCTGACACCTGCTCAGGGTTCCAGGGGCGGGCTGGGCGGGCGTGAGGCCATGGCAGTGGCTGAGTCCCATGTTCTCCCTCTCGGGCTTGTCCAGAGCCCAGATGTCCTGTCTGGGAGAGGCCAGCAGGACATCTCCCAAGAGGACACCAGCTGGGACACCCCACACTCGGCCAGGCCTTGCCTCACTTGCACTGAACGCGGGCAGGTCCCTCCCTGTCCCGGGGCAGAGGTCACTGGAAAGCACAGAGAGTTTCCATCTGCCCGCTGCTTCTGTTTGCCCATGAACTGGCCGCAGCCCTGCTTTCTCGGTGACAGAGAAGGTGTCACATGACTGGGTGCTGTCCCTCATGCGCACAGGGGAGCTACGATGCTCTCCCGAAAATGAGGACCCGTCCCCAAACTCTGGGGACAGTCGCCTTTGGGTGGCAACGCTCTGACACTCTCGAAACTCTCTCTGGAAAGGCTTCCTCCCAGGCCGCCGAGATGCCCGTTGCAGTACAGGACGTCATGAGGCTGCTGGGCTCCGTTTCCAAGAAGAGGGGGTTAGTAGTGGTCCTCAAGGGCGATTGGAGGGGTGTCGTGAAACCTGGTGTTGGTGCCTGGATTGGTACCCTCCTTGGCGGCGTCCCAGGAATGGCTGTCGGTAAGTGCCAGTGCATCACAGGGGCAGCCGGCCCGGGGGCTACGGGACAAAGGCCTCAGGTCCCCAGGGCCCTCAGAGCAGGCTGCCTCCTGCATGAGGAGGGGGTGGCGTTGAGGTCGCCTCTGAGACACCATCTTTGTCACAACCCACATCCTGGGAAACACCGGCCGCTGTGTCTGAGTCTCCGACCTGCAGGTGTCTGGAAATGGCCCCCATGTCCTGCAGACCCGGAGGACGCCCTGCCCAGGGATATGTCCTGCAGACTGAGGCCTCAGGGTGTCCCTGGGCGGCCCCTCAGGGACCCCTACACGGGGCCTTTCCATGGGGGTGTCTTTATTGAGCCCTTCCTTCTCTCCACCTGTTGGTCCTTCCTTCCCTCCCTCCTCCCTTCCTTCCCTCCCTCCTCACTTCCTTCCTCTCTCCTCTTTTCTTCCTTCCTTTCTGCATTTTTCCTCTCTCTTTCTCTCCCTCCCTCCTCTCCTTCCTTCCTTCCTTCCATTTCTTTTCTCTTTTCTTTTTCTTTTCTTTTCTTTTCTTTTCTTTTCTTTCCTTTTCCTTCCTTCCTTCCATTTCTTTTTTCTTTTTTCTTTTCTTCTTTTCTTTTCCTTCCTTACTTCCTTCCATTTCTTTTCTCTTTTCTTTTTCTTTTCTTTTATTTTCTCTTCTTTTCCCTTCCTTCCTTTTCCCCCTCCCTCCCTCCCTTTCTTTCTTCCTCTTTCTTCTCTCTCCCCCTCCCTTTCTTCCTTCCCTCCCTCCTCTCCTTCCCTCCCCCACTCCTTTGGGTTCTGCGGCTCAGGCCCCTTTACGTTGCCATTTAGGAGAGTTTTGTCCCCGTGTAGACCCCAGTCGGGTGCCACCAGACTGCTACAAATGCTCCACAGGGGCCAGTCCGAAGGACACGCACTCTGCCCGGCTCCTCCAGAGAAGCACATGGCCAGGGACCCCACTGCGGCGGCACCATTATTGCGACCTGGGTGGGTGGGCATTCTGGACCTGTGGGCGGGCCGAAGGGCCTCTTCCCCTGCAGAAGAGGCGGGGCACCAGCTCTGTCTGCAGGTGGTCGCTGCTGGGGAGTGGAGGGGACAGAAGCCAGGAGGTGTTTGGGGACTCAGGACACCTGGCAGTCAGAGTGGGGGCAGGCACACCTGAGCGCTCCCTGGCCGGTCTTCGAGGTAAAATGACAGAACACCCTCTTCCCCCTTCAGCTGCAGCCAAGGATGGGGCCCCTCCCCTCCCAGCTCCCCGCTGCCCCACCCCCTGCATCCTGGGCTGACCTGCAAACACTCACTGAGGGGATGCAGGGGGACTTCGGGGGCCCACTCTGCTGCCCAGCCTCTTCTGGTTGGATGAGGGTGCTCTGAGCAAGGAGGGTCCACACCCGTGTCTCATGTACCGGGACCCCCCGAGCCCCGGGAAGGAGCTGCGAGTTCTCAGACCTGCCCTGCGGACCCTCCCACTCCACACTCAGGCTCCAGAACGCCCCGCGCTGCCGGGAGCGCTGGGGGGTCCCGTGTAGCACCCGACATCATCATCACAGGTGCCCTCAGGAGGGGCACCCATAGGGGCACGTGCCGTATGTCAGTTCACGTGAGCTGTTCAGCGAGGGCGTCCCCCACTCCCAGTCAAACTGTCCAGGGCAGGAGAAGCTGCCAACCACCGCTGACAGCGTCACCTGCCCTCCTCTCCCCACCTGCTCCCACGTGGGAACCAGGACCAGGCAGCCTGGGCCGGGTGCAGGGCCTCTTGGTCCTCGGTTCCGGGGGATCCTTTCCCGATGCTGGGGTGGTGACCCCTCTCAGCCTGGGGGCGCCCCTTGCCGGGCTCACCGGCCCGGCCTCCTGGGCTGCTGTCCCTGGGGTGGCAGGATGGACATCCTAGCCGTGTCGTCGGGCGGGGGCCCCAGAGGGGGAGAGGCAGCGTGTGGCCCCCCAGACCTCCCACCCCTGCATGTTCTCTCCACTCCGCGTCAGTGAGTTCCGGCTGCAGCCGCCAGGCGGTGGCGGGTGAGGGGGGGCCACAAGCCCGCACCTCCCGCCTCAGTGGTCGGGTCTGCGTCTGTCCCCCCGCTCTGAGGTGCTCAGGGGAGGCCGGCTGGCTCCACCTGCCCCCGTAGCCCCGCCCTGACGCCCTGTGGGGGGCGCCTCTGCGGGACTGAGTAGGGGCTACTGGGGAACACAGGTCCGCAGGGGAGGGGGCGGTGGCTGCCTGCCACCCCAGTCAGGGGCAGGAGCCTCCGTTTCCCAGGAAACGGGAATTTCTCTTCTCCAGAGAGTGGGTAGGTAGCTGGTCACCGTTCCCGTGACTCTTGGCATTAAGTGCTGCCCGCGGTCACAGACTGATGGTCCCGCAGAAGTGGAGAGAGGGGCAGACGGCTCCTGAGGGCGGTGTGCACACTGCCTGTGTCCTGGGGAGACTTCGGTGACACGTGTCAGTGATGGCTGTCCTCCGCAGGTGGCTCCTGTCCTTCCAGGCCGAGGGCAGCCCGGCCCAGGGCACCGTGCCTCTTCCTGGGTGGGGGGGGGGCCGGCCTCTCCCCTGGGCCGTGTGGGGGGTGGGGGGTGGGGGGCTGTGCCCCATGCCCCCTGAGAGGGTGCTCTCTGGCCCGGCTGCGTCCTTCAGAGAAACTTCTTGTGAAGGGTGTCAGAGGAACAGGGAACTTACAAAGACAGAGGACAGAAATCCCATGTACCCCCCGTTTTGACCCCCCCGACGCTCATGACCAGGTGACAGGCACAGCTGTCACAGCTGGGAGGAAGCCAGCGCTGTCCCCTTACGAGTCCCTAGCCCCCAGACTTGGCTTTATGGGGTGACCAGCTTTCCCATAACTGACCCTCTCCCGTCCCGGGGTCCCACTCACGACTGATACTACGTGGCGTTTGATACCACGTGTCCTTGGTCCCCGGGCCTGGGACCGTCCCTCAGACCTGGCTGGCGTTCCCGGCCGTGAGAGGGTGGCGGGGTGGCCGCCGGGTGCTCTGTGGACCCGCTGCGCCCGGGCGTGGCTGCTGCCTCTCTGCTGACAGCGGGGGCTACGGGCCGTGGGCAGCACCCCGCTGAGGGGGGCTCCCCGCCCACAGCTCCGCGTCAGGGGCACCGACGTCCCCGGCACCTCGAGGTGACGTTCACCTCGTCACCCGGTCAGGGGGTGTCCCCAGCGTGACGTCGGTGCCGCGTCCCCTGTGCGCTGCTCTCCCAGAGAGAGTCACTGCGTCCAGCTGGGCCGCCGCTGCCGAGGACACCGTTTGTAGAACAGGGCCCGACTCACTGAGCCTTCCTTGTCCTCCAGGTGGCATCATCGGAACCCTGGTAGGGGGTCTGGATGGTCATGGACAAGAGGCAGCCTGTGTCTCAGGTCCTGAAGGGGCTGTCTGGCGCTAAGCAGCAGAAGCTGTTCAATAAAGTCAAGGCCATCATCTGGAACCTGGATTCCATGAACGAGGAGCAGCTGACGGAGTGTGTCATGAGCAGTGAGACACTTCAGCAGCAGCTGGTGGAGTTGCTGGAGGATTTCTTCGAAAAGGAGCTTAAGATCCCACATGAAAAGCAGAGGTAGCTCCTGGGGGCCGGGGATCCCCAGGAGCAGTGGGGGCTGGGGTGCCCGCAGCGCCACGTGTCACCCTAAACCATCAGTGCTCACCCTTTTTCCCCTCATGGCACACGCAAGCGAATCACTGAAATTCTGGGGCACCCCACAAAATAAGTTGTTCTTTTTGCTGATCTGATGAACGAAATGTGTATAATTTTGATTGATTCACATCAGATGTCTACTGTTGTGTCGTCTGTTGTCATTTTTTGTATTTGACCATCTGTAGGGGCGTCACACTCATTGTCACCGGGGGCCACATCAGCCTCGCGGTGGCCTTCAAAGGGCTGAATGTGACTTTAGGACTGTGTACATGGAACTGCTCCTTAACAGGGGGCCAGGAGCTCGGTGCTGCCACCGGGTAGAAACAAGGCACCAGGCCGGACAAAATGAGGTGGGGGGTTGGGTTCGGCCTGCGGGCCTCGTGTCTGCCTCCTGTGCTCTAAGGGAAAAGAGGGCAGTGCCCCTGACTAACAACAGGTCAGGTGTCACATGTGAAAATTCCCACGGCGCCATGGGTGACATCAACGCCTTCCGCGGCCGGGAGCCTGCTGCAGGGGAGGCAGGGCTGTGCGGGAGCCTGGTCCAGACACCCCCGATGCGGGCGACCTGTGGCGTGGCCGCCTGGGCCTGCTGTCTGAGCCCACCCTCCTGCCGTGGGGTCTGCAGGGAGGTGGCGGTGGGCAGCCGATCATCTGCGAAGGTGACCTCTGACCCGGGCAGGTGCAGCAGGAGTGCGCGTCCCTCTGCACCTGGGGTCCCAGGACCTGGCAGCCGGCCCCGCTGGAACCATGGGGACCCCCTGAGTGAGCCCCTCCCCAGTCCCTTCTGAGGGGCCCCTGGGAGGGAAACGCCGAGGGCACCCCAGCCCCTGTCCCAGCACCCCGGGCCCTGCTGTCCCATCCGGTTCTGCTTTTCCAGGTCGCTGCTTGCAGCAGAAGGTGCTCTTGCATTGCTCTTTCTGAATATGTCGGGTCCCAGGCCACCTCTGAGAAGTGGGCACCCGAACACCCCACACACTGGGTCCTCCCCTACCTAGAACCACGCCGGCACTGTCCCCAGATGGGACAGGAAATGGTCGGTGGCTTCTTTGAGGAAAACACATTATTGACATATTTTTAGAGAGGGGGAAGGGACGGAGAAAGAGGGAGAGACGTGCATTCGCTCCCTCTCATACATGCCGCACCCGGGGGCCCACCCCGCCACCCAGGCGTCTGCACTGACGGGGAACCTAACCTGCGACCATTCCCTTGCAGAGGGCGCCCACCCCAGGGCCCCTCCGCCCCCCGCCAGGGCTCCGGCACGTGGTCTTCGGGGCCAGTGCCTCCGAGTGAAATTGCCGGGTACAAAGTGGCAGTAGTTTCATCAATACACTTTATTGATTAGGCTATTAGTGTTGTCTCATTTTCCCTCCCCTTGATTCCCCTCTGCCCTGCTCCCCACCTCCCACCAGCGTCCCCCCCTTAGTTCACGTCCATGGGTCGTCCATGTAAGTTCTTTGGCGTCTCCAGTTCCCACACTGTTCTTACCCTCCCCTGTCTGTTTTGAACCTGCCAATTATGTTTCTTACTCCCTGTACCGTTTCCCCCTCCCCCTCCCCACTGATAACCCTCCCTGTGACCTCCCTCTCTGTGGGTCTGCTCCTGTTCTAGTTGTTTGCTTAGTCTGTTTTTGTTTTTGTTTTAGGTGTGGTTGCTAATAATTGTGAGTTTGCTGTCATTTTACTGTACATGCTTTTTATCTTCTTTTTCTTAGATAAGTCCCTTTAACATTTCATAAAATAAGGGCTTGGTGATGATTAACTCCTTTAACTTGACCTTATCTGGGAAGCACTGTATCTGCCCTTCCATTCCAAATGAAAGCCATGCTGGACAGAGCAATCTGGGATGTAGGTCCTTGTCTTTCATGACTTGGAATCCTTCTTTCTGGCCCCTTCTTTCCTGCAAGGTTTCTTTTGAGAAATCGGCCGATAGTCCTATGGGAACTCCTTTGTAGGTACCTGTTTCCTTCTCTCTTCCTGCTTTTAAGATTCTCTCCTCATATTTGATCTTAGGTAACACAATTATGATGTGCCTTGGTGTGTTCCTCCTTGGGTCCAACTTCTCTGGGACTCTTTGAGCTTCCTGGACTTCCTGGAAGTCTATTTCCTTTGCCAGATTGGGGAAGTTCTCCTTCACTATGTTTTCAAGTAAGTTTTCCATTTCTTGCTCTTCTTCTTCTCCTTTTGGCACCCCTATGATTCAGATGTTGGAACGTTTGAAGTTGTCCTGGAGGTTCCTAAGCCTCTCCTCATTTTTTTGAATTTCTGTGTCTTCATTTTTTTCTGATTGGATGTTTCTTTCTTCCCTTTGTTCCAAATCTTTGACTCGAGTCCCGGTCTCCTTCTCTTCACTCTTGGTTTCTGGTATGTTTTTATTTCACTTTTCATAGCCTTCACTTCTTCCTCTATGTTGCAGCCATACTCAACCATTTCTGTGAACATCCTAATTACCAGTGTTTTGAATTGTGCATCTGATAGGTCCACTATCTCTTCATTGCTTAGTTGTATTTTTTCTGGAGGTTTGATCTGTTCTTTTATTTGGGCCTTAATTTTTTTTTGTTTTGGCATGCCTGTTACATAGTGAGGGGTGGAGCCTTAGGGATTTGCCAGGGCAGGGCAACCCACGTCCCCGAGTTATGGCGCTGTGCATGGGGGAGGGGCCTGAGAGGGAACAGTGCCATTTGTTCAAGTCTCAGCTGGCTTTCAACCACTTCCCCCCTACCGACTAGCAAAGTGGGCCCTTCGGGTGCTGATTCCCCTGCGGGTGGGTCTGTGCACGTCCTAGGACCCTGTGGGTCTCTCCAATGAGCTCTCCTGTGAGGCTGGGAGTTTCTCCTGCTGCCCCAACCCCCCACGGGGTTTTACGGTCAGAGGTCTGAGGCTTTATTTCCCCGCTGGAACCCTGGGTTGTGGGTCTGTCTCGCCCCCCAGTTGTTCCTCCTGGTTAACCTGCACACGAATGTGGGAGCACCCGCTCCCCAAGCCACCACCAGGCACAGTCTGTGAGCCGCCGCCTTGCCACGCATGCTTCCCGCCCCTCCTGTGGGTCTGGGCGAGTGTTTCTTCTTCCACTCCTTGTTTGTCGGACTCCCACACGTTTGATTTACCGGCAGCTCTGGTTAGGTTTTGTTTTTACATGTGTTGTTGTCGTCCTTCTTTGGGTTGTGTGGCAGTCTGCAAACTGTATCCACCTGCGCATCATCTTGGCCAGGAATCTTGAAGTGGCTGTGTTTCCTAAGGCTGTAGTTTTACTGAGTCCAGGTTTCTATCGGACGGGGACACAGGAACATACGGTGGGGGGAAGACGGCCTGCCCATCCCACGGGAGAGGCGGAGAACTGGGCACAGATGCTCAGCGCAGAGACACCAGGAGAAAGGCCTCCTGGACATGACAACTGTGTGGTGACTGCTGGGGGGCGCGGGCAAGGGGACTGAAGGTACTGCACAAAAATACAGCAAGGATTAAGTTAAAAAACAAGAAAACTGTTACAGAACAAAAGGGTGGGCCAAGGGCAGCCGAGGCAATATACTACTACCTGAAAGGAAACCCCCCAGGTTCATTATATCCGCCGCCAGAGGAAAGACATCTCTCAATACCAGAGATCGGTGAAAAGGAGAGGAATTTGTTATTCATTTGAAATAACACAAACTAAAGTTCCCCACAAATGCACACAGTCCTCCCAGCACCCTCCACGTGGCAAAAGGGAGCACCTCCAAAGCCTCGTGGTGCTGATTCTCACCCAAGCCTCATGGTCCCAACCACGACACCACAGCTGCGTGGTCCTAAACAGACTAGTGGTCCCAAAAGGAAAGAGCCCCAATGGCTGCCTCGCTGGGTTTAAATCCCAGCGCCAATCTTCCTCTGCAGCCCCATTTCTGGCTCCTCCCACAACTGGCCACAGCTGCCCGCGTTCTGGGCAGGTGTGGCCCTGTGCTGTGGAGCCAATTATCTCCAAGCTCTTCTGGACCCTGTAACAAATCCCTATTTGGGCTCCCCTCTTGGCTGCACCCTGTTACAAAACTAGACCACCTTCTTACACCATCTACAAGAATAAACTCAGCATGGATTGAAGACTTCAGTGTAAATCTCAAAACCATGGGAACCCTAGAAACAACCAGGGGCAGTAACCTCTCGACCGTTTATTGTGGCCATAGCTTCTTCTGCTGTATCTCCTCGGGCACGGGAAACCAGAGAGAAAGTAATGACCCTAAAACGTGTTTGCATAGCAAAATGAAAACACATTCCCCAGTGACACTCCTGATGAGGGGTCAATATCCAAAATGCATAAAGAACTCGCACAACTCAACACCAAACAACAACACTCCAATTAAAAACTGGGCAAAGGACCTGAACAGACACTTCCCCAAACAGGACACGCAGAGGCCAATAGATGTGTGAAAAGATGCTCAACGTCACGAATCATCAGAGAAATTCAGTTAAAACCTCAGTGAGGTATCACCCGACACCTGTCAGAATGGCCGTCACCAACAAACCCACAAACAAGTCCTCGTGGGGACGGGGAGCAGGGCACCCTGGTGCACTGCTGGTGGGAATGCGGACGGTGCAGCCGCCGTGGGGAACAGTATGGAGGTTCCTCAAAACATGAAAAACGATACTGCCTTCTGACCCAGCATCCCCCCTTCTGGGATGTATCTGAACAAACCGAACCCTAACGGGAAAGGACGTAAGCACCCCGTGTTCACTGCAGCGAGCTCACTATAGTGGCCAAGACTGGACGCAGCCCTGTCGCCCGGGGGCAGCCGAGGGGTGGAGGGGCTGCAGTGCGCTCCCGCGGCGGAATGCGCTCAGCCCCGAGGACGGAAGGAGCTCTCACCCCCTGTGACAGCAGGGATGGGGCCACCCCAGAGAGGGGTCTGCTGGGTGGGACACGCCAGTCACTCACGGGGCGGGGGGGCTGGCGGTGCGCTGGGGGAAAACGTGGAGAGATTCGGCAAAAAAGAAGGAAACAAACAAACAAAACACGGGTGGAGAGCCCACAGCGTGGAGGGGACCGGAGGGAGCGCAGAGGTCGGGGGGGGAAGGAGGGGGGGGGGGGGGGGCCGACCTGGTGCAGGGAAGAGACCTGACTCTGGGCGGTGCACACAGGCTGCCACGTGCAGGTGAGGTGCTGGCTCGGCCGAAAGTCTCTCCAGAGTTTGCCTTAAATAAAAGGCACATTTTCCATGTTCACCAGTAACGCGTGGTTGAGTTGGGTATTCTGAGTGCGTTGGCCCTCTCCCTCGTGCCATGACGCTGATTGCTCCCAATTAACAACTGGATTTGGTCGCTATCAGCTGCAGCTGGTCCACCCGGCCGTGGGGCACCGTCCAGCGAGAAACGTCCAGCACGGAACTTCACAGACCACCTCTGACGCATTCCATCGGTCACAGCGCCTTCTCCACGCACTGTACACGACTTTCCTTGTTTCACTTGCGTTTTGACCTTTCTTGAGAAAATACAGCATAAGATCCCGAAAATGGTGCTTACTCTCTTCCTTCTTCAATATAAAAAGGGCTGTACAGAAATTCTCCAGTTTCAGTTGTTTCAGAGGCACGCGGACAGGACGGCTGGCACGGTGCGTCTCACAAAGCTGTTTCCGACGACGAGCAAGCGCTGCCGGAGCCCCCGTCCGGGAAACGCCCAAGGGACCTTCCGGCCAACGCGGTGTCACAGATTCGTCCACCTGCAACCTTTATAATTTTTTTTGTTTTAAAATGTTTTATTTCTTTATTTTTAGAGAGGGAAGGGAGAGAGAGAGAGAGAGAGAAACATCATGTGCAGTTGCTGGGGGTCATGGCCTGCAACCCAGGCATGTGCCCTGACTGGGAATCGAACCTGCGAGACTTTGGTTTGCAGCCTGCGCTCAATCCACTGAGCTGGGCCAGGGCAACCTTTATGATTTTATTAACCAAATTCACCCTACTAAACTCAATAAAGATAAATGGGGTTCAATGTGAGGCCTGGGCTCTACGGGGGCCCCCTCGGACTGTCCCTCAGGGGCTCCGTGTGGTGCTCCCAGAGGCCAGCAGGGTCCCTCAGGGGCAGCAGCCAGAGGGAGGACGCCCCGGACACCACACGGGGGACGAAACTCGCCTAAATGGCAATGTAAAGGGGCCTGAGCCGCAGAACCGAAGGGAGTGGGGAGGGAAGGAGAGGAGGGAGGGAGAGAAAGAGAGAGGAAAACGAAGAAAGGAAGGAAGAAAAGAGGAGAGAGGAAGGAAGTGAGGAGGGAAGGAAGGAAGGGAGGAGGGAAGGCAGGACCGACAGGCGGAGAGAAAGAAGGGCTCAATAAAAACACCCCCCAGATGTTTGGGCAAACTGAAGTTCGCTGCTGGGGCTCGTGTGTGTCCATGGAAAGGCCCAGAAGGCTTCTGCAGACTCCAGATGGCCCCGGGCCAGCCCATGTGTGTGTGTGTGTGTGTGTGTGTGTGTGTGTGTGTGTGTGTTGGGGGCTCCATGAGCCCCTCTAGAGCACAGCGGACGCCCCTCACCTGCGGGCCCACCCACCAGAGAAGGAAATGGCCCTCCAAGGGCTCCGCGGTGCTGCCCACACTGTGGGGCAGGGGGGCCTAAGGAGCCCTGAGCCCAGCCGTGCAGGCGGCTCCTGCTGCTGTGGGTCCCCAAACAGGACCAGGGGGCGGGTTCCTGCGGCCCCCTTATGGGGATCTGGCATTAGCAGAGACTCACACAGCAGGGATTTGGGTGTCCGCTGGGTCCCGCCGCCCACAGGCCCCGAGCCCCTTGCATGCCCCAGGTCCCCCCACCTCAGCTTTGTCCTGAGCGCCAGGAGGAAGCCTGCCCTTGGCCTTCACACCCCAACCCCCAAGGCCAGAGGCCGGTGCGCACTGGGGGACAGATGCTTTAGGAAGTGGCCGGTCCTGTCACCAAACGCTAGTTCAGCCCTCACTTCCCAGGGCCCTGCCCTCTCTCCGTGGAGCTGTGGGACAGAGTGGGCCCCGGGTCGAGGGTCCCCCTGGGGCCAAAGGGGGCACGGGGGGCTCCGAGTGGGCTGGGGGGGAGGGTAGGGGGCGGCCTTGGACCACCAGACTGCTACAATAGCTCCACGGGGGGCCAGTCCGAGGGGCACGCACCCTGCCCGGCTCCTCTAGAGAAGCAGATGGCCAGGGACCCCAGTGCGGCGGCACCATTATTGCGACCTGGGTGGGTGGGCAGTCTGGACCTGTGGGTGGGCCGAAGGGCCTCTTCCCCTGGAGAAGAGGCGGGGCACCAGCTCTGTCTGCAGGTGGTCGCTGCTGGGGAGTGGAGGGGACAGAAGCCAGGGGGTGTTTGGGGACCCAGGACACCTGGCAGTCAGAGCGGGGACAGGCACACCTGAGCGCTCCCCGGGGCCCTGGGCAGCGGTGGGCCCGGCCCCGGCCTGTACAGTCCCCGGACTCTCAGACTCACAACCCGTTTGACACACAGACGCACCCGCACCGCCGGGGGCGCCTCCCTGCAGTGTCTGACCTGCAGCGCCCAGTCAGACTTGCCCAGTGCCCTGCACCATGAGTGCGCCCTGGGACTCTGGCTGTCCCAAGTGAGCTCAGGACCCCTGGGCTGGCTGCGAAAGGCCAAGGGTCCCCCGCCCACGATGGCCGGGTCCACAGGACCTTCAGTGCCGCCAGTGCCCTGCGGGCCATGGCTGGTCCCAGGGACCGCGGTGGGGAGAGAGGGGAGAGGCAGGCTCTGAGCCCGGGACCCCCCAGCGCTCCCGGCAGCGCGGGGCGTTCTGGAGCCTGAGTGTGGGGTGGGAGGGTCCGCAGGGCAGGTCTGGGAACTCGCAGCTCCTTCCTGGGGCTCGGGGGGTCCTGGTACATGAGACACTGGGGTGGACCCTCCTTGCCCAGAGCACCCTCATCCAACCAGAAGAGGCTGGGCAGCAGAGTGGGCCCCCGAAGTCCCCCTGCATCCCCTCAGTGAGTGTTTGCAGGTTATCCCAGGATGCAGGGGGTGGGGCAGCGGGGAGCTGGGAGGGGAGGGGCCCTAGCCTTTGCTACAGCTGAAGGGGGAAGAGGGTGTTCTGTCATTTTACCTCAAAGACCGGCCAGGTGGGGGCGCTCCAACCCACGGACCCTGGGCAGATCTGGTCCTGCCTGGGTGACCCTGGCCCCACCTACCATTTCCTGAGCAGCCCGCCCCTGATTTCTCTGAAGCTGGTCCCTGATTTCCACGAAGCCGGTCCCTGGTTTCCCAGCAGCCAAGACGCACGTAGTCTCCTGCCCCAGACAGTCATTCTGATCCCTGTCCCAGCGTTGGTGCCTGCTCCTGCCGCCCACCCACAGGTACGCTCGTCCCTGGGACTGATTCCTCTTGGTCTCTGGCTGGTCCATGGTTCTGCCTCATCCCGTCCCCTGAGTGGAAGTGGGTTGCCTGTCCAGGGGTGGATTTGGAGGCCGGGAGTGGGGGTCAGTGGCAGCATGCTGACCCAGAGCCACCACGTCCGAGGGTCTGCGGGGTCCCAGCTCCCCGGGCACCTGGCAGTGCTCCCCTCACCCCTCCAGAATCCAACGGGGGGTGCGGGGGAGCGATCCACCCCACAGCCCGGGACCTGACACCTGCTCAGGGTTCCAGGGCGGGCTGGGCGGGCGTGAGGCCATGGCAGTGGCTGAGTCCCATGTTCTCCCTCTCGGGCTTGTCCAGAGCCCAGATGTCCTGTCTGGGAGAGGCCAGCAGGACATCTCCCAAGAGGACACCAGCTGGGACACCCCACACTCGGCCAGGCCTTGCCTCACTTGCACTGAACGCGGGCAGGTCCCTCCCTGTCCCCGGGCAGAGGTCACTGGAAAGCACAGAAGAGTTTCCATCTGCCCGCTGCTTCTGTTTGCCGGTGAACTGGCCGCAGCCCTGCTTTCTCAGTGACAGAGAACGTGTCACATGACTGGGTGCTGTTCCTCACGCGCACAGGGGAGCTACGATGCTCTCCCGAAAATGAGGACCCGTCCCCAAACTCTGGGGACAGTCGCCTTTGGGTGGCAACGCTCTGACACTCTCGAAACTCTCCCCGGAAAGGCTTCCTCCCAGGCCGCCGAGATGTCTGTCCCGGTGGAGGACGTCATGAGGCTGCTGTGCTCCATTTGTGAGAACAAGAAAATGAGAGCGACCTTCAAACACTCAGTCAGGGGTGCTCTTATTACTAGTGCTGTGGCCATCACTGGTTTCATCCTTGGTGGCCCCCCAGGAATGGCTGTTGGTAAGTCCAGCGCCTCGCCCGTTCAGCCGGCCTGGCGGCTATGGGACTAAGACCTCAGGTCCCCAGAGCCCTCAGAGCAGGCTGCGTCCTGCGTGAGGAGGGGTGGCCTTGAGGTCACCTCTGAGACACAATCTTTGTCACAAACCACATCCTGGAAAACACCGGCCGCTGTGTCCGAGTCTCCGACCTGCAGGTGTCTAGAAATGGCCCCCGTGTCCCGCAGACCCGGAGGACGCCCTGCCCAGGGATGTGTCCTGCAGTCTGAGACCTCAGGGTGTCCCTGGGTGGTCCCTCCCCCATCATCATCATTACAGGGCTCCTTGGGAGGGGCACCCATAGGGGCACGTGCCATCTGTCAGTTCACGAGAGCTGTTCAGAGAGGGCGTCCCGCTCCCAAACTGTCCAGGGCAGGAGAAGCTGCCAACCACCGCCCACAGAGTCACCTGCCTTCATTTCTGTACCTGCTCCCACGTGGGAACCAGGACCTGCCAGGGGGATGAAGTTGGGCCGATGTCCCCTGGTCCCTGGGAGGGAGGTGACCTTGCTTCCTCTGGACTAGGGACAGGGAGATTCCCCAGGGGCCTGGCCTTGAGCTGACACTCAAACCACTGGCTGTGACCAGAGCAATAGCTGTGACCAGCACCACGTGGGATGGCCTGCTCTGACCACTCGTGAATGTCCCCAGTCATCATGAAGTTCATGAGCTGTCAGTGAGCTCAAGGCCATCGTTTGTGAACAGGGCTGGACTCACTTAACCTTCCTTGTCTTTTAGGCGGGTCCGCAGGGGCGCTCTTAGGGGCCTGGATGTCAAGTGGGCAATGTCAGTCTGTCCCTGAGATCCTCATGGAGCTGCCGCCCGCTGAGCGACGGAAGCTGCTCCGTGAGTTCATGGCCATTGTCCAGCACCTCGACTGGAGAGACACAGAGGAGCTGACCGACATGGTCATGGACAGGAAGGAACTGCAGCAACCGGTGGTGGACATGCTGGTGCACTACGTCACCAACGAGCTCGGGGCCAAGGTGCGGTATGGTCATTAGCCCCTCAGGACACCACAGGGTGTCGCAGGAGGGCCCTGGGGGCTGGGGTGCCCCGCCCCACCCTGTGTTACCTTCGGCTGCCGTGAGCCCCCTGCGGGGGAGGCTCGGCTGTGCCAGATCCTGGTCTGGCCATTGCAAATGAGGAGGTTGTGTGGCGTGGCCGCCTGGGGGTGGTTGTCTGAGCCCACCCTCCTGCCGTGGGGTCCGGAGGGAGGTGGTGGTGGGCAGCCGCTCATCTGTGAAGGTGACCTCTGACCCAAGCACGTGTAGCAGCACTGGGCGCCCCTCTGGGCCCGGGGTCTCAGGACCTGGTAACCGGCCACGCTGGAACCATGGGGACCCTCTGAGCGAGCCCCTCCCCCAATCCCTTCCGAGGGGCTCCTGGGAGGAAGTTGCAAAGTGCACCCCGCCCTTCTCCCACCTGCCCGGGCCCTACTGTCCAACCCAGTTCTGCTTTTCCAGGTCGCTGCTTGCAGCAAAAGTGTCACTGCTCTTCCTAAAGGTGTCGCATCACAGGCCACCTCTGAGAAGTGGGCACCCGAACATTTCCCACACACTGGGCCCCTGCGCCTAGAACCACGATGACACTGTCCCCAGATGGGACACACTTCCTGTGCAGTGTCTCTGTCCCCCTCACTCCTGGTCAGCAACCCTAACACTAGGGAGTCGTCCCCTCTGAGGGATGGGGACAATGGTACAGCTTGCCACCGGTGGCTCCTGTCCCCTCCTGACCCCCCGTTTTCCTGGCTGATTGGCTGTCATGCTCCATGGGCTGCCAGCGGGCATGCACTGTCCCGCCTCCCTGGGTTTGTGGGGGTGACTGAAGTGTGTGGCTGGAGGCCCTCCAGCCCTAGCACCCCCATTTTCCTAATCAAAAGCTTCAGGAAGAAGGGGGCGCCTGTCTGTGAGCGAAATTGGGTCTCTTGCCACCGCGTCCAGCACACACTGTGCCCCTGGAGCTGACCTGGCACAGAGCTGTCCCCTCCAGAGCTGCCTAGGGGAGTTGTTTATGGCCACCCACAATAATCTGGCATGTGTGGGGGGCTCACCTCCCGACCTAGCCGTGGTGTGCATGTGTGCAACCACCACGGTAACCCCATGTGTTTGGTGTGACCTCCTGTGGTACCCACCCACCCGTGTCTCCTTCCTCCGTCACCCTGGGCTCTGTGGGGGTCACCTCTCCCAGTAGCTAAGTATGTGACCCTCCACAGTAGCTTGTGCCTCCCTGCCATTGTAACAGGCCTTGCAGGGGGGTGGGTGACAGGTGAGGAAGACTGATCCTACCGGGGACACGTGGCAGTCAGCACACCCGCCCCACTTGGGGGAGGAGCCACAGGGGCTGCTCTGGAGATGGTCAGAGGGGGCAGTCAGCCATTTAGGACGGGAGATGGGTTTTGGGGCGGGGGTGCCTGGAAGCTTGCTTGGCCTTTGAAAAGACCCTTTGAGAGGTGTGAGGGGCCCTGCCAGGTGGGCAGGAGGCAGTGAGCCCCGGTGGGTCCTGGAACGGGTGGGCAGGGTGGTCCCGGACTTCAGAGGTTTTCCCGAGATGGAACCTGAGGTCCATGACCCACCCCCCGATTCTGAAATCCCAGGGACCGGGGCCTCCAAAGCAAAGGCCTTTCATAGTCATTGCCTGTGAACTGGCCGCAGCCCTGCTTTCTCGGTGACAGACAGTGTGTCACATGCCCGGGTGCTGTCCCTCACGTGCACAGGGGAGCTACGGTGCTGTCCCGAAAATGAGGACTCGTCCCTAAAACTCTAGGTAGAGTCAGCATTGGGTGGAAACACTCTAATACCCTTGAAACTCTCCCCTGAAAGGTTTCCTTCGAGGCCCTCGAAGACACCCATCACAGTGGAAGACCCCATGAGGCTGCTGAGCTCCAGATCAGGGGAGGAGAAAATAAGGCTGCGCAGGTTCCCTCTCTTGATCGGCCCATAGCTTCTGGTAGCCGGGGCCAGGATTGCAGGACCGCCAGGACTAACCATCAGTAAGTGGCAGTGCCGCGCGGGGGCAGCCGGCCTGGGGGCTGTGGGACACAGGCCTCAGGTGCACAGAGTCCTGGAAGCAGGCTGCCTCCTGCGTGAGCACGGGTGGCGTTGACGTCGCCTCTGAGACACGATCTTTGATACAGGACAAAATCCCATGTCCCCCCATTTCACCCCCCTGACACTCCTGACAAGGGGACAGGCACCGCGGTCACAGCTGGAAGGAAGCCAGCGCTGTCCCCTTGCTAGTCCCTAGTCCTTGGACTTGGCTTTATGGGGTGACCAGCTTTCCCATCACTGACCCTCTCCCGTCCTGGGGTCCCGCTCACGACAGATACTACGTGGCATTTGATACCACATGTCCTTGGTCCCCGGGCCTGGGACCGTCCCTCAGACCTGGCTGGCGTTCCCGGCCGTGAGAGGGTGGCGGGGTGGCAGGGTGGCCGCCGGGTGCTCTGTGGACCCGCTGCGCCCGGGCGTGGCTGCTGCCTCTCTGCTGACAGCGGGGGCTACGGGCCGTGGGCAGCACCCCGCTGAGGGGAGCTCCCCGCCCACAGCTCCGCATCAGGGGCACCGACATCCCCGGCACCTCGAGGTGACGATCACCTGGGTCACCCGGTCAGGATGTGTTGCCAGGTGACGTCGGTGCCGCATCCCCTGTGCGCTGCTCTCCCAGAGAGAGTCACTGCGTCCAGCTGGGCCGCCGCTGCCGAGGACACCGTTTGTGAACAGGCCCGACTCACTGAGCCTTCCTTGTCCTCCAGGCGGCGCCGCCCTCGTCCGGCTCCCAGGGGCTGGGATGACCAAGGAGAAGACGCAGCTGATGCCTCGAGTCCAGAAAAAGACATGCACGTATATGTGGGAGCTGGTCAGCAGGGTGCAGGTGGTAACTAGTAACCTGTGTTTCCTTTAGCCGACGAGCTGCCCAAGGTCCCCAGTAGCCACCACAGACGTCCCCGGCAGCTGGCGGACGTGCTGGGGGAACTCTTCCCCAGGGAGCCCAAGGGAAGGGCACAAGCAGCCCCTCGGCACCAGGGTCCCCAGGAGCGGCGGGGGCTGGGGTGCCCACAGAGCCAGGTGTCACCTTAACCCCTCCATGCCCACGCTTTTCCCCCTCACGGCACACACAAGCAAACCACTGCAATTCTGAGTCACACCAGAAAATGAATTGCGCTTTCGGCTGATCTGATGAATAAAATTGGTGTAATTTTGATTCATTCACACCAGACGTCTACTGTTGTGTCGTCTCTGGTCATTTTTCATTTGACCACCTGAGGGAAAAGAGGTCGGTGCCCTTGACTAACAACAGGTCAGGTGTCACATGGTAAAACTTCTCACAGGGCCGTGGCTGACCTCGCCGCCTTCCGCGGCCGGGAGCCTGCTGCGGGGGAGGCTGGGCTGTGCGGGAGCCTGGTCCGGACACCCCCGATGCGGGCGGCCTGTGGCGTGGCGGCCTGGGCCTGCTGTCTGAGCCCACCCTCCTGCCGTGGGGTCTGCAGGGAGGTGGCGGTGGGCAGCCGATCATCTGCGAAGGTGACCTCTGACCCGGGCAGGTGCAGCAGGAGTGCGCGTCCCTCTGCACCTGGGGTCCCAGGACCTGGCAGCCGGCCCCGCTGGAACCATGGGGACCCCCCTGAGTGAGCCCCTCCCCAGTCCCTTCTGAGGGGGCCCCTGGGAGGGAAACGCCGAGGGCACCCAGCCCCTGTCCCAGCGCCCCAGGCCCTGCTATCCCATCCGGTTCTGCTTTTCCAGGTCGCTGCTTGCAGCAGAAGGTGCTCTTGCATTGCTCTTTCTGAAGATGTCGGGTCCCAGGCCACCTCTGAGAAGTGGGCACCCGAACGTTCCCACACACTGGCCCCCCCATCCTCCGCCTAGAACCACGCCGGCACTGTCCCCAGATGGGACAGGAAATGGTCGGTGGCTTCTTTAAGAAAACACATTATTGACATATTTTTAGAGAGGGGGAAGGGTCGGAGAAAGAGGGAGAGAGACGTGCATTCGCTCCCTCTCATACATGCCGCACCCGGGGGCCCACCCCGCCACCCAGGCGTCTGCACTGACGGGGAACCTAACCTGAGACCATTCCCTTGCAGAGGGCGCCCACCCCAGGGGCCCCTCCGCCCCCCGCCAGGGCTCCGGCACGTGGTCTTCGGGGCCAGTGCCTCCGAGTGAAATTGCCGGGTACAAAGTGGCAGTAGTTTCATCAATACACTTTATTGATTAGGCTATTAGTGTTGTCTCATTTTCCCTCCCCTTGATTCCCCTCTGCCCTGCTCCCCACCTCCCACCAGCGTCCCCCCTTAGTTCACGTCCATGGGTCGTCCATGCCCTGCTCCCCACCTCCCACCAGCGTCCCCCCTTAGTTCACGTCCATGGGTCGTCCATGTAAGTTCTTTGGCGTCTCCAGTTCCCACACTGTTCTTACCCTCCCCTGTCTGTTTTGAACCTGCCAATTATGTTTCTTACTCCCTGAACCGTTTCCCCCTCCCCCTCCCCGCTGATAACCCTCCCTGTGATCTCCCTCTCTGTGGTCTGCTCCTGTTCTAGTTGTTTGCTTAGTTTATTTTTGTTTTTGTTTTAGGTGCGGTTGCTAATAATTGTGAGTTTGCTGTCATTTTACTGTACATGCTTTTTATCTTCTTTTTCTTAGATAAGTCCCTTTAACATTTCATAAAATAGGGGCTCAGTGATGATGAACTGTTTTAACTTGACCTTATCTGAGAAGCACTTTATCTGCCCTTCCATTCCAAATGAAAGCTTTGCTGGATAGAGCAATCTGGGATGTAAGTCGTTGCTTTTCATGACTTTAGATACTTTTTTCTGGCCCCTTCTTGCCTGCAAGGTTTCTTTTGAGAAATCAGCTGATAGTCTTACGGGAACTCCTTTGTAGGTACCTGTTTCCTTCTCTCTTCCTGCTTTTAAGATTCTCTCCTCATATTTGATCGTAGGTAACACAATTATGATGTGCCTTGGTGTGTGCTTCCTTGGGTCCAACTTCTTTGGGACTCTGTGAGCTTCCTGGGTTTCCTGGAAGTCTATTTCCTTTGCCAGATTGGGGAAGTTCTCCTTCACTATGTTTTCAAGTAAGTTTTCCATTTCTTGCTCTTCCTCTTCTCCTTTTGGCACCCCTGTGGTTCAGATGTTGGAACGTTTGAAGTTGTCCTGGAGGTTCCTAAGCCTCTCCTCATTTTTTTGAATTTCTGTGTCTTCATTTTTTTGTGATTGGATGTTTCTTTCTTCCTTTTACTCCACATCTTTGACTCGAGTCCCGGTCTCCTTCTCTTCACTCTTGGATCCTTGTATATATTTTTTTAAGATTTCATTTATTTATTTTTAGAGAGGGAAGGGAGGGAGGGAGAGAGAAAGGGGGGGAGAGAGAGAGAAACAGAGAGGGAGGGAGAGAAACATCAATGTGCGGTTGCTGGGGGCCATGGCCTGCAACCCAGACATGTGCCCTGACTGGGAATCGAACCTGCGACACTTTGGTTCGCAGCCCACACTCAATCCACTGAGCTACGCCAGCCAGGGCATGGTTCCTTGTATATTTTTATTTCACTTTTCATAGCCTTCACTTCTTCCTCTATGCTGCAACCATTTCTCAGAACATCCTGATCACCAGTGTTTTCAACTGTGCATCTGGTAGGTTGGCTACCTCTTCATTCTTTAGTTGTCCTTGTTCTGGAGCTTTGATCTGTTCTTTTATTTGGGCCTTAATTTTTTTTTGTTTTGGCATGCCTGTTACATAGTGAGGGGTGGAGCCTTAGGGATTTGCCAGGGCAGGGCAACCCACGTCCAGGGCAGGGCAACCCACGTCCCCGAGTTATGGCGCTGTGCATGGGGGAGGGGCCTGAGAGGGAACAGTGCCATTTGTTCAAGTCTCAGCTGGCTTTCAACCACTTCCCCCCTACCGACTAGCAAAGTGGGCCCTTCGGGTGCTGATTCCCCTGCGGGTGGGTCTGTGCACGTTCCTAGGACCCTGTGGGTCTCTCCAATGAGCTCTCCTGTGAGGCTGGGAGTTTCTCCTGCTGCCCCAACCCCCACGGGGTTTTACGGTCAGAGGTCTGAGGCTTTATTTCCCCGCTGGAACCCTGGGTTGTGGGTCTGTCTCGCCCCCCGGTTGTTCCTCCTGGTTAACCTGCACACGGATGTGGGAGCACCCGCTCCCCCAGCCACCACCAGGCACAGCCTGTGAGCCGCCGCCTTGCCACGCATGCTCCCCGCCCCTCCTGTGGGTCTGGGCGAGTGTTTCTTCTTCCACTCCTTGTTTGTCGGACTCCCACACGTTTGATTTACCGGCAGTACTGGTTAGTTTTTGTTTTTAAATGTGTTGTTGTTGTCCTTCTTTTGGTTGTGTGAGGATGCAAACTGTATCCACCTGCGCATCATCTTGGCCAGGAATCTTGAAGTGGCTGTGTTTCCTAAGGCTGTAGTTTTACTGAGTCCAGGTTTCTATCGGACGGGGACACAGGAACACACGGTGGGGGGAAGACGGCCTGTCCATCCCACGGGAGAGGCGGAGAACTGGGCACAGATGCTCAGCGCAGAGACACCAGGAGAAAGGCCTCCTGGACATGACAACTGTGTGGTGACTGCTGGGGGGCGCGGGCAAGGGGACTGAAGGTACTGCACAAAAATACAGCAAGGATTAAGTTAAAAAACAAGAAAACTGTTACAGAACAAAAGGGTGGGCCAAGGGCAGCCGAGGCAATATACTACTACCTGAAAGGAAACCCCCCAGGTTCATTATATCTGCCGCCAGAGGAAAGACATCTCTCAATACCAGAGATCGGTGAAAAGGAAAGGAATTTGTTATTCATTTGAAATAACACAAACTAAAGTTCCCCACAAATGCACACAGTCCTCCCAGCACCCTCCACGTGGCAAAAGGGAGCACCTCCAAAGCCTCGTGGTGCTGACTCTCACCCAAGCCTCATGGTCCCAACCACGACACCACAGCTGCGTGGTCCTAAACAGACTAGTGGTCCCAAAAACAGAGACGCGCAGTGGCTGCCGTGCCTCCGTTTAAATCCCAGCGCCAATCTTCCTCTGCAGCCCCATTTCTGGCTCCCACCACAACTGGCCACAGCTGCCCGCGTTCTGGGCAGGTGTGGCCCTGTGCTGTGGAGCCAATTATCTCCAAGCTCTTCTGGACCCTGTAACAAATCCCTATTTGGGCTCCCCTCTTGGCTGCACCCTGTTACAAAACTAGACCACCTTCTTACACCATCTACAAGAATAAACTCAGCATGGATTGAAGACTTCAGTGTAAATCTCAAAACCATGGGAACCCTAGAAACAACCAGGGGCAGTAACCTCTCGACCGTTTATTGTGGCCATAGCTTCTTCTGCTGTATCTCCTCGGGCACGGGAAACCAGAGAGAAAGTAATGACCCTAAAACGTGTTTGCATAGCAAAATGAAAACACATTCCCCAGTGACACTCCTGATGAGGGGTCAATATCCAAAATGCATAAAGAACTCGCACAACTCAACACCAAACAACAACACTCCAATTAAAAACTGGGCCAAGGACCTGAATAGACACTTCCCCAAACAGGACACGCAGAGGCCAATAGATGTGTGAAAAGATGCTCAACGTCAGGAATCATCAGGGAGATGCAAATTAAAACCTCAGTGAGGTGTCACCCCACACCTGTCAGAATGGCCACCACCAACAAACGCACAAACAACAAGTCCTCGTGGGGACGGGGAGCAGGGCACCCTGGTGCACTGCTGAGGGGAATGCGGACGGTGCAGCCGCCGTGGGGAACAGTATGGAGGTTCCTCAAAACATAAAAACGCTACTGCCTTCTGACCCAGCATCCCCCTTCTGGGATGTATCTGAACAAACCGAACCCTAACGGGAAAGGACGTAAGCACCCCGTGTTCACTGCAGCGAGCTCGCTATAGTGGCCAAGACTGGACCAGCCCTGGCGCCCGGCGGCAGCCGAGTGGGTGGAGGGGCTGCAGTGCGCTCCCGCGGCGGAATGCCCTCAGCCCCGAGGACGGAAGGAGCTGTCACCCCTTGTGACAGCGGGGATGGGGCCCCCCGAGACAGGGGCCTGCTGGGTGGGACACGCCAGTCACTCACGGTGGGGGGGGGGCGGTGCGCTGGGGGAAACATGGAGGGATTCGGCAAAAAAGAAGGAAACAAACAAAACACGGGTGGAGAGCCCACAGCGTGGAGGGGACCGGAGAGAGCGCGGAGGTCGGGGCGGGAGGAGGGGTGGGGGCCGACCTGGTGCAAGGAAGAGACCTGACTCTGGGCGGCGCACACAGGCTGCCACGTGCAGGTGAGGTGCTGGCTCGGCCGAAAGTCTCTCCAGAGTTTGCCTTAAATAAAAGGCACAGTTTCCATGTTCACCAGTAACGCGGTTGAGTTGGGTATTCTGAGTGCGTTGGCCCTCTCCCCCGTGCCATGACGCTGACTGCTCCCAATGAACAACTGGATTTGGTCGCTATCAGCTGCAGCTGGTCCACCCGGCCGTGGGGGCACCGTCCAGCGAGAAACGTCCAGCACGGAACTTCACAGACCACCTCTGACACGTTCCATCGGTCACAGCGCCTTCTCCACGCACTGTACATGACTTTTCTTGTTTCACTTGTGTTTTGACCTTTCTTGAGAAAATACAGCATAAGATCCCGAAAATGGTGCTTACTCTCTTCCTTCTTCGATATAAAAAGGGCTGTACAGAAATTCACCAGTTTCAGTTGTTTCAGAGGCACGCGGACAGGACGGCTGGCACGGTGCGTCTCACAAAGCTGTTTCCGACGACGAGCAAGCGCTGCCGGAGCCCCCCGTCCGGGAAACGCCCAAGGGACCTTCCGCCAACGCGGTATCACAGAATCGTCCACCTGCAACCTTTATAATTTTTTTTGTTTTAAAATGTTTTATTTATTTATTTTTAGAGAGGGAAGGGAGGGAGAAAGAGAGAGACAGAGAAACATCCATGTGCAGTTGCTGGGGGTCATGGCCTGCAACCCAGGCATGTGCCCTGACTGGGAATCGAACCTGCGAGACTTTGGTTTGCAGCCCGCGCTCAATCCACTGAGCTGGGCCAGCCAGGACAACCTTTATGATTTTATTAACCAAATTCACCCTACTAAACTCAATAAAGATAAATGGGGTTCAATGTGAGGCCTGGGCTCTACGAGGGCCCCCCCGGACTGTCCCTCAGGGGCTCTGTGTGGTGCTCCCAGAGGCCAGCAGGGTCCCTCAGGGGCAGCAGCCAGAGGGAGGACGCCCCGGACACCACACGGGGACGAAACTCGCCTAAATGGCAATGTAAAGGGGCCTGAGCCGCAGAACTGAAGGGAGTGGGGAGGGAAGGAGAGGAGGGAGGGAGAGAAAGAGAGAGGAAAACGAAGAAAGGAAGGAAGAAAAGAGGAGGGAAGGAAGGAAGTGAGGAGGGAAGGAAGGAAGGGAGGAGGGAAGGAAGGACCGACAGGTGGAGAGAAAGAAGGGCTCAATAAAGACGCCCCCCAAATGTTTGGGCAAACTGAAGTTTGCTGCTGGGGCTCGTGTGTGTCCATGGAAAGGCCCAGAAGGCTTCTGCAGACCCCAGATGGCCCCGGGCCAGCCCGTGTGTGTGTGTGTGTGTGTGTGTGTGTGTGTGTGTGTGTGTGTGTTGGGGGCTCCATGAGCCCCTCTAGAGCACAGCGGACGCCCCTCACCTGCGGACCCACCCCCCAGAGAAGGAAAGGGCCCTCCGAGGGCTCCGTGGTGCTGCACACACTGTGGGGCAGGGGGGCCTAAGGAGCCCTGAGCCCAGCCGTGCAGGCGGCTCCTGCTGCTGTGGGTCCCCAAACAGGACCAGGGGGCGGGTTCCTGCGGCCCCCTTATGGGGATCTGGCATTAGCAGAGACTCACACAGCAGGGATTTGGGTGTCCAGTGGGTCCCGCCGCCCACAGGCCCCGAGCCCCTTGCATGCCCCAGGTCCCCCCACCTCAGCTTTGTCCTGAGCGCTAGGAGGAAGCCTGCCCTTGGCCTTCACACCCCAACCCCCAAGGCCAGAGGCCGGTGCGCACTGGGGGACAGATGCTTTAGGAAGTGGCCGGTCCTGTCACCAAACGCTAGTTCAGCCCTCACTTCCCAAGGCCCTGCCCTCTCTCCGTGGAGCTGTGGGACGGAGTGGGCCCCGGGTCGAGGGTCCCCTGGGGCCAAAGGGTCATGGGGGCTCCGAGTGGGCTGGAGGGAGGGCAGGGGTGGCCTTGGACCACCAGACTGCTACAATAGCTCCACGGGGGCCAGTCCGAGGGGCACGCACCCTGCCCGGCTCCTCTAGAGAAGCAGATGGCCAGGGACCCCAGTGCGGCGGCACCATTATTGCGACCTGGGTGGGTGGGCAGTCTGGACCCGTGGGTGGGCCGAAGGGCCTCTTCCCCTGGAGAAGAGGCGGGGCACCAGCTCTGTCTGCAGGTGGTCGCTGCTGGGGAGTGGAGAGGACAGAAGCCAGGGGGTGTTTGGGGACCCAGGACACCTGGCAGTCAGAACGGGGACAGGCACACCTGAGCGCTCCCCGGGGCCCTGGGCAGCGGTGGGCCCGGCCCCGGCCTGTACAGTCCCCGGACTCTCAGACTCACACCCCGTTTGACACACAGACGCACCCGCACCACCAGGGGGCGCCTCCCTGCAGTGTCTGACCTGCAGCGCCCAGTCAGACTTGCCCAGTGCCCTGCACCATGAGTGTGCCCTGGGACTCTGGCTGTCCCAAGTGAGCTCAGGACCCCTGGGCTGGCTGCGAAATGCAGAGGGTCCCCCGCCCAGGATGGCCGGGTCCACAGGACCTTCAGTGCCGCCGGTGCCCTGTGGGCCATGGCTGGTCCCAGGGACGGTGGGGGGGACAGAGGGGAGAGGCAGGCTCTGAGCCCGGGACCCCCCAGCGCTCCCGGCAGCGCCGCGGGGCGTTCTGGAGCCTGAGTGTGGGGTGGGAGGGTCCGCAGGGCAGGTCTGAGAACTCGCAGCTCCTTCCCGGGGCTCGGGGGGTCCCGGTACATGAGACACTGGGGTGGACCCTCCTTGCCCAGAGCACCCTCATCCAACCAGAAGAGGCTGGGCAGCAGCGTGGGCCCCCGAAGCCCCCCTGCATCCCCTCAGTGAGTGTTTGCAGGTCAGCCCAGGATGCAGGGGGAGGGGCAGCGGGAAGGGGCGGGGCCCCAGCCTTGGCTCCAGCGGCAGGGGGAAGAGGCTCCTCTGTGTCGTTACTTCCCAGCATGGCCAGGTGGGGGCGCTCCAACCCACGGACCCTGGGCAGATCTGGTCCTGCCAGGTTGACCCTGGCCCCACCTACCATTTCCTGAGCAGCCCGCCCCTTATTTCCCCGAAGCCCGTCCCTGGTTTCCCAGCAGCCAAGAAGCACGTAGTCTCCTGCCCCAGAGGGTCATTCTGATCCCTGTCCCAGCGTCGGTGCCTGCTCCTGCTGCACACCCACAGGTACGCTCCTCCCTGGGACTGATTCCTCTTGGTCTCTGGCTGGTCCATGGTTCTGCCTCATCCAATCTGTGAGTGGAAGTGGGTTGCCTCTCCAGGGGTGGATTTGGAGGCCGGGGGGTGGGGGTCAGCGGCAGGATGCTGACCCAGAGCCACCACATCCGAGGGTCTGCGGAGTCCCCGCTCCCTGGGCACCTGGACGAGCTCCCCTCACCCCTCCAGAATCCAGTGGGGGGGGGGTGGTCGACCCCACAGCCCGGGACCTGACACCTGCTCAGGGTTCCAGTGCCAGCTGGGAGGGTGTGAGGCCTGTGTCTCGGTGGCCGAGGCCCCAGTTCCCCTCTCAGGCTTGTCCGGAGCCCAGATGTCCTGTCTGGGAGAGGCCAGGAGGACATCTCCCAAGAGGACACCGGCTGGGACACCCCACACTCGGCCAGGCCTTGCCTCACTTGCACTGAACGCGGGCAGGTCCCTCCCTGTCCCCGGGCAGAGGTCACTGGAAAGCACAGAAGGGTTTCCACCCGCCCGCTGCTTCTGTTTGCCCATGAACTGGCCACAGCCCTGCTTTCTCGGTGACAGAGAAGGTGTCACCTGACTGGGTGCTGTCCCTCACGCACACAGGGGAGCTATGGTGCTCTCCCGGAAATGAGGTCCTGTCCCCCAAACTGTGGGGAGAGTCGCCTTTGGGTGGCAAGGCTCTGACACTCCCCAGACTCTCTCCGGAAACACTTCCTCCCAGGCCGCCGAGATGTCAGTCACGGTGGAGGACGTCATGAGGCTGCTGTGCTCCATTTCGAAGGAGAAGAAAATGAGAGTGACCATCAAACACTCACTGAGGGGTGGCGTGGTCGCCGGTGTAACGACTGCCATTGGTGGCCTGTTACTTGGCCCCCCAGGACTAGCTCTTGGTAAGTGCCAGTGGGGCAGCCGGCCCCGGGGGCTGTGGGACAAAGGCCTGAGGTCCCCAGAGCCCTCAGAGCAGGCCACGTCCTGCGTGAGGAGGGGTGGCGTTGAGGTCGCCTCTGAGACACAGTCTCTGTCACAAACCGCGTCCTGGGAAACACCGGCCGCTGTGTCCGAGTCTCCGACCTGCAGGTGTCTGCAAATGGCCCCCGTGTCCCGCAGACCCGGAGGACGCCCTGCCCAGGGATGTGTCCTGCAGACTGAGGCCTCAGGGTGTCCTTGGGTGGCCCCTCCCCCATCATCATCATTACAGGTGCCCTCAGGAGGGGCACCCATGGGGGGGGACCGTACCATTTGTCAGTTCACGTGAGCTGTTCAGAGAGGGCGTCCCCGCTCCCAGTCAAACTGTCCCGGGCAGGAGAACCTGCCAACCACCACCCACAGAGTCACCTGCCCTCCTGTCCCCCCCTGCTCCCACGTGGGAACCAGGACCTGCCAGGGGATGAAGTTGGGCCGATGTCCCCTGGTCCCTGGGAGGGAGGGTGACCTTGCTTCCTCTGGACTAGGGACAGGGAGATTCCCCAGGGGCCCCGCCCCGGGCTGTCACTCAAACCCCGGACTGTGACCAGAGCAACCAGCGGTGACCAGCACAGAGGTGGGGCTGAGCCTGCTGTGACCACCCACTCCTCAATGTGCCCGCCCATCTTAATGGGGACCAGGTCTCAGCGAGCTCAAGGCCACCGTTTACATGCAGTGAAAACGCATTGAATCTTTCTTCTCTTCCAGGGGGTGCCCTAGGGGGGCTCTTAGCGTGGGCGACGAGTGAGGAGTTCCAGCCTGTCCCTCAGATCCTAATGGAGCTGCCGCTCGCTAAGAAGGTGAAGCTGTGCAATCAGTTCATGGCCATCGTCAGGGGCCTGGATTGGACAGACGCTGTGACGCTGACCGCACTGGTCATGGGCAGAGTGGACCTGAAGCAACAGCTGATTCACATGGTGGTGGGCTACCTCACCAAGGAGCTCAAGGCCAAGGTGCAGTACGGCAATTAGCCCCTCAGGGCACCACAGGGTGTCACAGGAGGTCCCTGTGGGCTGGGGTACCCCACCCCACTGGCTGTGCTGGATCCTGGTGGACATTGAGGAGGAGGGGTTTCTGTGGGGTGGCTGAGGGGGGTGGTAGTCTGAGCCTACCCTCCTGCCGTGGGGTCTGGAGGGAGGTGACCGTGGACAGCTGCTCATCTGCGAAGTTGACCTCTGACCCGGGCAGGTGCAATAGGAGTGGGTGCCCCTACCGACCCGGGGTCCCAGGACCTGGCAGCCGGCCCCACTGGAATCATGGGGACCCCCTGAGTGAGTCCCTCCCCTCGGCCCCTTCCGAGGGGTCCCTGGGAGGGAATCAACAAGTGCACCCCGCCCTTCTCCCACCTGCCCAGGCCCTACTGTCCCATCCCCTTCTGCTTTTCCAGGTCGTTGCTTGCAGCAAAAGTGTCATTGCTCTTTCTGAAGGGGTCGGGTCCCAGGCCACCTCTGAGAAGTGGGCACCCGAACACCCCACACACTGGGTCCTCCCTTACCTAGAACCACGCCGGCACTGTCCCCAGATGGGACAGGAAATGGTCAGTGGCTTCTTTAAGAAAACACATTATTGATATATTTTTAGAGAGGGGGAAGGGACGGAGAAAGAGGGAGAGAGACGTGCATTCGCTCCCTCTCATACATGCCGCACCCAGGGGCCCACCCCGCCACCCAGGCGTCTGCACTGACTGGGAACCTAACCTGCGACCATTCCCTTGCAGAGGGCGCCCACCCCAGGGCCCCTCCGCCCCCCGCCAGGGCTTCGGCACGTGGTCTTCGGGGCCAGTGCCTCCGAGTGAAATTGCTGGGTACAAAGTGGCAGTAGTTTCATCAATACACTTTATTGATTAGGCTATTAGTGTTGTCTCATTTCCCTCCCCTTGATTCCCCTCTGCCCTGCTCCCCACCTCCCACCCACATTCCCTGGTTCCCCTTAGTTCACGTCCATGGGTCGTCCATGTAAGTTCTTTGGTGTCTCCAGTTCCCACACTGTTCTTACCCTCCCCTGTCTGTTTTGAACCTGCCAATTATGTTTCTTACTCCCTGTACCGTTTCCCCCTCCCCTCCCCCGCTGATAACCCTCCCTGTGATCTCCCTCTCTGTGGGTCTGCTCCTGTTCTAGTTGTTTGCTTAGTCTGTTTTTGTTTTTGTTTTAGGTGTGGTTGCTAATAATTGTGAGTTTGCTGTCATTTTACTGTACATGCTTTTTATCTTCTTTTTCTTAGATAAGTCCCTTTAACATTTCATAAAATAGGGGCTCGGTGATGATGAACTGTTTTAACTTGACCTTATCTGGGAAGCACTTTATCTGCCCTTCCATTCCAAATGAAAGCTTTGCTGGATAGAGCAATCTTGGATGTAAGTCGTTGCTTTTCATGACTTTAGATACTTTTTTCTGGCCCCTTCTTGCCTGCAAGGTTTCTTTTGAGAAATCAGCTGATAGTCTTACAGGAACTCCTTTGTAGGTAACTGTCTCCTATTCTCTTGGTGCTTTTAAGATTCTCTCCTCATATTTGATCGTAGGTAACACAATTATGATGTGCCTTGGTGTGTGCTTCCTTGGGTCCAACTTCTTTGGGACTCTGTGAGCTTCCTGGGTTTCCTGGAAGTCTATTTCCTTTGCCAGATTGGGGAAGTTCTCCTTCACTATGTTTTCAAGTAAGTTTTCCATTTCTTGCTCTTCCTCTTCTCCTTTTGGCACCCCTGTGGTTCAGATGTTGGAACGTTTGAAGTTGTCCTGGAGGTTCCTAAGCCTCTCCTCATTTTTTCAAATTTCTGTTTCTTCATTTTTTTGTGATTGGATGTTTCTTTCTTCCTTTTACTCCACATCTTTGACTCGAGTCCCGGTCTCCTTCTCTTCACTCTTGGATCCTTGTATATATTTTTTTAAGATTTCATTTATTTATTTTTAGAGAGGGAAGGGAGGGAGGGAGAGAGAAAGGGGGGGAGAGAGAGAGAGACAGAGAGAGAGAGAGAGAGAGAGAGAGAGAGAGAGAAACAGAGAGGGAGGGAGAGAAACATCAATGTGTGGTTGCTGGGGGCCATGGCCTGCAACCCAGGCATGTGCCCTGACTGGGAATCGAACCTGCGACACGTTGGTTCGCAGCCCACACTCAATCCACTGAGCTACGCCAGCCAGGGCATGGTTCCTTGTATATTTTTATTTCACTTTTCATAGCCTTCACTTCTTCCTCTATGTTGCAACCATTTCTCAGAACATCCTGATCACCAGTGTTTTCAACTGTGCATCTGGTAGCTTGGCTACCTCTTCATTCTTTAGTTGTCCTTGTTCTGGAGCTTTGATCTGTTCTTTTATTTGGGCCTTACTTTTTTTGTTTTGGCATGCCTGTTACATAGTGAGGGGATGGAGCCTTAGGGATTTGCCAGGGCAGGGCAACCCACGTCCCCGAGTTATGGCGCTGTGCATGGGGGAGGGGCCTGAGAGGGAACAGTGCCATTTGTTCAAGTCTCAGCTGGCTTTCAACCACTTCCCCCCTACCGACTAGCAAAGTGGGCCCTTCTGGGTGCTGATTCCCCTGCGGGTGGGTCTGTGCACGTCCTAGGGACCCTGTGGGTCTCTCCAATGAGCTCTCCTGTGAGGCTGGGAGTTTCTCCTGCTGCCCCAACCCCCACGGGGTTTTACGGTCAGAGGTGTGAGGCTTTATTTCCCCGCTGGAACCCTGGGTTGTGGGTCTGTCTCGCCCCCCGGTTGCTCCTCCTGGTTAACCTGCACACGGATGTGGGAGCACCCGCTCCCCAAGCCACCACCAGGCACAGCCTGTGAGCCGCCGCCTTGCCACGCGTGCTCCCCGCCCCTCCTGTGGGTCTGGACGAGTGTTTCTTCTTCCACTCCTTGTTTGTCGGACTCCCACACGTTTGACTTACCGGCAGCTCTGGTTAGTTTTTGTTTTTAAATGTGTTGTTGTTGTCCTTCTTTGGGTTGTGTGGCAGTCTGCAAACTGTATCCACCTGCGCATCATCTTGGCCAGGAATCTTGAAGTGGCTGTGTTTCCTAAGGCTGTAGTTTTACTGAGTCCAGGTTTCTATCGGACGGGGACACAGGAACACACGGTGGGGGGAAGACGGCCTGCCCATCCCACGGGAGAGGCGGAGAACTGGGCACAGATGCTCAGCGCAGAGACACCAGGAGAAAGGCCTCCTGGACATGACAACTGTGTGGTGACTGCTGGGGGGCGCGGGCAAGGGGACTGAAGGTACTGCACAAAAATACAGCAAAGACTAAGTTAAAAAACAAAGAAGGAAACTGTTACAGAACAAAAGGGGGGCCAAGGGCAGCCGAGGCAATATACTGTTACCCAAAAGGAACCCCCCAAGTTTGTTATGTCCGCCGCCAGAGGAAAGACATCTCTCAATACCAGAGATCGGTGAAAAGGAAAGGAATTTGTTATTCATTTGAAATAACACAAACTAAAGTTCCCCACAAATGCACACAGTCCTCCCAGCACCCTCCACGTGGCAAAAGGGAGCACCTCCAAAGCCTCGTGGTGCTGACTCTCACCCAAGCCGCGTGGTCCCAACCAAGACACCACAGCCGCGTGGTCCTAAACAGACTAGTGGTCCCAAAAACAGAGACGCGCAGTGGCTGCCGTGCCTCCGTTTAAATCCCAGCGCCAATCTTCCTCTGCAGCCCCATTTCTGGCTCCTCCCACAACTGGCCACAGCTGCCCGCGTTCTGGGCAGGTGTGGCCCTGTGGTGTGGAGCCAATTATCTCCAGGATCTTCTGGACCCTACTACAAATGCCTATTTGGGCTCCCCTCTTGGCTGCACCCTGTTACAAAACTAGACCACCTTCTTACACCATCTACAAGAATAAACTCAGCATGGATTAAAGACTTCAATGTAAATCTCAAAACCATGGGAACCCTAGAAACAACCAGAGGCAGTAGCCTCTCGACCGTTTATTGTGGCCATAGCTTCTTCTGCTGTATCTCCTCGGGCACGGGAAACCAGAGAGAAAGTAATGACCCTAAAACGTGTTTGCATAGCAAAATGAAAACACATTCCCCAGTGACACTCCTGATAAGGGGTTAACATCCAAAATGCATAAAGAACTCGCACAACTCAACACCAAACAACAACACTCCAATTATAAACTGGGCAAAGGACCTGAACAGACACTTCCCCAAACAGGACACGCAGAGGCCAACAGACATTTGAAAAGATGCTCAGCGTCACAAATCATCAGAGAGATGCAAATTAAAAACCTCAATGAGGTGTCACCCCACACCTGTCAGAATGGCCGCCACCAACAAACCCACAAACAACAAGTCCTCGTGGGGACGGGGAGCAGGGCACCCTGGTGCACTGCTGGTGGGAATGTGGACGGCGCAGCCACCGTGGGGAACAGTATGGAGGTTCCTCAAAACATAAAAACGCTACTACTGCCTTCTGACCCAGCTTCCCCCTTCTGGGATGTATCTGAACAAACTGAACCCTAACGGGAAAGGACGTAAGCACCCCGTGTTCACTGCAGCGAGCTCACCCTAGTGGCCAAGACTGGACCAGCCCTGGTGCCCGGCGGCAGCCGAGTGGGTGGAGGGGCTGCAGTGCGCATCCGCGGCGGAATGTGCTCAGCCCCGAGGAGGGAAGGAGCTCTCACCCCCTGTGACAGCGGGGATGGGGCCACCCCAGACAGGGGCCTGCTGGGTGGGACACGCCAGTCACTCACGGGGGAGGTGGGGGGGAGGTGGCGGTGCGCTGGGAGAAATGTGGAGAGATTCGGCAAAAAAGAAGGAAACAAACCAACAAACAAAACACGGGTGGAGAGCCCACAGCGTGGAGGGGACCGGAGGGAGCGCGGAGGTCGGGGCGGGAGGAGGGGTGGGGGCCGACCTGGTGCAGGGAAGAGACCTGACTCTGGGCGGCGCACACAGGCTGCCACGTGCAGGTGAGGTGCTGGCTCGGCCGAAAGTCTCTCCAGAGTTTGCCTTAAATAAAAGACACAGTTTCCATGTTCACCAGTAACACGGTTGAGTTGGGTATTCTGAGTGCGTTGGCCCTCTCCCCCGTGCCATGACGCTGACTGCTCCCAATGAACAACTGGATTTGGTCGCTATCAGCTGCAGCTGGTCCACCCGGCCGTGGGGCACCGTCCAGCGAGAAACGTCCAGCACGGAACTTCACAGACCACCTCTGACGCGTTCCATCGGTCACAGCGCCTTCTCCACGCACTGCACACGACCTTTCTTGTTTCGCTTGCGTTTTGACCTTTCTTGAGAAAATACAGCATAAGATCCCGAAAATGGTGCTTACTCTCTTCCTTCTTCAATATAAAAAGGGCTGTACAGAAATTCACCAGTTTCAGTTGTTTCAGAGGCACTCGGACAGGACGGCTGGCACGGTGCGTCTCACAAAGCTGTTTCCGACGACGAGCAAGCGCTGCCGGAGCCCCCGTCCGGGAAACGCCCAAGGGACCTTCCGGCCAACGCGGTATCACAGAATCGTCCACCTGCAACCTTTATAATTTTTTTTGTTTTAAAATGTTTTATTTCTTTATTTTTAGAGAGGGAAGGGAGGGAGAAAGAGAGAGAGAGAGAAACATCCATGTGCGGTTGCTGGGGGTCATGGCCTGCAACCCAGGCATGTGCCCTGACTGGGAATCGAACCTGCGAGACTTTGGTTTGCAGCCCGCGCTCAATCCACTGAGCTGGGCCAGGGCAACCTTTATGATTTTATTAACCAAATTCACCCTACTAAACTCAATAAAAAACAAATAAAAAACATTTGAAAGTATGTCCCAGTCATCCCTTTGAAACTGATGCCTTCCTTGTGCGTTAACAACACGCCGGGGAGACCCGCGGGGCCTGCAGACCCCGCCTTTGCAAGGCCTCCCCCCAGGACCCCGGTGACGTAAGCAGGTGGAGGGCGAACATGTGTGTTTAGTAGGTTCGTTCTTCCCCACTGGTCTGCTTACTGTGCATTCTGTAGTTTGGGGGGAGGAGGGGGTCTTCTCAATTTACCTGATTGATTTCCACGGCAGACATGTGTGTGAAGTCTCCCCTGGAACTGGGGTTGGATGTGAGGCCTGGGCTCTACGGTGTCCCCCAGACTGTCCCTCAGGGGCTCTGTGTGGTGCTCCCAGAGGGCAGCAGGTCCCTCAGGGGCAGCAGCCAGAGGGAGGACGCCCCGGATACCACACGGGGACGAAACTCGCCTAAATGGCAACATAAAGGGGCCTGAGCCGCAGAACCGAAGGGAGTGGGGAGGGAAGGAGAGGAGGGAGGGAGGCAGGAGGGAGGGGGAGAGAGAAGAAAGAGGAAGAAAGAAAGGGAGGGAGGGAGGGGAAAAGGAAGGAAGGGAAAAGAAGAGAAAATAAAAGAAAAGAAAAAGAAAAAGAAAAGAGAAAAGAAATGGAAGGAAGTAAGGAAGGAAAAGAAAAGAAGAAAAGAAAAGAAAAAAGAAAAGAGAAAAGAAATGGAAGGAAGGAAGGAAAAGAAAAGAAAAGAAAAGAAAGAAAAGAGAAAAGAAATGGAAGGAAGGAGAGGAGGGAGAGAAAGAGAGAGGAAAAATGCAGAAAGGAAGGAAGAGGAGAGAGGAAGGAAGTGAAGAGGGAAGGAAGGAAGGAAGGGAGGGAGGAGGGAAGGCAGGACCGACAGGCGGAGAGAAAGAAGGGCTCAATAAAAACACCCCCCAGATGTTTGGGCAAACTGAAGTTCGAGGCTGGGGCTCGTGCGTGTCCATGGAAAGGCCCAGAAGGCTTCTGCAGACTCCAGATGGCCCCGGGCCAGCCCGTGTGTGTGTGTGTGTGTGTGTGTGTGTGTGTGTGTGTGTGTGTGTGTGTTGGGGGCTCCATGAGCCCCTCTAGAGCACAGCGGACGCCCCTCCCTTGGGGGCCCACCCCCGGAGAAGGAAAGGGCCCTCCCAGGGCTCCGCGGTGCTGCCCGCACTGTGGGGCAGGGGGGCCTAAGGAGCCCTGAGCCCAGCCGTGCAGGCGGCTCCTGCTGCTGTGGGTCCCCAAACAGGACCAGGGGGCGGGTTCCTGCGGCCCCCTTATGGGGATCTGGCATTAGCAGAGACACACACAGCAGGGATTTGGGTGTCCGCTGGGTCCCGCCGTCCACAGGACCTGAGCCCCTTGCATGCCCCAGGCCCCCCCACCTCAGCTTTGTCCTGAGTGCTAGGAGGAAGCCTGCCCTTGGCCTTCCCACCGCAGCCCCCAAGGCCAGAGGCCCGGTGTGCGCTGGGGGACAGATGCTTTAGGAAGTGGCTGGTCCTGTCACCAAATGCTAGTTCAGCCCTCACTTCCCAAGGCCCTGCGCTCTCTCCGTGGAGCTGTGGGCCGGAGTGGGCCCCGGGCCAAGGGTCCCCTGGGGCCAAAGGGGCACGGGGGCTCCGAGTGGGCCGGGGGGAGGGCAGGGGCGGCCTTGGGCCACCAGACTGATCCGAACGCCTCGGCGGGGCGGGCCGGGCCGGCCGGCGGGGCGCGCGTCCTGCCCGGGCTCCTCCCGGGAGACCGGTGGCCCTGGTCTGGAGCGCCGTGCGGGTGCCCGAAGGACTCGGCTCCGCTGGGTCCTGCTCTGCGGCGACCGGAAAGTCCCTGCGCCGCCCCGGAAGGCGGGAGGGCGGAGCTGGGGCTGCGGGCGCGGCCCGGACCCGGTCACCCTCCGGCGACCAGGCAGGCCGCCCCAGTGACCCGGGACACCACCGGGTACTGCGCGGCGTCCGAGGCCTGCGGCAGGTGGGAGCCGGCGCGGACGGGGCCGGGAGGGGCGCGCGTCGCGGGCCGCAGAGCCCGACCTGCACTTGGGGGCGGACCGGGGGTTCATTCATTTTCCGGAGGACCACGTGGAGCGCGGGGCGCGTCCGGAGGAAGCGGAAGCTCTAGGTGGGGTGGGACACAGTCGCTGGACCGGCCCTGCCCCCTGCGCCCCGCACCGTCCAGGTGCCATTGCCGTCACCTCCCGCACCAGCCTGGGGTGCGGGGCGCCTGTGCCCTCGCGTCCTTCGCTGACCTCTGTGCGCGGGCGGGGGAGGGGCGGCGTCAGCTCCCTCAGCAGACCCTCCGCAGTAGCCTGCGCCCCCTGCGGCTGTGACAGGCCTGTGCGTGGGGGCGGGTGACATGTGAGCAAGGCGGGTCCTAGTGGGGACACGCGTGAGTCAGCACACGCGTGAGTCAGCACTCCTGCCCCCCCCCCCCCCCCCGGGGAGGAGCCGCTGTAGAGATGGTCAGGAAAGGGTGCCAACCATTCAGGAGGGGAGTGAGTTCTAGGGCGCGGGTGCTGGAAGCTTCCTTAGCCTTTGAAAAGACCCCTTGAGAGGTGTGAGGTGACCTGTCAGGAGGGCCAGACGCATGGAGCCCTGGTGGGGCCTGGGGCAGAGGGGGCGGGGCCGGGCCTCGGATGTTTCCTGAGACAGAACCTGAGGTCCATGACCCCCCCCCCCCATTCTGAAATTCCAGGGACCAGGGGCCTCCAAAGCAAAGGCCTTGCACAGTCAGAGCAGCAGGCATTTGCCTGAGGTCAGCCGGAAGGGCCTGGGCGGGAGGCCAGGGTCCGGCGGAAGCCCAGAGAGCGTTCTGGCCAGAGACAGGGAGGGCACCGTGCCACCGCAGAAGGGAGGCCTGTCTCTGGGTGCCGGTAACGAGGCGGAGGGACAGCGGTTCTCAAGGCTCTGACACTCCCCAAACTCTCCCCTGCAAGGCTGCCTCCCGGGCCGCCGAGATGCCCGTGGCGATGGGAGACGTGATGAGGCTGCTGGGCTCCATTTCCGAGGAGAAGAAAATGAGAGCGGCCGTCAAACACTCCGGGCGGGGCGCCGTGGTCACCGGCGCCGTGGCCTTCGTTGGTGGCTTGCTTGGTGGCCCCCCAGGACTAGCCGTTGGTAAGAGCAAGCGCCTCACAGGGGCGGCCGGCTCGGTCCCGCCAACGCTCCTGACGAGGGGACAGGCACCGCGGTCACAGCTGGAAGGAGGCCAGCGCTGGCCCCTTACGAGTCCCTAGTCCCCGGACTTGGCTTTATGGGGTGACCAGCTTTCCCATCACTGACCCTCTCCCGTCCCGGGGTCCCGCTCACGATGCCACGTGGCATTTGATGAAAGAAGCGTTGTCTTGGGCCGCACATGAAATCCATGGCAACACGTAATCACACAAGAAAAATCTCATCACGTGTTCAGCAAATTCATCATTTGGTGCTGGGCCGCATTCACAGCCATCCGGGCTGCATGCCGCCTGCGGTCCTCGGGCTGGACACCCCGGTACGGCGTCCCCTGCCCTGGTTGTGCCTCTTACTCCCACTGGGAGCCAGTTTCCGGCACTGGGCGAAGTCTGGCCGAGTTCCCCTGGTCCCTGGGAGGGAGGGTGACGTTGCTTCCTCTGGACGAGGGACAGGGAGGTTTCCCAGGGGGCCAACCACGGGCTGTGCCCAGCACCGCATGGGGCTGGCCGGCTGTGACCACTCTCGCTCTCGTGAATGTGCCTGCTCATCATGACAGGGACGAGCTCTCGGCGAGCTCAAGGCCATCGTTTGTGAGCAGGGCTGGACTCACTTAACCTTCCTTGTCTTCCAGGGGGCGCCGTCGGGGGGCTCTTGGGGGCCTGGATGACGAGTGGGCAGTTCCAGCCTGTCCCTCAGATCCTCATGGAGCTGCCGCCCGCTGAGCAGCAGAAGCTGCTCCGTGAGTTCACGGCCATCGTCAGGGGCCTGGACGGGATGGACGCGGTGCAGCTGGTCACACTGGTCATGGGCAGCGAGGTGCTGAAGGAGCAGCTGCTGGCCATGCTGGTGGGCTACGTCACCAGGGAGCTCGGGGCCGAGGTGCGGTACGGCGATTAGCCCCTCGGGCCGTGGGCTGTCGCCGGAGGGCCCCGGGGGCTGGGGTGCCCCGCCCCACCCTGTGTTACCTTCAGCTGCCGTGAGCCCCCTGCGGGGGAGGCCCGGCTGTGCTGGATCCTGGTTGGACATCACGGATGAGGAAATCCTGTGGCGTGGCCGCGTGGGGCCTGTTTTGTGAGCCCACCCTCCTGCCGTGGGGTCTGGGGGGAGGTGTTGGTGGGCAGCAGCCGCTCATCTGTGAAGGTGACCTCTGACCTGGGCACGTGTAGCAGCCCTGGGCGCCCCTCTGGGCCCGGGGTCTCTGGACCTGGCCGCCGGCTCCGCTGGAATCGTGGGGACCCTCTGAGCGAGCCCCTCCCCCAGCCCCTTCTGAGGGGCCCCTGGGAGGAAATTGCCAAATGCACCCTGCCCTTCTCCCACCTGCCCGGGCCCTGCTGTCCCATCCGGTTCTGCTTTTCCGGGTCGCTGCTTGCAGCAGAAGCGTCACTGCTCTCCCTAAAGGTGTCGGGTCACAGACCACCTCTGAGAAGTGGGCACCCGAACATCCCCACACACTGGGCCCCCCCCCCTTGAACCACGCCAGCACTGTCCCCAGATGGGACACACTTCCTGCACCGTCTCTCTCCCCCTCACTCCTGGTCAGCGTCCCTAACACCGGGAGCCGTCCCCTCCCGACGGTGGGCGGGCGGGCAGTCGGTGGCTCCCGGTCACCGCCTGGCCCCTGCCTTTCCCTGTGGCGGCTTCCCTGCCGGCGGGAGAGGGGCCGCATCCCGGCATCCCCGCGTGCTGCGTGGAGAACGCGGGAGGCTGAACGGGACCCCGGGGGCTGCGGGAAGGGCGAGCCCGCGTCTCAGAGAGGGAGCCGCCTCGCCCAGCACGGCCGCCGCGCTCCCCGGACTGCGGGGCTGCCTCCGTCATTTCTGTGCGGCTTCGGGGCCGGGCCCGGGGCCCCTGGAGAACTCCGCTGACTCAGACGAGGTGACCGGGAGTTGCTCTCGTGCTGGGTCACCCTGTGCTGGCCCCAGCCTGGAGGTCCCACAGCCGTGACCAATGAAGGCCCCCCGTGGCCGTCCTGTCCTGCCCCGGGAAGGCAGCCCTGGGAGGCAGTGACCCCGCACCTGACCGATCCGGGCTGGACGTAGCTGGACCTGCTGAGTGAGGCGCCCTTGGCTCGCTGGGTCCGGGTGCTGCCTGCAGTGGGCGGTGGCCCCCAAAGCCGCCCAGACCTGACCCCGGCTCCCTCGGGGGCTGAAGGTCCTTCCCTCGCTCCTCTCTCGGGCTCTCTCAGCCTTCAGTGTTTGTATTTCGGTACTTCCTTGTACAAGCATCTTTTTTTTTCTTTGAAAATTATATTTATTGATTATGCGATCAGAGTTGTGCTGACTTTTCCCTCTTGCACCCCCTCCACCCGGCACCCCCACTCCCTCGGGCAGTCCCCCCACCGTGGTTCACGTCCACGGGTCCTGCGTGGGAGTCCCCTGGCTGCCCCATCTCCTGCGCTGCACTTCCCGCCCCCGTGGCTGTCCTGTACCCCCTGTGGGCGCCGCTCAGTGCCCTCGCCTCTGCACCCCTCCCCCCCAAACCCCCTCCCAGCTCTTCATCTGTAACTTTCGGCGTTTTCATGACGACGTGTCTTGGCGTGGCCTCTTTGCATCCATCTCGTTGGGGCCTTCCTGTGCTTCCTGAGCCTGCAGGTCTATTTCCTTCACCACATTAGAGCAGTTTTCTTTCGCTATTTTTTCAAATTGCCACTTTTCTTCCTCTCCTTCCTCTGCTTTCTTCCTCTCCTTCCTCTTTCTTCCTCTTCTCCTTCTGGCACCCCTGTGATGCGAATGCCGGACCTCTTGATGTTGTCCCGGAGGCTGCCTATGCTGTCCTCGTGTTCATGGGTTCTTTTTCCTTCTTGTTTGTCGGATTGCTGGGGTTTTTTTCCTTCCTTATGTTCCAAATCATTGATTCGATTCTTGGTTTCATCCACTCTACTGTTGCTTTCCTGTAGATTGTTCTTTATTTTAATTAGTGTGTCCTTCGTTTCTGCCTGGGTCTTCTGTATGTTGCTGAGGTCCTCACTGAGCCCCTTGAGCATCTTCATAACCAGTGTCTTGAACTCTGCATCTGACAGATCGCTTATCTCCATTTTGCTTAGCTCTTTTTCTGGAGTTTTCATCTGTCTCTTCATTTGGGCCGTGTTCCTTTGTCTCCTCACTTTGGCAGCCTCCCTGTGTTTGTTTCTGTGTCTTAGGTAGAGCTGCTGTGACCCCCTGTCTTGGTAGTGTGGCCTCATGCAGTAGGTGTCCTGTAGGGACCAGTGGCACAGCCTTCCTACCACCCAAGCTGGGTCCTCAGGGTGCACCCTTCATGTGGGCTGGGCACACCCTCCTCTTGTAGTTGAGCCTTGGTTGCTGTGGCAGGTCGATGGGAGGGATTTACCCAGACCAGTCAGTTGTAAGGACTGGCTATGACCACGGACCACCAACCTCCGCCCTCCGTGGAGGACCAGCTGTGCAGGGGCGGGGTGGTGGTGCTCCCACGCGGTCTGTAGCTGTCCACTGGGTGCACTGGGCCTGGGGTTTCCCGGGTGGTGCAGGCCAAGGTCAGCCCCCACCTGTGTTTTGCTGGGGCAGCCCTTTCTGAGCCGTAAAGCAACCTGAGATGGCTGCTACTTGTGCTGGGCTTGGGGATTCCCGGGCAAAGCCAAGCTGTGAGTCTAGGCTGCTAGTTCCCAGCCCAGGGCTCACTGACACCCGCTGTTGCCTGTTGGAGAGGATTCTGGAAGCTGTGAAGCAGGAACCAAGACCAGCCAATCCTATGGGAAAGCAGCTTGGGAGGGGCGGAGCCTCTGCGGATCTCCAAGGCAGTTCAGACAGTTTTCACCAGGTCGATGGAGTCTCAGAAATGGAACCGGCCTGCCAGCTCCGTGGGGGAACATTAGAAAAGGGACAATGGCGTCTGCTCACCCTGACACCAGACACTTCAGCTCCTCCCTGTGTGCCACTGGTGCCTTTCAAGCAGCCACCCCGGTGCTGGAGCTCGGAGGAGTGATTCTGAGTAGGTGAGTCCCTGTGTGGGTTCTGTAAGAGGAACTGTTTGGGCTCCAGAAGTTTCTTCCAGTGACTCAGTCCCTGTAGGTTTTTGCAGCCAGATGTGGGGACTTATCTTCCTGCCACTGGAGCCCTGGGCTGGGGGCCTGGTGTGGGGCTGGGACTCCTCGCTCCTGAGACGTCCCCCCCGAATTGTCATCCACCACACGTGGGCGAGGGACCAGCCCGTTCCGTGTCTGCGCCCCTCCTGCCTAAGTCTGGATGGACGTGGTTTCCCTAAGTCTGTAGTTGTCAGACTCCCATTCAGCTCGATTTCTCTCGGTTCTGAGCCACAGGTTGCTCCATATTTTAGTTGTAATTTTGTTGCACTTGTGTGAGGAGGTGAGCCGTGTCTGCCTACCCCACCATCTTGACTGGAAGTCAAAAAATCTTCATTCGTCTATTTTTGACGAGTCCACACCTGCCCGTTAGGACATCAGGCACAAACGTAAAAGGGCCTCCCCTTCCGCGGCCCCCGCCCCCGCCCCCGCCCCTCCCCGGACTCAGCGCCCCCAGCAGCGCCTCCCGCAGACGCGCTGCTTTCAGAGAGCTTCGGGAAGGGATTCCTTTCCTTGATTCGTCAGTGTTATGCTGAAAACGTCGATAAACCCAGCAGAGGGTAATAACATAAAAACCGCTACAAATTCCACCACTGAGATCACCACAGTGAAGCTTGGCATATCTCGTGCACATCTTTTAATGTCACGCGCGTGTGTGTAACGCACGAGTGTGGATCCTCTTCGGGTTCTTTCACGGAGCCTCTCACGGATGCCCCTTAGTGATGAAACTTAGCTCACGGGTGCCCCCTAGTGATGAAATTTAGCGTTACTGTGGGCGGGATGGCTGCAACATTGTTACTGTGGGCGGGACGGCTGCAACATTGTTGCGCTCGCCTTGGAGGGCGCTACTCTCGGAATGTGCATGCGCAGTTTGGCTTCTGACAGATGGTCTTTAGGCCCAGTCCCTCAGAGTGAAAGTGAAACTGCTGAGTGAAAGTGAAACTGCTGGGTTAAGGAGTTGCACTCTATATTTTTAGGATTTTATTTCTTTTTAGAGAGGGGACAGAGGGAGAATGAAGAGAGGGACATCAGTGTGGGGTTGCCTCTCACACGCCCCCTACTGGGGACCTGGCCCACAACCCAGGCACCTGCAGATTTTTTTAAGGCTGTAGGTTTACTGGGTCAAGACTCCTTCCGAGAGGGCTGTCCATTCGTCTCTCAGTGGCAGGGTCTGGGGCCTCTGTGCACACCCTCGCTCGGAAGTAGGATGAGGGGCCTTGACCCTTTCCGAATGTGGTGAGTGAGCACCAACGCCTTGGTTTGACTTGTTTTCCTCGGCACGGGAGCAGGGCTGGGTCAGGGGCGGCCACAGCGGGGAGAGGCAGTCCAGGCACCTTCGCCCTACCCCTGTGTCCCGGGCACAGCCAGGCTGGGACACGGCCCACAAGGGGCTGCTTTATGAGCTCCCGTGGGCAGCAGCTGGGCTCTCCTGAGGGGTAGGTAGGTCAGCCTCGAACAGAGCACCCGCTGTGGCCCCTACAGCCCTGGCCGTATAACGCAGGATGCCCCTCGGTCCCGAGCAGTGGGCGCAGGGCAGCCGAGAAGTGAGTGCCCGGCCCAGGGAGACCACGTGGGAGCAGGACGGCCGAGGGCTTTCGGTTCCGGAGGGGGTGGGCCTTTCGGGCAGCCTGCTCTCCCTCAGCTCAAGGTGCCCCTCTCTGCCTACAGCGGTTCCCTGCCGGCGCCCAGTTTGCCAAAACACCTTCTCTCTCTCCCAGCCGGCCTCCTGGGCCCCCACCCCCAACCCGGGAAAGAGAGGAACAGCTGCTGGGACCAAGCCAGCACTCGCTAGAGCCTCCTTCCCCAAGGCCTGGGCCGTGGCAGCCGTCCCAGGGAGCGGCGACCGAGAAGGGGCTCTTGGTGACAGAGAGGGGTGGGGCCGGGGCCCCTCGTCACCGGGGATGGGCCCCGGCCCCCCACACCCCTGTTCTGCGCCGATGCTGCGTCCTCGCCTGGAGCCGCCATTGCTCACAGGTCTCTGCGGCCTGCTCGTGGGTTAAGTGGGGGGGGGGGGAGGTGGTGGCAGGCGCCTGAGGCTCACGCATGCGTGGTCACACCCTGCTGTCCCCTGGTGCGAAACAACACACACACACACATGCGTGTTGGCCTCTGCCCCCAGACCCTGGCACAGAGCCCCGCAACCCTTGGAGTCCCCCGGGTGGCAGGAGTGTCTTTTGTCCTAACCAGGCCATGCCTCGCACGCAGCAGCAGGACCGGGCCACGAGCAGGAGCACAGAGTTTGCCGTGGCGCCCCGTCCTCCCGAAATGGAGGGGGGCCCAGACCCGGGCGGCCGCCCGCCCTGAGCCTGCGGGGGATGGGGGCGGGCAGGCTCGGGAGCAGCCGCTCGGCCGGCCAGCCGGCGGGGCCCCTCCGGCCCTCCGTGGCCCCTCTCGGGGGTGGGGTGCCGGCTGCCAGATGGGCGGGCTCCTTGCAAGGTGCGGATGGCAGAGGGTCGGGTCCCAGAAGGACGAGGAGGTGGGGTCCACGTGGGCCACGGACCCAGGGTGTCTGGCCACGACAGACTGCACATTTGGTGTCACCCCCACCCCCCCTACCGAGGGCCGCAGGGGTGGACAGCCCCCCCCCAACTGCGCAATGGCGGCGTGGTTCTGTGCCCCCCGCCCACAGGGGCGCCATCTAGCTCTCCCGAGGGTCCGGGGAAAGGGGCCCATGGGGGGCGTGGGACCTGGACCCGCCCCGGGTGAGGCTGTCCGGACGGCGCCGCAGAGTCCCTCCCTGCCTTCCTGGCGCCCGCCCCGCGGGCCCCGGGGCCCGGCCGCCCGGCGCTGGAGCCGCGCCCCTCGTCCTGCCGTCGCGGGCGGGCGGCCGGGCGGGCGGTGTCTGCGCCTTCTCCCCACGCGGGCTGTCTGACGGCAATGTGTCCCCGAAGTGGAGTTTGTTGGCTGGAAAGAATGTGGTTTTATGGTTCCTGTGACTTTTTTCTTTAAATCAGCCTCCCCAAAGCCTGTCTTCAGTGTCTATATGTCTTTGTACAGATGCGTGTGTGTGGTGTATATGCGTGTCTATGTACTGATGTGTGTGTGTATGTACAGGTGTGTGCATGCATGTCTATGTACTGCTGTATGTGTGTGCACGTGTGTGTCTATGTGCAGGGGGTGTGTAGGTACAGGTGCACATGCACACATGTATGTGTCTATGTACAGAGGTATGTGTGTACATGTGTGTGCATGTACAGATGTGTGTGTGTACAGGGCTGTGTGTGTGTGTTCAGATGTATGTGTGTAGGCGTTTGCATGTGTATAGGTGTGTGCACATGTGTGTGCATGTCTATGTACAGACGTGTGTCTATGTACAGGTGTGTGTGTGTCTCTATGTACAGATGTGTGGTGTGCGTGTGTGTGTACATCGTTTTCCCACAGCCCTGCGGGTCCTGGGTCCCGGGTCCCACCGTCTGGGCTCATCGTTACGGACTCGCTGCCCTGTGACAGGCCCCCCGGGCGCCAGCCGTGCGTCTGCTCCCTCGCCAACGAGGCCGGCCCTGCACCCTGGAAGGGCCCCAGCGCGGACACTCCAGGGATTGAGATTTCCCCTTGTTTTTGCCCAGGAATGTCTGGCTCCGCCCGCCCCTCCTGTGCTGTCCCTCCCAGCTGACCTTTCTGTGGTCAGCGCTGGAACTCCCCAGAACCGGCTGGGCTCCTGGAGGTGGTGGGCAGGGCCAGCAGGAGACAGAAGCCAGCTGGGAAGAGACGCTTCCGTGGGGTGGCCAGTGGCGCAGGGTGGGGGCGGGGGTGGCGGCAGGGGTGGCGCAGGACCTAGGCTGACCCTTGCCCGGGCTGCCGCTGAGGTCTCTGCAGGACCACCGGGCCGGAGAGGGCCAGAGGGCTCTCCTGGGCAGCTCGTCCCCTGGCTGCCCACCCCCCGTCCATGCACCGTGGTCCTGGTTCCTTCCGGGGCACACGCCCGGTCCCGGGGCGCACGTCCCGCTTCCTGGGGCGGCACTGCTGTCCCGGAACACCTCCCAGAACAGCCGGGGCAGCCCCGTGGGAGCAGCCGAGGACACCCAAGGCTTGCAGCCCACCACCCGCTGCCTGGGGGTCCGGGGGCCCTGCACGGCCCAGCAGGCCCCTGTGCAGCCGCACCGCCCCTGGACACACGGGCCCCCTCTCAGGGCTGCTGCTGTCTGCAAAGCCCCTCCCTGAAAAGCGCTGTTCCCGCCCCCCCTTGCCGTCACCCTCAGCGCCCTCACCACAGCACACACCGGGACAAATGCCAGCACTCCATGCCCACCTGTCCCCACTGGGCTGTCCGCTCCCGCGGGGCTGGGACCGCGTGTGTCTCGCTCACGGTTACGTCCCCAGGTCCTGGCACGACACCCAGCAAGGGCGGCCCCGTGGGCCCTCGGTCCTTCCCTGACACCCGGGGGCCCAGGGAAGCAGCAGTGCTGCTGGCGACGGGGGGCACAGGTCTCGGGGGCCCCGGCGGGGGACAGGGCAGCATGCCCACCCACCGGGTCCTGGGCTCCGGGGCAGGCACCTGCAGGGAAGACTGGGACCAGCTGTGGGCGGTCCCCTCCGCTGCCCTCGGCCAGGCGAGGGGGGTCTGGGGAGTGAGCTGAGACCAGGAGCCCAGTGCCTGGAACCGGGCAGCCTTTGCCCCAGCGCCACCCCGGAGGCGGAGGGAGGGACCGCCTGGCCCCGGGGTCTGAGAGCGCGCCTGGCTCTCCTCCTGAGGAAGCGGCACCTCGGCCCGTGACCTGTCCCGCCCTGAGCCCTGTCCCGCCCTGAGCCCTCTGCCCAGGCAGAACCGGCTTGGACCAGTTTGTGCGGCCCAGGGAGGCCCAGGCTGGTAAACAAGCCGATCATTCCTGGACGCCTGCTGGCTGGCAGTGACCCCTGCTCCGTCTGCCACAGTGGACGCCGGCCAGGGCCAGCCGGGCAAAGGGCAAGGACTGCAGAAGCCAAGGCTGGGGATTGTCATGAAGGGCCCGCGACAACGGCAATCCAGCTCCGGCCCCAACACACACGTCTGCACTGGGGGGCTCCCCTACGGCCCGGCGCCAACCCCCAGGGTGGCCGGGCACGGCCGGGCACAGGGCTCCTGGCTCACCGTGCCCGCCGTCCACCTGCGCAGAGAACGCACAGCGAGGCAGCAGGGCCGGGGGCAGGGGGCTGCACACGCCTGGGCCCGCGGTGGGGCCCCAGTTCCCAGGGGCGCCGGCCTGGCGGGCGGCTGCCGGCACCAGCCCCCGCGCGGCCTCAGCCTCGGAGCCCGCAGCGTCTGACGGACCCTTGGACTCCCCAACCACACCACACCACACCACACACCGGGCTCTCTCTCTTTATTATCGAGTCAGTCTGCCTAAGGTTTCTGTTACCTGGAATGAAAGTGTCCCACCTGCTCCCCGGCCACAGGGAGGGGGGAGGCCTGAGGGGGGTACCAGCCCCCTGCACACCTGGGAAGAGCCGAGGCGGGGCGAGAGGCCTTGGCGGGCCGTGGTCCCCAGCCCGCAGCGCCCCCCGTGCGGCAGACTCCGGCTGGCTCCGGGCGAGCCCACCTGCACAGCTGACCGGGCGGGTGAGCATCGGCAAGGCAGGTGGGCGAGCCCAGGGCCCCCAGAGGCCTCCCACGAACCGCATCGTCCCCTGGGGGTGCCCTGGTCTGGGGTCACGAGCTGTGGTTCCAGGCCTCAGAGAGGGGAGGACCTCGCCCTGGTCCTGGCCTCCTTCCGGCCCCTAAAGGTGCCCGGGGCGTGCTAACTGGAGGAGCCGCAGCTCCCAGGGCTGAGAAAAGGCCTCGGTCCCCAAGAGGATCTCTGAGATGGGGCTGCCGGACAGAGACAGTTCCCGGAAGTGGAAGCAGGAAGATGCCCGTGTCCAGAAGAGAGCCACTGGGGGGCCCCAGAGGGTGAGAGTCCGTCTCCAGGCACCGCCACCAGCGGGGTCAGGTCCTGGGGGCGCGGCGCCGGGGAGCTTGGGGAACCGCGCCCCCTAAGGAGCCCCAGAGGCAGCGGAGTCTGCGTGATGGAGGGACCAGCAGGGAGCCGCCCCTTGGCGTGCGGCGGGGGTCAGCTGTGGAAGGAGGACCAGGAGACGCCGGAGTCGTAGAACCGCACGCGGCTGGGCCAGTCGCCATCCCCGCTGCCCTCCCTGTCCTCGTCCGAGTCCTCGTCATCCCCGCTGGACGCCCCGCAGCCGGCCCTGGCCGGGGACCCCGCGCTCTGGCCCCCCTCCTCCTCCTCCTCCTCCTCCTCCTCCTCCTCCTCCTCCTCCCGGCGCTTCTGGGCGGCCAGCTCGCGGTAGCAGAGGCTGCAGACGCGCAGGGGCTTGGGCGACAGGCGCGGCAGCAGGAAGCGCGCGCGCGAGCACTCGGCGCAGACCACGAAGCCGCACTGGCGGCAGTGGTGGCGCCGCGTGAGCGCGGAGAAGCGCGTCTGCGTGCAGCGCATGCAGATGTCGGTGGCCTTGTCGGGGATCCAGGGCGCCGCGTGCTCCGTGCTGGGCGCGCGGCCGGTGGCCAGCAGCTGCCGCCGCACGCACTCCTCGATGTGGCTGATCCACTCCTGGCGCTCCGTGGCCGAGGCGGCCGACACCACGAAGGACTTCTTGGCCGTGCGGATCATCCAGCGGTTCTTGGCCTGCAGGGTCTCGGGCAGCGGCTCGAGCGTCACCTCCTCCAGCGGGATGATGTGCTGGCTGCGGTACTTGCGCTTGCTGAGCACGATGCTGCCGTAGACCAGGATGTCGCTGAACAGGAAGAAGATGCGCGGCTTGGCCTTCTTGCGGCACTCCTTGGTCAGCACGCCCTCGCCCAGCAGCACGCGGCCCGGCAGCGCCAGCGGCTGCCCCGACGCCCCGAAGCAGCTCTCCACCTCCGCGATGCGCTGGCTGTTGATCTCGGTGTTGGCCAGGTACTCCACCATCTTCTCCGGCTGCAGAGGGGCGCGCACAGGTGTGGGCGTGGCGCCGGGACCACTGTGCCCGCCCCCCGTCGCCCCGCCCCCCGTCACCCCGCCCCCCTGTTCACCCAGCCCTCAGCCCTCAGACTGGGAGTTACTGGGTGGTGGGGGTGCCCCAGGGAGGAGAAGGCAGCGGCAAAGACGTGGGACCGCACAGTACCACTGTGGGTGGCGGGAACACCCCCCGGGGAGCCTCAGAAGATGGGGAGAACCCACTCCCTCGCTGCCCACCCAAGGGACGAGGATGCTGAGCCCCAACTCCCACCAGGGGCGGCCAGACCATTAACCCCCCAGCGCGGCGGCCTGCCCCAGGTGGACGTGCTGGGCAGTAAGGCGTCCACACGGTGCTCCACGCCAAACCATCCCTGCAGCCCGTGAGCCCAGCGGTCACCGCTGTCACCTCAGGTGCCGTGTGCCGGCTGCTTCCTCCGCGTCACATGTGGCACAGGCCCCAGAGGAGCCACTGCAGGCCCGCGGGGAGGACCCCCCGGACGGGAGTCGGGGGCCCGGAGCTTTCACCCCGGGAGACGGGGCTGCCCCGTCCCTTAGCCCACGAGGGTGAGGCCCGTTCCGTCCTCCTCGGCCGAGCCCCAGGTGTTGGTGGCCCTGGACCTCACCCGGGCCTGCCTGCTCCGTCCACACACCCCCCTCCCACCCGGCTCTGAAGGCGAGCCGCCGGTCCTGGCCCCCCCGCCGGTCCTGGAGCTGCAGGTGCAGACCTCGCCTGCCCGCCCGCCGAGACGCTCCTCCGACCCAGCAGGTCTGGCGGTTCTCTTCCACGGACGGAACCACCATCCGCTGCGTCATTCAAGCCCTAGTCGAGGACTTGCCCTGGACTCCCCTCTTTCCTGGGCCCCCCCCGTGTCCCCCCCACCCAAGCAAGCACTGCAGCCTCTGTCTCACATGCAGCCCGAGTCTGCCCACGTCCCGCTGCGGCCTCCCTGTGGGGCCCACGGCCAGGCGCCCCGTGCCCCAGTCGGGGTGCCCTCCGTCCCCCGACCCAGCTCAGAGGTCATGTCCCTCCCAGAAAGGGTCAGACAGGGCCGCTCAGGCAGCCTGCCCCCCACCAAGGGCCGGTCAGCAAACCGTGGCCGGAGGGCGGACCTGGCCCACGGCCCGTCTCTGTAAATGACGTTTTACTGGGACGCAGCCTGTGCGGCGGTCCGCAACCACTCCCGGGCTGCAGCACAGAACCAGGTGGGGGGGGGGGGCGGGGACTGCCCGGCCACGGAGCCCGAGGCGCTTCCTGTGTGCCCTGCACAGAGGGTTTGCTGGCCCCTTCTCCAGGGCGGCACCCCGTCTCGCTTTGCCTGCACAGGTGTTCCCTGTCCGCCCCCCCATTTGTCTGCCTGTGTGGCCTCCCCCCCCCATCCAAACCCCCGGCGAGCAGGAGTTCCACTGCTGTAGTCCCAGTCCCTGGAACGGAGCTGGGCACGCAGTAGGTGCTTTGGAAGTGGTGCCTTTCCTTCCCAAAGCTCCCGAGGGCGCACCGTGCACCACTCGGCTCTCACCTGCCAGAGGAAGTGGGTGCGAGCCGCGGTGGCTGCCGGCGTCCGGCACAGGCGCGCGGCACGCCCCGGCCGAGCGGCCCCACACTCGGGGTTTCTGGGTCAGCGCTCCACGGTCCTGGCAGCCAGGCCGCCTGCGGGGAGCCGGGGCCGGCGCGGGGGCCGGGGGCGTTGCCCAAGAGGGGGCTCAGCCCTGAGACGCGCCCCTGGCCTCTCGCAGACCACAGGGCCTGCTGAGAAGTGCCGCCCACACCGCCTGATGTAACAACTGCTATTTTTAGGTTGCCGGCGCTGGCTGCCTGCTGCCGGGCCGAGCACTGTCCCTGCCGAGGGCAGTCTGGCCACATTCCAGGGGCCACCCCAGGACCCTGGGCTGAGGGCTGGGCGGAGGGCGGGGCAGCCAGGCCCACTCACAGAGTGGTGACATCACGCCTGCTGTTACCACTGCGCCCAGCCTGGTGGGCGAGCGAGGACGACAGGGCACCGAACTCGGAAAAGAGAAGGGACCCACAGGACGGCGGGTGGCGTGCCACCTGCGCACAGAGGCCCACAGTCACCTGGGCGGGCGGCTGGTACCCGCAGCAGGAAGTGACACAGGAAGGCAGGGCCGTGGGGAAGTGGGGCCCTCGGGCCCTGTTGGTGGGAATTCACCCGGTGCGGCCACTGTGGAAAACCGTGTGCAGGTGCCTCGAAAAAGAAGGAAGGAAGGAAGGAGGGAAGGAAGGAAGGAAGGGAGGAAGGAAGGAAGGAAGGAAGGGAAAGAGAGAGAGAGAAAGAAGGGAGGGAGGGAGGGAAAAAGAAAAAGAAAGAAAAACACAACGCCCACACGATGCAGCCGTCCCGCTTAGAAGGACTAAAAGCAGGGTCTCCTCGCGGCGGCCGCCCACCTGCCAGCGGCGCCACCCGCAAGCGGCCGCGGGTGCAGGGAAGCCCAGGGTCCGCCAGCGGATGGATCTGGGAGAGGCGGTCCGCCCGCCCTGCGGCCTACCGCCCAGCCCCCAAAGGGAGGGGACCCTGACGCAGGCCGCGGTGTGGATGGACCTTGAAGATCTTACGCTCCGCGAAATCAGCCGTCCGAGAAAGAGGAACACCATATGGTCCCACCAGTAGGAGGCCTCTGGAGCGGTCGAATTCCCAAATGCGGAGGGCAGACGGCTGGGGTGGGGGAGGGGAGGGGAGGGAGGCCAGCTCCCAATGCGTGGGCGCGCACTCTCGGATTTGCACGCAGGGGGCGGGGGGGGGGGGAGAATTCCGCGGCCCCGTCTCAGAACAGTGGGAGAGCCGCACCACTGCGCTGCACGCTTCCAAGTGGTTCGGATGGGCGACGCAGACCAAAGTCGGGAGAACGCGGCCTGGGGAGGGGGCCGCGTGGGACCGGCAAGAGGGCGCGGACAGGGCCTGAGCGGCCGTGTTTTGTTCAGGAAAGGCGGCAGCAAACGGGCCGGCCCCCCCCGCCGCCCCCCACGCTGGCTCCGGAGGTGGGGACACGGGCCTCCCGAGCTTCCTGTCTTCCAGACGCAAGACCCTCAACCAGACTCGCCTCACAGGGCAAGGCCTGGGTCCGGAGCTCCTCGCAGCCTGCTGGGCCGGGCACCCCGCGGGCCTGGCAGGGTCACCCGCAGGGCCTGGGCCACCCCACGTGCCCGGCGCCCTGAGGGAGGGCAGCCACCCGCGTTCCCCAGCACACCTGCGGGTCAGGCACCTGGCAGACCCCGGCGGGAACCGCAGGTTGCAGCCACAGGCTGAGGCCCAACATTGCAGCTGCGGCGGACGGGCTCGGGGCCCAGGAGGGGCAAGAGCGGGCGGCCCCTGAGTCCCACGGGGTCCCCAGGGAGCTCTGGAGGCCGGATTGTCCCCGAGTGGAGGACTCGGTCGGTCTGGGCACGGAGGAGGTGGGGCGCACGCCTGGGGAGGAGGAGAGCCTGGTGGGCGGCGGACGACGGTCTTCAACACTGTCCTGTCCCCTTAGGGGGCACCGGGCCGCCCCACACAAGACCCCCACGCTGCTCTGTGCCCACTCAGTGACGTACAGACAGACTCTCTCCAGGCCTTGGTGGCCCCTGTCTGGCTACTGGTGGCAAAATGTAGCTCAGCAAAGGTGGGGGGTACCCGTTGGTGACAAAGGAGGCTCCCAGCTGACCCCCCGCACGGCCTGGGGGTCCAGAGGCTCTGCACCCCCCTGCTCCGTGGGCCCACGGTGGGTCCCAGGCTGGGTGAGCGGCTGGGCAGACGACATCCTCTCAGTGGCTCTCCTGACATCTGCCACCCCCCCCCCATGAGCATAACTTCACACCCTGGTTTGACCTGACCTGGAGGTTTTTCTCGGTAAGCACAGCTCTTCCCGGTCCCCACCGCAGACGGGAAGCCTCCTTCTTTACTGTTCTCAGCAGAGAAGTGAGCCTCCCTCCCGTAGCTCGGGGGGGGGGGGGGGCGGCAGAGCTGAGGCGTCCCCACAACTCTCGGGGCCGGCCTGGGACCCCACCATGGTCCCCGGGCACTGACGGAGGGTGGGCGCTCCCAAGGGTCAGCATCTGGGGGCAGGGAGGTGGACAGACCTGCTCTTCCAGGCAGGTTCAGAAGGCTGGCAGGCCGCCGGGCTGGCCCCCCTGAACCCGCAAGGTCCCGCCCTCTGAGCTGGGCCCCGGAGCCACGGCCCGAGTGTCGCTGGGCTCTGTGCGTGGCAGCTGTGGGGGCACACGTGACCCACAGCCAGTCCGACCACTGTGGGCTTCTCTCGATCCTGTTTGCGGGGACGTGGCCGCCCGCGGCAGGGACTGGCCGGCAAAGCCTCTGGTGTTTGCTGTTCGGCCCTCGGCAGGGAAGGTGTGCCCACAGCTCGTCTGCAGCAGCGCACACTGTCTGGGACGCGCCTGCTCCGGGGACGCGCCTGACCCTGTGCTGCCCAGGCATCCTCTCCTCTCCCCCGCACGCACGGGCATTCCAGAGACGTGTCTGGGGCCCCCTCCTGGGACTCTGGGAAGTAGGGGCTGAAGGCCGCCCAGCCCATCCACCCGACGGTTACAGCCGGGGACGCGGCCTACCAGTGGTGCCCGGCCCGGTCATGGAGGCAGGGACTCAGGACGAGCTCCCCACGGGGGCGGTCTGATTCACCACCTGCCCCTGCAGCCCCAGCCAGGCCCACCCACGCCGCCTCCATGTCGGCCTGATTCATTCCACCGTTCAAATCGCTCCCGGAGTCCCGGGCCAGGCGCTGCCCTACTGGGAGCCGCCCCGAGTCACAGCAGGGACCAGGCAGAGGTCCGGCAGTAACAGACTTCCTGGCGGGAGCGGTTGACCAGGAAGCAAACCGGGCAGGTCGTTTCTGATGGCGAGTGCTAAGCGCCACAAAGAGGGGCGACGTGCCGGGCAGGGCGGGTTGGTGGTTAGGCAAGACCTAGTTGCAAAGTGACCTGGCACCAGCCTGGATGCCGTGCAGGAGCCAGCCACGCAAAGGCCACCGGGAAGAAAGTCCTGGGCCCAGGGAGCAGCTCAGAGGCCACAGAGGAAGGAGGGAAGGAGGTCGGGCCAGCCAGGCTGGCTGTGGCCGGCCCATAGCCAGGGCGAGGATCTGTGTTTTTCTCCAAGTGCCCGTGGGCCAGGGACACCATCCAAGGGCTCTCTGCTCGCAGACACGCTGCCTCTCGGCCGCGTCCGGCCCTGGGCTTCCCGGAAGGCCCTCCTCCGGGAAAAGAGCAGGAGTGTGGACAACACCCCAGAGACTCCAGCGGCCGAGAGCTCGCAGCTCACCAGGCCGGCCCGTCACAAGCATGGTCTCACTCGGTGTTCACCAAAGCCCCATAGGGGAGGGTGCCTTCCATCCTGACAGCCACGCCCAAGGCCCCAGCTGAGTGACCGGCAGCCGTGAGCTGCTGAAGGCTGCTGCCCTTGGCCAAAGGCAGGGTCAGAAATCCAGAAGGCAGGCTCCCTCCGCAAACGCCAGATCTCCCCTCCCCTCCCCTTGGGGCAGCCTGGGCAGGCCCCTTGGGCTCAGCTGGGCTGCCTCCCTGCCCTGGCAGCCCAGGGGGCTGCCGTGTGTGTGCGGGGACACAGTGCTTGGCCTGCACAGACCCAAGTGGAAATTACGCCCGGGGAACACTTCAGCTCTAAGTGGAAATTATGCAGCAAGAATGAGCCCAGCAGTGCCCTCCCCACCCCCACCCCCGGCCCCGCCTCTTTCCTGTGCTGAGGCTACAGCTTGTGCAGCTCAAGTTTCCCAGACCGGGACCTCCATTTCCCACCTGCGAGGGGCCGCCGGCCCTCTCTGCTGCACAGCCAGCTCTTGCAGGGTTTGGGGACAGCGAAAGGGAAGGGTTTTCCAGGGATTCCAGGCAGGGCAGGAACAGCCATTCCGGGCCTGCGTGGGTGACTTGTTCTGCGCCACCACCGGAGCCCAGCTCCGCTTCCTCTGGCGACTCACACCCAGCCTGCAGCTCAGCGGCTCAACGGGCCAGGCGGCTCCCACCTGAGAGGCCAGCGAGGCTGAGGCCACCGGAAGGCGCTGCGCCGCCCCCCCTCCCTCCCTGGGGCAGCTGTCCCAGTCCACCTCTCCAGACCCCACCCATGGGACCAAGGAGTGAGGCCCCGACGGCGGGGGAGGCCAGGCACCCCCACACCCTCCCCACTCGAGGGGCGCGCTGAGATCCGAGCAGCCCACGGGCGCCTCCGGACCCTCGCCCGCTGACACGTCGTGCATCCCCAGGACCCTGCCTCGGCCCGGTGCCCGCTCACCGGTTCCCACCGGATGTCTCCGGAGCCCCTGCGGCCCCCACCCAGAGTCCAGCTCCGCCAGCCCGCACTGAGCGCCCGGCTCCGCCCCTCCGCTCCGGACCAGAGTCCGGCCCGCCCTGGCTGCGTGCCTGTCCCGCCCGAGCCCCGTGTCTCCGGGAGTGGGAACGGCCAGCGGAAAGCCCGCCTGCCCCGCGCGCCCCAGCGCTTACCTGCTCGGCCAGGAGCCCCGCGCGCCCGTCCCCCGTGCTGCGTCCCGCTCAGCCGCCGCTGCCCAGCCCCGCTCCGCCTCCGCCGCGTTCCAAACTCTCCCGGACACGCCCCTCTCGGCCGCTCCGCCAATCCGGGCTCTGGCACGCGGGCGGGGGCGGGGCCTGGACGCCAGCTCCAAAAGCCCAAGTTCCCGAGAAATGCGCGCGCGGGCGGAGCGGTCGGAGTCGGGGTGGGTGGGCCGTGCGCGCACCGCGGGCCGGTTCCCAGACAGGCTCCCCAGGCCGAACGACCTCGGCCGGTTTCCCTCGGCGCCGCCGCCCTACGCTCCCTGGCCGCTCTCAGGCCGTGCCCGGAGATGGTTCTGGACCCCGGCCGGGCTGCGGGGGCCCGCGGGCCTGGGGGAGACGCGGGCGGCGGTGGGATTGCCCGACCTCGCTGCCTGTGGCGGGCCCCTTGCCCCTCTCAGCAATCCAGAGGTTAATAATCCTAATACAAATCAGCAGCGTTTTATCTACTTTCAACTTTTTCTAGTGGCAACTGTCCAATAGACACCGCAGGGACCAGTCTCATGGCGCCGACGGCGGCAGGCAGCGCCCCCAGCCCTCCCGTCGTGCGCCTGGGGCGCTGGAAGGAAGCTCCAAGCCTCACCACTCCGCAAGACGAGCGCAGCCTTCCACCCGCCTGCCCTACACGTCACCCGCCCTCGCTTCTTCCTGGCCCTCCAAACCGCGGCATTTTGGCAGCCGGGGTTCAGTTCAGACTGTCACCTCCTCAGAGCGTTCCCTGCCTCCACCCACCCCCTCACCCTGTTTTGTTATCTTGTGACGCGGGTCTCCCACCCGAAGGCACCTTATTACTCACTCGTCACACACTCTCGGCTTGCGTCGCCCACCCAGGCGGGGAGCCCACCGGCTGGGCGGTGGTCATCCCGTCCCTCCTTCGTCTCTGGAGCAGAGACTGGCGCCTGGCACTTAGGCCCTGCCTGTTGCACGGGTGGGGTTTGTTCGGCCGAGCAGGGCAGACCCCGGGCGCTGTCAGGAGGGGCTGGCTCGGTCACTTCAGAGCCGCCGGCCAGCGGGCCAGCAGCCAGGCAGGAGACACTCAGGGAGAGGAGGAGCCCACGGGCCGGTGCTGGACCTAGGGGGCTCGAGCTGGGCCCTGCCCTGCTGGGTGGTGTGGGCAGAGGCTGCAAGGTGGGGCCCGGGGCGGGGAGGGGCGTGCCTGGCCCAGCAGAGTGGGGCCAGGACTCGGGCTGCAAAGGGCAGGGGCGCGGCGAGGAGGAGACGTAGGGAGAGGCGCAGAGGAGAGCATGGCGGTGAAGGTGATGGCCAGTGGGTGCCTCCCCGCCCCCCCACCCCCGCTGTGGTCTCAGAGGCGCACACCCCAGCGGTGACACCTCCCCGCCTCCACCGCCTCCACTGCTGTCACCCTCACTGTCGAGGAGAGACAGCCTGCACGGAGCAGCCAGCAGACGCCGCAGCCTCACGGCGGCGTTGAAACCTTTCTTTATGAAGTGTGTTGCCAACGTTTCACGGTGAGGGAGCTCACGTAGACACCGAGACTCCCGGCCTCTTTAAATCCCCAGGCGCAGCTGTGCCCTGCACACGGGGTGCGCGTTCTCCCGTTCGCTGCGGTCCCCGCCCCTCCCTGTGGCGTCCCTCTCGCTCGGTTTCCCCGCTTACGCCCCTGCTGGGGAAGAAGCGCGTGAATTTGCAAGTCCTGATGGGAGCCAGGCCTCTACACCTGACGGAGGAGGGACCGGCCCCGCGGGCCCAGAGGCTGAGCGGGAACCACGGAGGTGAGTTGGGACATTGAGGCTCTGGGGAATGCCTCCCCCAGGTGGACACACCTTTTGTCACCTGGGGGGCTGGAGGGGACTCCGAGCTGAGCCTTCAGGACCATGTTCCACGACAGCCTCGGTGCCAGAACCCCCACCCCCCACAGGAGGGGCCTCCTCGGGGAAGGCAGCTCCTGCCTGGGGTGAGTGGCCCCGGTCGGGGAGCTGGGAAGGCCTGTGGTCCGCACAGCACCCTGGCATCCGCCGCTGTGCCTGGTGCAGAGCGGGTGTCCAGAAAAGGGGGGCCTTTCCACGATTCTGAAGCACTGGAGAGAGGTCGTTGGCCCCCAGAGGCCCCTGCTAGCCTTGTCTCACCGCCGACCTGGGGCCCACTCGGGCCCCAGTCTCTTCGCCTGTCCTCCCTTCCAGCTCTGCCGTTCCGGAGGGAGCGCCAGAGGGGCCCTGGAGGCTGCCAAGCTCGCTCCTGCAGCTGCTCGGCGTCCCCGCAGGGACCCGCGTGGCTGAAGGAGACCTGGGCGGAGGGCCACGCTCCTCCAGGAAGAGGAAAACCTCGTGACTCGGGGGCAGGCACAAGTTGAGTCAGCCACGCCACAGGCTGTGGAAAAAGTGAGGTCTCCCTGCGGCTCCTTCTGCTCCCTGGGTAAGAAGCCGGGTCGGAGGAAAAGCCGCCCCCCCACCCCACACTAGACGGCGTGAATCAGGGCTCAGGACTTGGAAAACAAAAGGAAAGTTGGGAGAAACAAAGGAAGGAAGGGAGACAGAGCCGCTCTGTTTGTAAGGAGCGGATCTTGAACTTGGCTCCAGGTTGGCTCGCTTCCCGTGGTTCCCTGGGCTGCTGTTCCATGCCGGCGACTCGGAGCCTCCGGCCACGGAGATGGGGACCCTGGGGAAGGTTTCCAGCCCAGCAGTTACGGAGACCGTTTTAGAGGAGGAAACCCCGAGGTGTTTGGGCACCTCGATTTCAGAAGAAGCTCTCTGCAGCGTCTTGGGTGTTGGGGTGCTGAAGTGCTGGGTTTGCCAGGGACCTCGGCCGGTCTCTGCCACCAGGCCCCACCCCACGCCCCGCCTCCGTGTGTCAATATTTACTCCGGTCCGCGTGTGTGGCTGCCAATGTTTGTCATTCCAAGCCTGTGTGTCCTTTGCATGTTTTTGGCCCCCGTGGCACCCGCTTCCTGCCCCGGGTTTCCCCACGGGGCTCTGACCAGGCCGAAGGGGAAAGGAAAACACTGGGGACAGAAGCAGCCGCTGCCTTCGAAAACGCTGGGGCGGGCGGAGTCGGCGTCGCCCCGTCTGCTGTCCCCCCGCCCCCCACCTCTGCCACCTGTGCCTGGACCTTCCGCGTCGAGGCGCCACCCAAGAGCTACGACAGCGCACGGCCGCCGAAATAAGTCGCACGTCCCTCGACGGCGTAGCGGGGGAGAAACGGAGACGTATCCACACGACCAGACGGGCGCTCCTCGGGGACAAGGCGGTGTCCCCGCATGCACGAAGACCACGGGTCTCATCGGGGTGAGCGCCGGGGACCGACCGCGCGGGAAGGAAGCCGACACGGAAGAGGCACACCGCGGTGGCCGAGCCCGAAAGCGACGAGGCGAACCAGCAGCAGAGGAGACCGGAGCCGGGTTCTCCTGGGCGGGGGAGTCGGACTGGACGGCGGGCAGGACGGGGCCCTGCGACCGGCTGCGGTGTCTTCTGATTCTGGCGACCATGCGGCGTGAGCGCATGAGCACAGGCGCGAACAGCGGCGGAGCTGTCCGCTGGGGGCTGCGCACTGAGTGGTTCGCGCGCGATGCCTCCGTGAACCTCGATGCCCTGTGGCCGCGGTGGAAGACAGAGCCTCGGCCCAGAGCCGACACTGCTCCTGCGCCCTGTTAGAGCCGGCGCCACGCTGCCCCCCGGACCCGGTGCCACTCTCCGCCCGCCTGTGGGTGGGAGCCCCTCTTCGCACGGGCGGCTCTGCCACCGAGGGGGCCTGGTCCAGGTGGGGCCTGGGGAGTGCGCCCCGGAGCTGTCTGGGGCCACGGCCAGGGCCCCGGAGGAGCCACGGGCCTCCCACCGCCTCTTCCTTTTCTTCCCCGTGGTCCCCAGCGCAGCTTGGTGCCGACCGACCGGGTAGGCCCCACTCCAGCCCTCTGGGGACCTGTCTCCTTTTCCCTTTGTCTGTGGTGCAGACCGAGGACAGCCCGGGCGGGTGGGCACACGGCCGCCCAGAAAGTCAGAATCCCCCCAGGCCCCCACGGTAAGCTGGAACTCGGACCGATCCAGAAGGAAGACTTTCGTCTCTACAGCGTCTGCGGGCGGAGGAGCCCAGCTGTCCCCGGGGAGTGGAGAGTCCCTTGCGTGCTCCCCCCTCCACTGTGCGTTGAAACGTGCCACTCCTGCGTCCAGGGGCCCCGCTAGTTTCAAAGGTGTGAGCATCCATCCAGCAGGGTGGGCCACCCATGGCCCCCCCGTTTGAGCAGGGAGGGGCGGGATGGGAGGGGTGGGCAGCTCGGGCCTGGGGTCCGTCTCCCTGGCCGCTGGAATCGGCATTTCCATCTTCTCCAAAGCCCCCCACCCTGGCACCCCCACCCGACCTGCGGACTTCATAACCGTGGTGAGGCCGCTCTGGGGCAGACAGACCGCCGTGCGGTCACCCCGGGGGACAGTCCTCCTCGCACCACGCTCCAGCCGACCCGGGCCGCTCTGCCGGGCCCAATGCCCCCCACACCTGGGAGTGGTTTTGTGAGGCGGCCGCCAGGCCCCAGCAGGTCTTACTGCTTAATTCAAAACGAAATCCCAAGTCATTTATCTTTCTGTTTATTATTGCTGGGGTTTTTTTATGTTTTGTTTTCCCACGCAAGCTCCCGCCGCACCAAGGGTGAGGGGAAGCCCGGGAGGCCGGAGAGGAAGCTGAGGTCCCCGGCGCGGGCTGCTGCGTGGGGCCATCCTGGCGGCCCCCCCCAGTGCCGGGGGTGGGGGGGAGCAGCAGGCAGGCACCTGGGTGGTGTCACCCCTCAGCCCCTGACCTGGGTGCTCGTGTGATCGCTCTGGGCTGCCACGGACCCTCCGAAGTGTCGCCGCTCCAGTTGGAGCCTTAACCCTCCAGCCTGGGGCTGCTGGGGAGGCGCTTCGGGCCAGCCCGTCCCAGTCCGCCCTGTGAAGGCGCCGAGTGCGCCCCGGCTGGGGACGGGGTCCGGGCACCCACAGCCCCGCCCTGCCCGGTCCCCGCAGCACGGCTCTGGCCACTTGCACTTTCTCCTCCGGCCGGGCAGTCCCTCCTGCCTCCAGCCAGAGGCCCCTCTGCCTGCCGCACCCCAGCTCAGCCTCTGGCCTCACACTGAGGCCGGGGGGTGGGGGGGGGGTGGGCTGCCCCGCCTGCCTCCAGACCCGCCAGGAGCCGGCCCACCCCATTTCCCACCCTGCGGCCCTCACTATTCCTGTCCCCCCTGCACGGGGAGCTCGCAGGGTGGAGACCAGAGTCCGTGGCAACCAGGCCCTAGTGACCACAGCGCCGGCCTCTCGTCCCTGGAGGCCCAGGGCAGAGGAAGCCAAGACGTTGAGAGGGGAGCAGATGTGAAGATGACGAATTTAGTGACACACCCATTTCTCAGGACTTCAGGTTTCCTCGCTTTAAATCCACGGCTCCGGGGCAGCAGGCCCTCGGCTCCGGGGCAGCAGGCCCTCGGCCGCTGGGCACCGCGGTTACGAGCCTGGGTTGCAGGGCTCACCCCTAACGTTTGGGCACTGCAGGCCCCCGCCCCACAAGGGGCTCCCACACAGGACACATGTCCTGCGTCTCCAGTCCCGTGAGCTGTCGGCTGGCCCCCAGGGTCCACGGAGCCCGTCCCCTGTGGCGTCAGCCCCCTCTGCGGAGACAGGCCTCCTCGCCGACACGTCACGTCACGGCCTCTCCCCCGCACAGCACAGGTGCCCAGGGCTGAGCAGCGGGCACTGGCAGGCCCCGAGCAGCGCTGCCCTGCCCTGTCGCCCGGCTGTGGGGCTGGGCGTGGGCGCGGGAGGCCAGCGAGGGACGGTGGCCGATGTGACAGGGAGGGCGGATGAGAGCCGGGATCGGGGGGACAGCGAGGTGGGAGAGAGGGGAGCCCCGGGACTCAGGGGAAGACCCGCTAGGTCGTGAACTTGAGAGAGACTGCCCCCCGGGTGGGGCTCTGGCTGTGGCGAGTGGACGCACGGACACCGTTCCGGGGGGAGCGGGTTTGTGGGACAGGTGACAGCTCCGTGTGCGACGCCGACAGACGTCCAGGGGCGGTGCTGCAGCCACGGTTTTCACCTCCCCCCCCAAAACACACTCAGAGCGGCCGGGAGGGTCAGAGGGCGGTTCTGGCCTGGGGTGGGCGGTGGGGCAGGGGTGGGCGGACGAGAGGCAGCTGCCGTCATTCTGAGAACCTTGAGTGTCCTTGAGGCCCTGGAGGAGCCCACCCCGGGGACCAGTGGGGGGGCCACGAGTGGGGCGGCGTTCAGGGCCCAACAGTCCCACGTTTGGAAGATGGGAGAGGCCAGGGAGGCAGCCAGAGAAGGGGCGGCCGGAGGACGCCAGGCAGCGTGGCCAGGGAGGGGCCACCCCCGTCCGGTGTCCCCACGGCCGAGAGAGACAGAGAGGGCCGAAGACGGGCCTCGGAGGGGCTGGCTCCCTCCAGCGAGCGCGGGTCGGTGGGGTGCGGGGTGCACCGCCAGCTTCCTGCTGAGCCCCCTCGCAGCTGGTCGGGCCTGTCCCAGCCCCGGCCCGGCCTCGCCCGGCTGGCACTTCCGTGGGGGTGCGGGGATGCAGCGAGCGTGTCCGGTGAGGACCCACTCGGCCCCCCACCCCCTCCTCACCGCCCCCCGCCTCACCCCTCACCGGGGAGCTCAGTCTAAGGCGCCCGGTGCGCCCGAGGGGCAGGGCTGCAGCCCCGCCGGGCACGCCAGCTCCCACACTCCGGCCCGGCCCTGCATCTGTCTCCCTAGCGACGCTCGCCCTTCACAGCTCGGGAAGAACGACCCGGAGTGTTTCTGACTCTAATTTTGATTTGTCTGCCCCTCTCGTTAATGACGTCTATTTAAGACGCCCATTAAAGGCCCATGAGGTTAATTAAATGGACAATTCCCACACAGTTCTATTAGAGCCCCCTTGATTAAATTAATATTATAGACATTTAACAGATGTCTTAATTAGGCATTATAGCTAAGAAACGCAAACTAAATTAGAACGAAAGCCGTTGTCCAGAAAGGGAGCTCTTTAGTGTTGATTTACGGCATGTGAGGGACACCCTTGTTTACTCTTCAGAGCCCGGGACGAGCCGGTGACAGCCGCCCCACCCCGGCCCCCATGGCCCCGGGAGGCCGCCCTCTGGAACCGCCGTGCAGACGCTGAGCTGGAAGAGACTTCAGACGCCATCCGGAGTCCGTGGTCCCCAAACCTCAGCGACGAGGAGCCCGCCGGGGTTTCAGAGGAGCCGGGAGTGATCTGGGCACCCCCCGCCCCATGGGGCTGGGCTGTGGTCTCCTGGCCCCGCTGGTCAGAGGTGACATCGAGGCCCACAGACTTCAGGACAAGGTGAGTGTCGTCCCCCCCCCCCACCGAGTCCCACATCCTGGCCCTCAGATTAGCGCTTTCCCAGCAGCCCCTGAGAGCCCGCCCCACCCACTACAGTGGGTCAGAGACTGGCAGCCATAGCCCCACGCCCCCCACCCCAACCCCCTCTGGTCCTCACAGGCTCTGTGGCCCAGTCCCGAGCCTCGGTGTGACCCCTGTGTCAAGTCCCACAGCTGCCTGGATGCAGAGCCCCCTCCTCCAGGGAGCCCCCCCCACCAGGCCATCCCCAGCCCCAGAGGGAGGAGGAGCTCAGCCGTTTGCAGAAACAAAGGGGACCCCGGCAGCCGCAGAGCGCCTGGGGCTGGAGGGAGCAGCCGGGCCTCAGCGCCAGTCTGAGCAAGTCACGGAGCCCGTGGTGACGGGGCTCAGGGCCAGCAGCTGGGCTGGGGGTGCTGGCGGAGGGCCCGGGCGCCCGTGTAGGGTGTGGGAGGGCCGGGCCGTGTCTGAGAGTGGGGACCAGGGCGGGGTTAGATGCGCCACACTGCCGAGCCGGGGTGCAGAGGGCCGGACCCGCACAGGCTCGCCCGGCCCCCCACCGGCGCACGGCGGAGCCACAGCTCAGACCCCGAGCCCAGGTCCACAGGTGCATTTTACTGTCCTGCACACGGCCCAGCCAGCACAGAGAGTGGAGGGAGAAACACAACCCACGCCCGTCGCTAGAGCAGCACCGGCCGGTGACTCCTGCGGCCTCTCCTCTCCGGGGAGCGATGGAAACCCCGGCCCCGCTCCCCGACCCCACCCAGCACGGGCTGTTCCTTCCCGGATGATCAGCCGTTTGGGGCCGGGCTTCTCCTGGCGGGGGTGTCCCCAGGGGGCCGGCCGGCCGGCCGCCGTCCATCCGAGCAGGGCTGGGTGTCTGGGGGCTGCGGTTCCCGCCCTCAGTGGCCGCCTCCAGCGGCCGACGCTCACAGGTCAATGGTCCCCTTCGCTTTGAACTTCTTCGCAGACCGCTCGCTGGACCGGAACTGGAACTTGCTCCCGTAAATGTAGGAGAGGAAGCCATCGGTTTCCACGGAGAACACGCAGTCTCGTTTGGGGATGACTGAGCACGAGCAGGAGACAGAGAGTGAGGACGCAGCCGGGGGGGCACGGTCGCCCGCCCTCTGCCGATGTCCCTCCCACCGGGCCGTCCAGAAACCGGCTGACGGGAGACCAGGGCCACTGCAGCGGCCCGGCCTCCAGGGGGCGCCCTGCCCACCCTCCACATCTCAGTGCCACCCCTGCCGCCCAGACCCTCCCAACCAGGACCTCCCAGGGAGGTGCCGGTCAGGCCCTCCCAGGCCCGTTCGGAGGGGCCCAGGCTGTGGCTCGGCGGGAAACCTGTCGCCACTTTCTGAGGCCGAAAGAATCTGCAGGGAAGCGGATGGAAGAGGCAGGAAGAACCAGCTCGAAAGCTACAGGACCAGGCCTCCCAGCCCGCTGCGGGCCCCGCAGGTCCGTGGCCTGCTCACGCACCTTTCAGGCGGTCCTCTTTGGTGACGATCTTGAAAACGTGCTTCGTTTCCTGGAGCAGGATGCCCGTGACGCCCACGTAGGAGGGGCATTTGGATTTGGTGACTGCAGAGGGAAGGGCAGCTCCGCTCAGGCCCCCGCGGTGCTGGGGGTGCTCCCAGCCCAGGGCTCTGCGGCGCCCAGGGTGGCCTGGCAGGCGTCTGGGGGACCCCAGGGGAGGCTGTGTGGATGGGGCCGGGGACGACTGCGTTGTGTCCGCCCTGGCGCTGACCTGGGGACACCCGTGAGGTGGGGGACATTCTAACTGCAGGACACCGCTCCGCTGCCCGAGACTCCCACGGGCACCCACGGCCACGCGCCGCTGGGCCGGTCACCTGAAACGATGGCGCCGTGGAGGTCTGCCTTTAAGAGCTTGGCCTGGATCATCTGCGGCTGCCTGTGGGGCACAGGGAGCACCCGCTGCTGACCAGCTCGGAGCCCCGCCGCGGGGGCCGCGCCAGCAGTGGCCGCAGGGCAGGGCTGCAGAAACGCAACTCACGTGTCTGGCTTGAGGCCGTTGCACAGGTCCCGGATGTACTGCTTCCAGAGCTCGTGCAGAGGGAGGAAGAGGCTGTACCTGTGGCACCGCGAGAAAAAGGCAACAAGTCGGGCGGGCTCTGGGGACTACAACGTCCGACGTGCAGGGCCTGGCTGCATGCCCAGGACGACCCGGGTCGCTGTGGACTGGACGACCTGTCTCAAGTCAGGTACTTCCACCTCTCCAGCCTGTCCCCTCACTGTGGAGCCTTCCTGAGGCTGTGCTTCTACCAACCAGAGGAGGAAGACACACCTTCCTTTGCCCCTCATCCTCCCTGCCGGCTGGACGCAGTTGTGACAGCTGGAGCTCAGGCAGCCACCTGAGACTACGAGGTATATCTAAAGATGCTGGTGCGGCAAGGCCACACTGAGGGCCTCACTGCCTGTGGAACCGCCTGCCACCCCAGCCCGGCCCCGTGCTCAGCTGGACTCCTCCTCCAAGGGGGAACAAGCACCCCTCTTGTCTGAGCCACTGCTCCTCTGCGGCGCCACGCTGCAGGCAGCCGACCGGGTGGGCCCCGTCAGACAGGAGACGCTGGCTGTCGTGCAGACCCCTAGGGAGGGAATGGGTCTGCCTGGACGGTGACTGAGTGAGTGGTGGGGTGGGGTGAGGGGGCCCGGATGAGGGGACCCTAAGGCTTTCCTCTGCAGCCACCATCGCGTGGCCTGGAGCCTCATGGGGAAGCCACGTACGTGGAACTGCAGGGCAGAGAAACGAGAACCTCGAGCTCCAACCTGAAGGGGGCCCTGCCGGCAGGGGCACTGCCAGGCACACCTGGGCCGGCAGCAGCCCCTCCTGCACCCAAAGCCCAGCCAGTGTCCGGAGGCGCCAGGGACCAAGTGGCAGACCATCCAGTGGCTGCAGGGGGCGCTGCGGTGCAGATTGCGAGCACAGGTCTGCAGACGGTGCTAAGGGACGTGCGCGGCGGAGGCGGAGGGCGCTGCGTCAGCGGGAGGAAGGGACAGGACCTCCCACGGAGCCGCCTGGCCCCCTCACAAGCTTCCGAAACATGTGGGCAGCACGTCTGCGGCAATAAAACCCCAGTGGGTCATTCTGCCCAGTGCTATTAAAAGCTATAAAGAGACACACGCTAAGAAATTCCAGTTCCTCTTTTCCTAAAAGGGCTGAAAGACAAACAGCCTGTTGCCACCAGCAACGGGACGGAAGCCAGCCCCTCTCACCAGCCTCCGCACTAGAAGCCAAACTCTGCCCTGGCTGGTGCCGCTAGGCGGGTTAGAATGGAGATTAACTGAAAGGGCACTGAAAGGTCACGGGTTCAGGTCACGGTCAGGGCACAAGCCTAGGTTGCAGACTCAGTTCAGGTCAGGGCGTGTGAGAAGCACCCAGCTGATGTTTATCTCCCTTCCTCCTCCCTTCCCCTCTCCCCAAAATCAAAACCAGTATGTCCTGGATGAGGATTTGGGGGGGAAAAAAGAGTCAGTCAAACCCAGTCCGGATTGGTAAAGGAAGACTGCCCCCTGGTGGCGGCAGCGGGAGAGGCTCCCTTAGCGCAGGCGGAGCAGGGCTTCCCAAGCTCCCGCCCAGACCCAGGAAGGCAGGCAGGGGGCGGGCTACCTCTGCTGCTCAGGTTTGATGTCGAAGAGCCGCAGCTCCCTCCGCTGCCTGGCAGAGAGGCCCCTGGACTTCTTCTTCGCCTCCTTCCGCTTCCGGCGGGGGAAGTACTCCAGCACCACGGCCTTGCGCTGCAGCTGGTCCTCGCGGGCGCGCGGGCTCATGCCGGGCGTGCTGCGCTTCAGGAAGGCCCTCACAAAGGCCTCGGCCCGCTGGGTGCCGGGGTGCTGCGAGGGGACCAGGCGGGACAGGGCTCACTGCTCTGCGGACCGGGGCTCACACAGCCTCGCGCACGCTGCGCGTCCCCCACCCACGGCTGTCCAGACGCGGGAGTCACACTCACAGGCCAGCCCGTGGCTGTCACACCAGGCGGCCAGGCCCAATGCCGGCAGCCTACCCCGCGTCTCTGAGACCATTCTGACGAAAAGGGAGGGAAACCACCTCTGCACATGGAAGAAAAGACTTCCCTGACCTTCGGCAGGGGAGGGAGGCTGGGGAACGAGTGACACTGCGTGTAATCTGGAACGGCAGACCGAGGCAAGCTCAGAGCGGCCCCGAGCCCCAGCCTCGGAGGAGACGGTCTGCACACTCGGGAAAATGGCTCAGGTGGGGCGGCCAGCCCCAGGGGGGTCGGGGCTCCATGTCGCCGTCCTCTTCACTTGGGTCTCCCGCCCTGGCTGCTCTCCGAGCCTGCTGCCCCCTCGCTTGGGAAGGAACTGTCGGCACATCTCGGCCCCCCACCCGCTCCCCACTCTCTCGGACACACGACGGAGCGTCCCGTGACCGTGACTGAACACAGGCTCCCAGAGGGGGCGTCTGGGCAGAGTGACGGTCACAGCTGCGACTGTGCAGAGGACCCCAAACACCCCTGCCTGTCCCGCTGCGGTCGCCCCCGTCTGCCCTCCCCCAGGGCCTCTGCCCCAGCCCACCCCAGCCCAGGAGAACCGTCTGCTGAGGTCTTGCCTCTTGGCCAAGCCACACCCCCTACCCCTGTCACTCTAAGCAGGCTGTGAGCACCCTGAGGGTGACGTGTCCGCAGGGAAGATGAGACACGCATAGTGTTCGAGCGGCGCCCAGTAGGGTGAGCCAAAAACCCACCCCCATCACTAGTGTCGCCGTAAGAGAACGACTGTGCCGACTCCGCCCCCCAAGTGGCCCTTCCACGGAGAAGCCAAACAAAGCCCTATCGGTCTTCCGAGACCTTGATGTCAAGGCGTCTCCGTCCTCACAGGCCAGTCACCGGCGCGGCTTCTGTCGCAGCCACACGCAGACCCACCCCATACATCTCACGAACCGTGACTTGCCTGCCCTTTTGGGGGGCAAAGGGGGCACAGGGACCAGGTCAAATGACAGTGTCCACCAGGGCGGGCTCCAGGTGGACACAGCCTGGCGCCCCCTATGCAGCGGGCGATGACATAGGTCAGGGAGTCCCGGCTCACCAAGCCTGACTTTGGCACGTCGGGCCGAGACCCTCATTTGGAGATGGGTCACCGGGACGGCAGACCCCAATGAGCCTGGCACACCCACTGGGGCGATGGGGGGGGGAGACACGGGAAAGGACCCTTGAGGCAGCACGAGAGCGAAGCCACCGAGCCATCTCTGTCATCACCCCCAGGGCCCCGGCTCCCTGCGGAGCCCCTTACCTGAACATCGAGCTCTCTGGCCTCTTTCTGAGAGAGGGCGTGGTAGATCGCACCTGGGGGTGAACACAGACATGAAGCGACTCCCGGGGGTGTAAGCCCCAGACTTCTTAAACAGCGGAAACCACAATGCTCCTTCAGAGACCGGGGGGCGGGGCACAGGGCACAGGGTACAAAGGGTAGTGTGGAAGCTTTCTTAGCAGCCTCATCCTGCTCTGCAGTCACATCCGTCACAGGAATCCCAGAGGCCAGCCTTCTCAAACAGCGACGTGCACGGGAACCTCTGAGACTCATCACAATGCAGATTCTGGGGCCCCAAGCCCACATCCTGCAGGTCCAGGAAGTTCCAGATGGAACCGCAGGGCGGCAGACCGCACTTGAAGTTGCACTCGTTCAGAATAGCACAGGTGAGGAGCCCAAGGGGCTGCTCGACTTGCCGTGAAGTAACTCATTTAAAAGTTATGTGATGCAGAAGGTTGGGATTATTACATTATGTGAACTGTAAGATGTTTAAAAATTCTTTTCAGTTTAATATCTATGAAACTGCAAAGTATGACTGATGTCATCCTAAACTGATCAGGATGTGTGTATATATGTATATATGTATATATGTATAGATATGTATATGTGTGTGTGTATATGTATATGTATATGTATATATATACACACACCAACACAGTTTCAGCCTCTAAGAACTCCCACACTCCTGTTTCTCACTCAATTTGTCTGAAGAACTGTGGCCCCAGAGATAGAGTACGGATGTGACCAAAATAAGAATAAGACAAGGGCCTAGTATAAGGGCCAGAAGATGAGAAAATCTGGTGTGCACTACAAGCTATAAATTTCACCCCGGCTCCCTGCAACACATCTGATGAAGCAAACCCACGTGGTTACAAGTCTCATATTCGGAGTCTGGTTCTCTCTCAAATGTAAGACAGGGATTACATGTTTGTGGAGAGCCACGTGCCCCGCCCAGAGCCCCAGGAATGACTGCGTCACCGGTCACAGGTGCCCAGGATGGGAAGTCTCTTCTGTAACAACGCACTTGTACCGGCTACTGAGCACTCATTACTTGCTATGGCCCTCCTCAAAAGCTGCACATATTTTATCTCATTGTACTCCTTCTGAACAATCCTTTAACGTGGTTACTATTTCTAGTATGCACGTGAGAAACTGGAAGCTCAGGTATGCGCAGATGCCTAACTTGATCACACGGGCAGGGACCGGCAAGGGGGGAACTCAGAACCCCACGCAAAGCCGGCGCCAGCGGTGTCTAAGTGCCCTGCCTCCAACTGCCCCGGGGCTCGCTCCCCTCCAGGCGCTCTGCCTCCGCTCAACTCCAAGGCTTGGGTGGGCGGTGTCACTGCCCAAGGAGCTCCCAGAGCGTCGCACCAGACTTGGGTCGTTCACGGAGCAGCAGGCTGGGCGGCCGCTAACCACGCGTAACCGCGGAGGCCGCCAGCCTCCAGCTCTGGCATCCGCCCTTGGCTCCCAGACGGGGCCAAGCCAGCCGGACCTCTGGACCTCAGTTTCCCCGATGTAAGGTAGGGCAATTCCCAAAACAGCTCCCTTCGCACTGCGCTGCGACCCTACCCTTCTCCCCGCACCGGCACCCAGGACCCCCAGCCCCGCTTACGCTCCATGCTGGGGCCGCTTCCGGTGCGCTTTGATGACGTTTCCATGGGGGCCGCCCACGCTACCCCCCTCTCCGGCTCCTTCAGCAGCCCTGTAGCACCGCAGCCTTTGTCCCCAAAACCGGTGATGGAGAGGCTCCTCCTCGACCCCGGGCTCAAGATGCACGTGAAGTCCACAGAGTGACACTCCCGCGCTTGCAGGAAGGGTCGCAGACGCTCCGAGCTCGTGGGCGGCGGCGCCTGTGACGTCACCGAGCGCGCCGACTGGGGGCGCATGCGCCTTGGAGCGAGTGCCGCTGCGGGAGAGACCCGGCAGCCCGCTTGGGTATCTGCGCGGTGGGCTTCCGCCGCGTGTTTCGGAAGCGGGGTGGGGGTGCCTGGAAGCCGCAGGGCCGCGGTCAGGACATGTGGAGCGCGCAATTTGTTTCTTTTTTCATTGCTGTAAACGATAAACAGACACGGACACAGGTGCCTTCCCGCTAACGATTTTGTGCAGGTTGCACGGGAAGTCCATGGTATTGGCGGTGACCGTCCCCCCAACCACGAGTTTATCATAGGAATCCTCACGTATCCAGGAAAATGGAGTAATTCTGCACTGAACACCCGTATGCTCTTAGGTCCAACGATGAACGCTTTGCGCTGTTTGGGGGTTTTCTCATTGCGGCTTGAAGACACTGAGGCTGCCCAGTTGCGTACTCGGGAGACGTCTTGTAGACAAGCTCAGAAGGATGCAGCCTCAACTCTTAAGTGCATTTCGGTGAAAATCAGGGCCCATCTAGGAGACTTCCTGCGTTTCCTTTAAGTCTAAGGGAAGGTCATGACCCTGAAGGAATGTCAGCAAACCTGTGGTGGGGACAGGGAAGGCTTTGTCTTCGGGGAAAGTTGTAATCCTCTGAGTTACAAAAGTCGTATAGGATTTTACACATGTCTCGTGTACACATGTGCTGTACACATGCACAGGCACACATGTATACACACCTGTGTCTCTACATAGGTTTGTATGTGTACATGTAGAAATTTTTCCTCCAGGTTTCATTTAAGTGACCAAACCGGGTGTGTTTGGGGAGGAGGAGGCCCGCTCTGCTCCCCACCTCCAGGCGGCCTTGTCTGCACCGTGGAAAAGTGACAACAGCCCCCGCCCCTGCGGTGGCTCAGCGCTCTGTGAGACTACGCCTAGAGCGCCACCTCTGTCTGCATTCTCAGAGCTGGAGCAGCCCCCGAGGCTCAAGACTATGGGTTCCCTGGCCCAGCTTTGCCCTTGACCTGTATGCTGCTCATGGTCCAGCCATGGTGTATTGGCAAGGAGAGCTGGGGGTGGGGGTGGAGGCAGGTGTAGGGACACAGTGGCCCCAGGAGTCATTTCTCAGGCTCAGGGAGGCTGCTGCCCGCTCCGACAGAGAAGAGACCGGGCTGTGAGGTGCTTGAGCTGACAACCAACGTTCCTGCCGGGCACACCGGGTCCTGCTGGGCGACTGGGCGCTCTGGCTACGAGAATCAAAGGACCGAAGCTTCCAGGAGGGCAGCCTGGCAATCCTGCCCCAGAGGCAGCGCCAGGCTCTGAGTAGGCGGGACACCAGCCACGTGGAATTCCAAACAGCAGGGGCTACGCCACCCGACATGTGTGGTCAAATTCCAGTTTCCGAAACCCAGGTTTCTGTGTCACTCAGCCCCCACCAGCCACTCACGGAGGCTCTCCCACCCCCTCCCATCTGAGACACAACAGCAACAGACCCCCCCAGTTCCCCAGCGTCTCACTCTGAGCCGAGTCCGCTGCGGAAAGCTTGATCTTGGTTTCGTGACGGGGTGTCTGAATGAGCAGGACACTCGGGGTCCTGAGAGGTTTCCTTCTTGGGGCATTTGGGGTCGTTCCCAAGGACCTGGGAGGGGTGGCGGGGAAGTCACTGCAGCCCACACGTCCCCTCCCCTCTTCGGACCCGAGCACAGCTTTGGGGAAGCAGCCACCTGCACCGGGCCGTGGGCCATGTGCTTGCGTGTGAGTGGGTCCGTTCAGGCTCACGACGTGGGGGAGAGGGAGGGAGAACAAAGCTGACACAGTCACCCCATCCTGGCACTGGGGCAGGGCGGGGACGCAGAGAGGCCTGGCTTTGTGGTGTGACTCTCACAGCCCCGCCGGGGCTGGGAGCAGCTATCTGAAGCCAGAGGGGGGACTTGGAACTGTGGAAAAACCTGTCTCCATGAGGGGGTCAGGCCTCAGCCGAGCGGCCTGACAGGGGAAGGGGTACCCTGCGGGGAGGCGGAGACCCCTCCCGGTCTTCCCGGGCCCTGCTCTCACGTCCGACGGCCAGCTCGACGCTGTCAAAGTCACCGTCTGTGAAGCACAGGAAGGGACAGGAACTGCGACCCGTCGGCAGCACAAGAGAGGTCAGCACCTGGCCATGGGTGACCCTGATGGTTGAGCAGAGAGACGAGGCCTTTGAAATGCTGTTACGACCACGTCAGCTGCCTCAGGGGGGCAGACGGGCAAAACCGGGCGGGAGGACGAGGCGTCTCCGCGGAGACACGGAGATGCCACAGTCAGCGGTTCCTGGGAGGGCGAGCGCCTCTGCCAGACCTGGCACGTCCACGGCTCCTGAGGACTCGGCCCTGCCCACGCACACCTTGCCCTCCCCTGGCGGACAGACAAATACTCACCTCCTGCAGGCCCGAGGCCTGGCTGGGCCCCTGTGTCCTGCTTATGAGATGAAGGGAGGCCCCGGGGACTGCTTCCAGCCTCCGGCCTCCTGCCTGCAGCCCCCGTGTGGGGCCGGAGGGCCGCTCCCCGCAGCTGGGGGCCCTCGGAGGGGCTCCGGATGGCTGGCAGCCGGGCCGCACATGTTGCCAGTTGAGAACAGCGCCACGCCCATGCTGGCTCTGGAATGTTTTCCACCTCAGACCCACGGGTGCCCTCATTTGGGGGGCTCCCTCCCCACCCATCAGTGCAGTGACAGGACTGGCCCGTTTGTCTGGCGCTGGTCTGCAGAGCCGCCAGGCCCTGGGGTGGGCCGCAGGCCCCTCTGTGAGCTTGGCGTGGCTCCTCCCTGTCTCTGGGGCCTTCAAACTCAGTGGGGGCCCCCAGGAGCCACAGGGAGGGGACTGGACGGAGCGTGCACCTCTAACCCACGCCTGGGGCCTGCAACCTCTGCCTTCCAAGCAGCGCTGGCTGGGAGGGTCGCCCAGACGCCTTCCCCACAGGCGCAGGGAGGAGGGCAGCAGCCCCCTGACACCGGCCGGCAGGGGTGGGGGCGGCGGTGGCGAAGGTGGGAGAAGGCGAGGGAGGAGGTGGCTGGGGGTGCCGACCATGGGGTGCACTGGGAGTGCTGACGAAGGCTGAGTCCGCTGTGAAACCTTTTTTCCCATAATGAGGTTCCTTGACGCCAAAGAGGACCTGGCTCCAGTATTAAAATTGGGACACTGGGACTGTGACCGGTCCCACTGGCATTTATTGTTTATTGGCTTGTTCTCACGCCCCGGGAGGGCTTGGCACAGCAGACACAAAGCTGCCAGCCGTCCACAGCAGGACACCCAAGGCGGGCGGGAGGTGGCGCCCCAACACAAGGGCTGGACCTGCGGCCACAGTGCCTCTTCCTCCCGAGCCCCCGGAGCCCTTCCCGCCGCCACCGGGGCTGTAAAACCTGCCCCTTCCCGGGGCCGCAGTCCCTGGCACTAAAGCCCAGGCCCCCCGGGGGGCGGGGGGGCTCTCTGTGGACAGAGTGCTTGGGTTTTGGTGAGCACCTTCCCCGGGGGAAGGAACGGTCACAGAGTCGAGCGGTTGGAATGCAACAGAGGAAGAGGGAGGCTAAGAGGAGAGTGACTGTGAGGTTGGGGAAGAGGCACGAGTGTCGGTGACACTCAGAAAGTGACAGCGGGGCACCGAGGGGGAGGCGAGGGGGGTTGGCAGCTGGCCTGCGGCCCATGGCGGGCGGGGCACCCCCGGAAAGGTGAGGGGCGGCCCCCACCGCTGGCCATTTGTTTGCTCTCCGAGGCGCCTTCTCCCTTTCCCTGAGAGATGATGTTCTGCCCGGTGACCTTGTCATATTGCCAGGGAAAGAGACGGCCGCGCGGGCCGAGTAAATAATTCAGCGCCGGGCAGCGAGGCAGTGACGGCCGCTCACGGATTCCGAGTGACGGGCGTCCTTCCCTGTGTTTGCGGAGGCAGGGGCCGCGGCAGTGGGAGCCCGAGCTGCTTAGCCAGACTGCTGCCCATTAAGCTTTATTTGTTTTTCAACGTTAGAGAGTGTCTGGTGACATTTATTCGTGACATCGGGGTCAGGAGCCACTTGATTGCTATTCTCCCTCCTCCTCATCAAGGGACAGCAGTGTTTGTGGCGGAGAGGCGGCGGCGGCCAGGACGGGGGCCGGCGAGTCTCACCATCGTGACAGTGCTGCCGGCCGCCCTCCGCACCCACAGCACGTGGGCTCCCAGGTTCTCGGGGATGAACGTCCGACACCCCTGGGAGCCACAGGGGGGCTGCCTCCTGCTGGGGCAGGAGAGGTGGCCCCCAAGCAGCGCCACTGCGGAGTCACCATAACAGCCCCCGTGGTTTGTCCCCAACCTGCAGCCACCGGCCAGCTCCCACCTGGGGCGGGGGGCACCAGGGCTCCTGGGATTCCAACGTGGGGGAGTCATTCTTTCAGCAGGGGGCTGCCTTCTCCAGCGTCATTTCACATGCAGAGACCCCTGCTGAGGGTCACAGAGAAGTCCTGGCAGGCGGCACCTGACCCAGGGATCCTGGGGGGGGGGGAGGCTGGGGGCTGGGAGGACACGAAGGGGGAGATGACCGACCACACACAGGCTGGAGAGTGTCCTCTTGCCCCCACAGGGAAACCTGGGCTCAGAGCCCCGCCCGACGAGGACAGAGGCCTGGGTGCACCCGGGCAGGGGGACGTTGTTTCCCCCTTTTCTTACCCCTCCCCCCGTCTCCTCTCCGCTGGGAGAACAGATTTCCTACTTGGGCCGGTGGAGTTGGGGGACCCCTGCTTCGCCCCCCTGTGGACGTGCAAACTCCTGAGCAGGGGCCCAGGCCCAAGAGACACCGAACCCATGGGAAGCACATAAATCCATTCCGGTGCCAGGAGGCCCTCCCTTTATTTATTTATTTCTTTAATTAGGTCATTGATCAGCAACATTGATCAGCAAAAATGAGGCCTGGCTGGCCCTGTCCTCAGAGGAAGATCAATGATGTTAATAGTCCAACATCCAACATGACTAAGAACCCTCAGTAAACCAGAGATGGAAAGGTTTTCTCCGCTTGATACAAAGTTTCTGACCTGCGGGTGAGAAGGGAAATGCTTGTGCCGTGAGGTCAGCAACAAGACAGCTGCGGCCGCTACTCTCCCCGTGTGGGAGGCGGCAGTCAGCGCCGTGAGACATGGCGAGGAAAAAAAGAGCATACAATCAGGAAAGGAACAAGCAACATCACCTTTTCTGTGCTGGCAGCATCTCCACGGAGAAACCTACTAAGGCATCTGCGGAGAAGGTACAGGACTTGTGGACGAGTTTGGTAAGCCTGCAGGAGAGAGATCGAAGTGCCCAGCTATGTTCCGTGTCTCTCCCCTGGCAACAGTCGTACGTCTAAAGGTGGAGGGAGCCACGCGGTGGACGCGGGCATCAGACATCTGAGACGCCTGGAGAAAAATCCGGCACACGCCGGGCAAACCCCGTCGCCGGAACCTGCCCAGCACTGTCGGGAGACGGAAGAGGCCCACATACATGAGGAGAGACACAGCACGCTCACGGACCCGAAGGCCCGGCGTTGTTAGGGTGGCAGTTCTCTTTAACTTGATCTGTAGAGTCAACCCAAGCCCAATCGAAACCCCGGAAATTCATATATATTTTTGTAGAAACTGATGCACTAATTGTAAAATGTGTGTGCAAGCACCAAGCCTAGAAGAACGAAAGTAATTGAGAGAGACCTTCCTCTCGGACGCCTGGGGTCCCTGTCCCCGGCTGCAGGGCCCCGAGCAGAGGCGGGCGGTTGGCACGAGCAAGAAGAAGACGGAGGTGCAGGCGACAAAGGGCAGTGGTGGCTTTCGCAGTCTGGGTCCGGCCCCGTCGTGGAGCCCCAGTCCCCCAGGCTCCCCCGGGGCCCCTTCGTCGGCCTTGCTGCCCCTGGGCGGGGCCTCGGTCAGCATCCGGAGCGCCCACCACAGCTGCAAGGTCACACGGGACGGAGGGAACGTCCTGTGTGGCACCGACAGCGCCTGCTCCGGTCACAACACACAGCAGGTCACACAGCAGGTCACCGGGTCACCTCCCCTGGTCTGGGCACAGCTGAGGGCACCTGGCGGCCGCCCCGCATCGGAGTGGCTGAGTGGTGGTCTCCCGGCAATTCGAGACTGGCCTGCCAGTGGAGCCCCCTCACCCTCCCCAGGGGCCTCCCCGGGGAGCCGAGCACTCCGTCCTCGGTCACCAGCGAGGACCAAGCCTCTGAACTGTCTCTCTGGCGGCCAGTCAGTCAGTCAGTCGCCCAGAGGGGATCGGGGTTTGCCGCTAAAGGAGAGCCGTCCCTGTAACGGGTGGTCCGCGAGATGGGCGTCAGCATCCTGGAAAGCGACTGTGGTCGGCCTTGCTGCAACAAGCACCCGGTCCCTGGGAGCTGGAGCAGCTGTGGGAGGTGGCGGCAGCAGGACCGAGCTGTGACCACCGAGGGTCGCAGCGCTGGGTCAGCGGAGTGGGGCCAGGACGTCACCACCAGACCTTTCGGTGTTTAGGGGCAAGGGGCCGTCCCCCTGCAAACCGCCCAGGGGGAGTCGGTCGGTCGTGGGGATGCGGTGTGCTGCAGACTGTGCTGGGGACGCACCGCAGGCTTTCCAGAGCAAAACGGAAAATTTTGAATGCTGACATTTACTAAAATAAAGTAAAATAAAATAAAATAAAATAAAATAAAAACAAAACTTTAAAAGCTCAGGGTGTCTACAATCCAATATACCTTCTCTGTGTTCTTAAATGGAAAACTGGATACGCGTCATTCAAAACATCGATTACTTGCTTTGGGGGTGGGAGCCTGGTGGGGTCCCCCTGCCACGTGTCAGCCCCCCTGCCTTCTGATCTGCGCTGGTGGCCGCACCCATCAGAGGCCGTGGGGGCGGGGCGGGGTGGAGACCGGCGGGCTTCCTGAGTGCACGCGGGTTCGCCCGCAGGTGCTCCCAGGCCGCGCCTGCAGGAGGCCGGTCGGCAGGTTCGAAGAGGGGTGGGGCCCGAGGGGAAGTGTGGAGCCTGCCGTCTTGGAGGGGACAGCTGCTGGGTGCTGCCTGAAAGTCCCACTCGGGTCAGACACAGGTGCCCCAACCAGGACTGCAGTGCCGGGCTCCTCCCGTGGGTATGGCCTGGCTCGCTTCCCCAGCAAGCTCCCCATCACCCCCCTCTGCCCCACCTGCCCCCGGTGCCCGTGGTGGCATTTGGTGGCAATGCTGACTCACGGTGCCGCAGCCCCCGCAAGCCCGAGGTGGTCCGCACAGGCTGGGACAGGGGCTTCTCAGTCGCCCCCTGAGAACACTGTGGGTTCTTCCCCAGTGGGGAGGAACTGTTTTGTCCTTGAACTTCTGTCTGTGCTGGGCCTGGGCTGCAGATGAAACCCAAAGGAAAAGATGTTCTGGGGGGTGAGCTCGAACCTGTGACTTTGTCTCTGGTGGGTGTTCGTCCCTCCTGATTGGTGTGTCCCTCACACTCGGTGCACGCTCCCCACTCTTTGTCCTCGACTTGGAGTGCTCCACGGGGACCCCCAGGGAGCAGGCACCCGGGTGCCCACCCACCCGCTTGTGGAACCGCGGGCGCACGCCTCACTGGACCCTCCTTGGAGTCCCCGGCACCCACCCAGCAGGGCCGCTGGTCCCTGGGGTCTGAGGGGTTTGCGGTGGCCTCCAGGGGACCCTCCTTACCCTCAGCCTCAGTCTGACTTCCAGTGTCGTCTGTTCGGGGTCATGCCCCCACTTCGGCGAAAGCACCCAGCCTCACCCACAATTTCCTTTCCGGAAATCCCTGCTCCCGGGAGGAGACCTCAGGGCCGGTTCCTCCCTCCGTGCGTGCAGAGCCAGCGGCAGCCGCAGAGCAGCCGCCCAGCGCACACCTGCCTCGTCCCCCGCGAGCCGCGCGCGGCCCGGGTTGCCGAGATGGGAAGCGGCTCCCCCAGCCTGGGCCCCGTCCCGGGCACGCCGCCTCCACTCCGCCTGGCGTCGGTGAGAGCCGTGTTCGTTTCGCGCACCGACGGCGCGGGTTCGCCCCGACATGAGCCCGCGGCGGTATCGACTGATCCGTAAAGAGAGATGATTCTTCCGGACAGACGCACCCCCCAGCGGACGAAACCGTTCGATCTGCGGCTCCACGGGCGCTGGTCCATACAGAAGAAATGGGGGGCAGCTTGATGTACCCACCGGAGCGGCGGCCCCGCCCGCCGGCGCCACGCTGGGGGTCGCTGCGCCGGGGCACGGTCAAGGGCACCTGTCTTCTCTCTCTCCGCAGGCAGGTGCCGCCGTCCTGGCGGGAGCGGGTGGGCGGGGCCAGGTCGTGGGGCTACCCTGAGCCGCCGCCGCCGCAGCCAGGAGGGGCGGGGGCGGGGGCGGGGGCGGGACGGGACGGGCGCGCGGGGGGTGTGGCCTCACCGCGGTGCAGTTCCAGTGCCGGCCGGCAGGGGAGGCTCTGCGCTCCGTGGAACCGCGGGGCTCCGGGCCGGCCCAGAACTTCCCGTGCTGACCGTGGCGGGTCGTCCAGCGCTCCTATCCCCGGGGGAAGAAGGCCTGGGTCTTGCACGAGCAACCAGACGCCTGCACTGGAAGTCACGCCTGCCCCTTCCGTGCCCAGCTCACTGGCCAGAGCCCGTCACGTGGACGCAGGAGGCGCGGCCCTAACCCAGAGCCGGCCCAGGGGACACGGCGACGTCACGGTGTTGGTGAGCAACCTGAACGACACGCAGCTGGTTTAAACACTCGCTGGGTTTGGGACAAATCCGTGAGCTCGCGCCCTGGATGCGACCCTGTCAGGGCGTGAAGAACCACAGCCACGGAGGCGCGTCTGTCGCTGTAAGATGTGCTTGGCCTGCCCCGAACACGCGCATTTCAGAGGCTGGACGCCACCTCCAGATGCAGAAAGTGTGTGGAAGGAGGCCCCGCAACGGCCCCAGGTTTCCCCTCCAGCCAGCGGTGACTTTAGGAACAGCAAATACACCCGGACGACGCGTGATCTCCCAGCGGCCCAGTGGGTTGGCTCATTGGCTTAAAAGGAGAAAGGCTGACTCCACCGATGCCACACCCCTTCCCAGGGAACTGCTCTCCTGCAGGACCCTGGCTGGGGGGGGGGGGTCGCTTGGTTCCCCCAGGTCCCCTGTCCCTGGGGGAGGCTGGGGGAGTGCTCCTGTCCGCAGAGGGCCCTGGAGCAGGTGCCCTGGGCTGTCCTCCAGCAGCGGGGACAGCTGGCCCCACGGAACAGGACGGCCCGAGGCTTAACATTCATACACGCCTGTAGGGAGCTTATTTCAAAGTCGTTTTTTATTCAACGGTTATTCGGCAATATACAATACCGTGTAGAAACAAGCGTTGGGACTTGTTTCCGATGTATATTTAAAAATAAATATTATCGACAGTGAATTTTAATTAATGATACGATGTTTCTTTTTTCAATCAAAATGTCTCAAAAGAAATAATTTACTTCAATAAAAAAGGTAAGCCCCCGAAGAAAAAAGTAAATGAAAACAAGTCCCTAAACACAGCAATCTACTGAAAATATTTTGCTTTGTCAGGAAGGTGGGGAGCCGGCGTTTTCCGCGTCCTGTCCTGGAGGCAGCGGCTCGGGGGGTCGTGCACATGAAGGCCGGGGGGCGACGTGGAGAAAAGAAAATGCCGGGAGGCAGGGACCGGCCAGCCCCAGGCGCCCGGCCCGGGCCGGCCGCCGCCTCCTGCCGAAAGTGGGCATGTTACTTCAGGCGCTCGACGGCGGCGTGACCTCCCCCCAGTACAACGGGTTCGTTTCCCGCATGGGCTTTGTCATGCTCTTCTCTGTCTCTGTGTGTCCATTGGTGAGGCGGTCCTCCCCGCCCCCCGGGGGCGGGCCAGCAGGGTGGCTGCACGGGGGAGCGCAGGACCCCGACGCGGTGCCGGTCAGTGCCCCGCCAGCAGGCCGAGGAGCTTATGCAGGGCCAGCAGGAGCAGGGACAGGAGTGGGTCCGCTGTGTAGGTGTGGCCAGTGCCTGCGGGGGCCAGAGAATGGCAGGGTTACTGGGCACCGGATCCAGGCCTGTGCACAGACCGCCCCGTGAAACACCCCCCACCCTGGCCTCCGGATGGGCCTCTGCTCTGTGGCTGTTCCAGGGACTGGCTTGGTCAGACAGCGAGACATCCAGCCTTGAGTGGGCTGTGCAGAGGGGAGGCCGAGTCCCGGCCTCGCTGAACAAAAAGACAGTGTGCCCCCTCTCTCATTCCTGCCCCTAATACTATGCTACAAAGTGCCCTCAGCGTTTAAGGCCCAACCCCCCCCCCACACACACACCTCCTCCAGAGAGTCTCCATGATTGCCCACAACTCCAGCCCCTCCAACCCCTGCTTGAACCACACAGCTGGGCACCCACATGGTTTTGTGCCAGTCCTGTGCTTGGAGTCACAATGGGGAGCTCGAGTCACTGGTTGGGGGTGGAGAGAGGGCTAGTGTCCCTGAGGAGTGGCCCAGCACCATTCTGGTGGGAGGTCCCTCCCACCTGGTGCTCCAGCTTGGTCACTACCTCGGGCCCCCGGCCTGCCCCCCAGCTCTGCACCTGCCTGTCGTCAGCGTCTTCAGCTGCCGGAAGCAGAGAAAAACCAGCCCAGGAACCCCAGGCTTCTCCCCAGAAGGCGGGGTGCTTCCCCCAGGGTCAGTGAGAGGAGGGAGTGCAGGAGATGCCGGGACCCCAAATGCACCGCTGCCAGAGATGGTCTGCTCAGCCCCTGTCGGGGGCTGAGCACGGCAGGCCTGCTGGCGGCCTGGGAGTGGCAGCGGGGAGACGGCGCCCCTCCCAGGAGGCCGTCTAGAACCTGTTCCGGATCTGAAACCCACGCACCGGTGGGTGCTGGGGTGCTGGGGGCCCATTTCACAGGTCCCGCCACTCGGTGGTGGTGGTGCTGGGGTTAACAGTCCCATTGAAATCCAACGCATCCCCTCCCTGGCCTTTGTGTCCCTCAAGGCAGAATGTGCCCCAGACCCCTCGGTGAGGCAAACAGTGGGCACTCAATCAGTGCCTGCTCAGTGGAGGCAGCTCAGTGCCCTGCCCAGCGGAGCTGGGTGGGCCCAGCCAGGCCCAAGCGGGAGAGACGGCCGGAGCCCGAGGCCCAGGGCAGAGGCACACCCAGGCCGGTGGCCAGGACACGGTGGCTCTTCCCTCCAGCCCCCGCCGCCAGGGCGCCCGCACCTTCCTCCCTGTTTCCCACGGAGGGCTTGTCTTTGGAAACGCAATTTCCCTGAAATGGTTCATGCGGTGTAATGGCCCAGGGATACTGCTCCGAACACTCTGTCACAGGTGCTCGTCACATAAAGTGTGTGCCCAGGAGCTGCCCAGGAGCTGCCAGCGAGCCACTGCAGCCCGGGCTGCGCTGGGAATCACCGTTGCCGGCTGCGTCTCTGTGACATTAGTCCCTAATGCCACCCCAGTGATTCATCCGCCTGCCTGCAGATTCAATTTGTTAAATGCTCGGGGAAGTGTGTCCACACTCACTTTTACATGGATAATGATAATCGAATCTCGGCCTGGCTGTGTCCGCCCGAGTACCCTCTGAGAGGCGGGGGGCCCCTGTTCCCTCCCTTGGCAGGAGGGATGCTGGGGCCACCTGCAGGCGGGGTGGGGGGGGGGCTGGGGCAGGCTGGGGACTTCTGGGCCAAGCCACCAGCCGGGACCTCTCCCCCAGAGGCCTCCTTCCTGGACTATTTGGGCGGAACGGCATGTCCGCAGCCCCAACCAATCGTCCTGCAAGCCCAGCCTGCACCCCGTGTGCACACGCCTTCCCGCTCCCGTTTCGTCCGGGTCCCTGTCTCTGACGTGGTCTCCCCACATCCACTCTGCACCCCTCCACGCTCCACGCCACTGCTCGCCCCCGGCCGCTGCCGCCCCCTGCAGGAGGCAGCCCACACAGCAGGGCCGGGCGGCCAGGCCCACACGGCGGCGGTGTCGTTGGCGGTGGACAGGAGGAGCCTTGGTGAACTTGTCCTTGCTCACTGAGCACCTGACTCGTGGGAAACAGCACCTCCAGGCAAGGACAGGGCGTGGCGCCTTCCCCACTTCCTGTTGCCCCCCCATGCCTTGAAATGGCACAGACAGCCCCGGCCGGAGGGGCTCCGTGGGCTGGGCATTGTCCCAAAAACCGAAAGGCCGCAGGTTGGATTCCTGGTCAGGGCACATGCCTGGGTTGTGGGTTGTGGGTTCTGGGCTGGTCGGGGTGCGTGCAGGAGGCAGCCAATCGGTGTTTCTCACCCTCTCCCTGAATTAAATGGATCCCTGAGGAAGAAACGGCACAGAGACAGAAAGACAAAAACAGCCCCTCAGCCTGATGGCGCTTTCTGGCCGGAAGGCCCATCGCTTCCTCCCGTCTCCCCGAGCTCCACGCTCGCAGCGTGTGTGGAGGGGGAAGGTCTCAGAGGGGAATCTCGGGCCGGAGCAGCAGGAGCAGCCAGCTGGCCCACGACGACGCCCCGGGCAGTCCGTGCTGGCCGGTCCCACAGCCGCCACCGCCACCGCCACCAAGTGCCGGCATCCAGGGAGCAGGTCCCGGCGCAGGCCGTGAGCTGAGCTTGGCCCTCTCCGTGGGTGGCCTGATCCTGCCCCTCGCTCTCTGGCGAGGGCACTGGTGACGACCAGGTGATGGCAGGTGCGGGACCTGCTGAAGGGTTGGGGTTCGAATGCAGCCGGACGGTGTGGGAGGTGAGCGGCGGCGCGGTTGTCACGAAGTCTCGGACCATGCGTGATCCTGGGCGGCCGGAGCTGCTGCCAGGCCCCGGCACGGGGAAGACGTGTTGGCATTCAAAGCCGGGCCTGCCCACGAGCCGGCTGGCTGAACAGCGAGGAAGATCGAAAACGTCAGGAGAAGAACCGGACGGTCAGGAAGGGTGGGGAGCAGACGGAGCCTCCTCCGGACCGTCCGCGGCCTCTCTCGGGTTTGCACTCTGTCTCCACGGGCACAGTGGGCAGCCCTGGGGGGGGGGGGCTGGCCTTGCCTGGGTCACTTCCCGGGGGGCTCACCCTTCACGGGGCGCTGGGCACCCTCAGGTGGGCCTGCAGACCGTCGGCTTTCCTGTCCACACCAGCCCTCTGGCAAGGCGGCCACGGCTGAGCTGCCCAGGGCAGAGCCCGCGGTGATGGTGGAGAGGAGCTCTGACATGCGCAGGCCTCGAGTTCTGGCTGGCGGCTGAGCTCCTCCCGAAGCCACGCCCACGGCTCCCTGCCCAGCAGCCCCGGAACCCCGATCCAGAGGAGGCCAGATCCGGGAATCCGTCACGGTGTGCAGGCTCGCCTTCCCTCCCAGCAGCGCCGGCCCGGAGGACGAGCAGGATCCGGCCGAGACTGGCGGCTCCTGGGGCTGGCCCGTGTGCCCGCGGCCCTTACGTGAGACAACGCGAAGCTTCTCGCTGCCTCGGGCCAGTTTCGGGGCGGGGGGGTGCCTGGTGACAGCGCAGCACTGGGGACAGAGACGAGGACACGCGCTGCCCCTCCGGGCTGCAACGGTGTCTGAAGAGCCAGCCTGTGTGCAGCGGCGCCTCCCATAAAGCTCCGGTGGTCGGGCCCCAGCCCAGCCCCTGCCTCTGTCCACCCAGGGCAGAGCTGATCAATATCGCACTACAGAGGCGCTTGACCTTGGTTGTGCCCTCGGGCGCTTGGGGGCGCCTTAACATTCAGCGCTTCAGAACACGTGCACCTGGCGGGCTTAATGAGAAGCTCCGTGCTGGGTTTGGCTCCGGTGACACTTAGAAAGGCCGGCTCTCCACGCGACTCCTTGCAGAGGCTGCGGCCCGCTGGGGGGCGGGGCTCTGGGCCCCGGGGGGCGGGGCTGCCGGATGACAGAAGGCGGGAGCAGGGGGCGGAGCTGTGGAGAGGAGGGGGAGCCGCGGACTCGCTCTCGCTCGGGGCACTCGGTAGGCGCTCGGTCACAGGCAACTTCCGTGTTATTTGTCATCGTTACGATCGCAGTGCAGCTGTTCTGTCCTCCCTTCGGGGCTTCCCCAGCTGCTGAGAGAATGGCCGTGCCGTGACGGGACTGACCACTCGGTAGCGCCACTCCATTTGGTGTGACTTTCTCATTCTGTGGGGTTCAGGGAGGAGGAGGAGGAGGGGGCAGGTGAGGCCTTCAGAGACTTTCCCAGGACTGACCTACACAGGAAGACGAAGATCCCTGAAATCACACCGCCTACAGGAAGCCTCCTCTGATTGCCTCGGCCGGATAGGGCCGGAGACAGATGGCTCTGCCCCGGAGTCACGTGGGTGCCCTGACGCTCCTCAGTGGGGCCCGTGGTGGCCGTCGCCGGCCCCCGCTCACAGCAGCCCTGATGACAGGACGGTGTGGGGCCAGTAATCACCCCCCCCCAACTGGCTACTGTCGGTGGGGAGGGCGCGCCTCTCGCCGGCTGTCAGTGAGGCTTGGCCACATCCTTCACGAAATCCTCTGCTCCATCTTTTCAGGGGCTCGCCTTTCTGGGGCCACTCCCGCCACATTCGCTTCCTCCTTAAAGACGCGCCTCCAACTGGACAGGAGTTTGGGAGAAGAGTGTTGATTTCAGGCGACGGTTTCAGGCCCCCGAGGGTCCCAGGTGATGGAAGGGGCGGGTGGCCGCGCCCGGCCTGCTGTACCGTCTCCGCCGGCTCCGCCATCCACCGGGGGCAAGGGTGCAGAGCCACGGCCTTCTCGCTCAGAGCCCCCTCTGCGCGTGGTTTACGGTTGCCATGGCGACACCCAAGGAGGCTCCCCTCCACGGCTCTCAGCTGTAGCGGCCTCTCCGAGGCCAGCACACCCGTGGCCTTGGCCGTCTTTCTCTCACTGTTGACTGAAACTCGGAGAGCCGCTCTCTGTGTGGGCTCTCTGCAGGGGCCCGGGGGCCTCTCCTCGCAGCCGGCGCCCAAGGCCAATTAGAGGTTCACACGCCGCGGATCTGAGCCCCCGGGTCCCTGCAGTGGGGACCCTCCTGCCCGCGTGCGAGCCGCCGCCACAGACGGAGTTCTCGGAGGCCGATCTCGGCGCCCTTCCCAGTGTACAGGGTTTGTCTGGGAGGGACTCTGTTTTGGTTTTTTCTTTCTTTTTTTTTTTCTTTTCTGGAAACGGCAACCAGCAACAAATGGCTCATGAAAAATAGGTCAGCATCCAGATTAATCAGGGGCCAGATGCACGGACGTGGCTGAGGAGGAGCCGTCTCCCGGGCCGGCTCTGTCACGCTCGCTCGTCCAGCCCAGACTGCTTTGAAGCACAAATATTAAAATGTCTCTTGACAAATGAGATGTGAAATAAATGAGTTTTCGCATATAAACTTTCAGTGCGAAATCTGCGTCCGGCTGCTTTGGGCACACACAGGGCGTGGGAAGGGATTTTTGGCCGGGCGATGCAGGAGCTGAAGGGTAGGGGTTCACCTAAGCGCCCCCCACTGCACCCCCAACCCGGCGTTACTGAAGGAGCGCCCCTGAAACCCAGCAGCGCAGCCCCGCCTGGGACTTCCGACTGCCCCCCACCCAGGAGCAATGGCTCACCAGGCCACTATGTGGGCAGGTGGGCAGGGGCCAGCCCCGGAGTTGCCAAACCGACACAGCCAGAGCGCCCACCTTAGTCATTAGGGACTCGGCTCTGGGTGTGTCCCGGAGTTGGGGTGGGGTGGAATCCATCCCCCCCTTGGAGAGCTGGGGTGTTCCTTTGGTGCCCCCCAGGTTCCCCATCCACTTTCCTCCATTCTGTCCTGAGCTCTGGGAGCCCCCCGCAGGCCGCACCCCCACAGCTCCCAGTGGGAGGCCGGGCAGGATCAGGGAGGGCAGGAGGGGAGTGAGGCCGTGCTGGGCGGCGGAGGGTTGGCTGTGTCCCTCCACCGGGGCCACAGCTCCTATCAGACTGGCCTCTCCAGGTTCTGCTAACGGCCTCCTCTGCTTGCTCCCTGAGGCCAGCCACCTTCCACGCAGGGGTTCCCTGCCACGGGGGGAGCTGCCCTGGGGCCGGCCTGGAGATCGCAGCTCTGACCAGCTGTGCCGGGCAGTTGGACTGGCCGTGGCGGGGCTCCAGGGCTCGGGCTCCCGTCGGGGGAGAGGGCGGCTCCGTGGGAGTGAGTGCTGGACTTTGGCCTCAGGAACGCTTTCGTGGGCGCTGCCCGGGTCCCTCTCAAAGGCCACTTTCCCACAGCGCATCCTGGACGCGAGAGCCTTTCTCGGCCCCTGCTGCCTCCGGAGCCTGGCCTCCGGCTGCCAGCCACCCAGCTTTACTTCCTGCGGCCCCTGTCCGGCCGGAGCAGCCCTGACGGGTGGTATCGTGCACACGCGCACGGCCTTTCCACACTGGGCGCCCCCTGGTGGGCAGGGACTGCCTCGTCTGCTTTCCAGACGGAGAAGAGCACTCGGAGATGTTCAGCCGGATGCCGACAGTCACACAGCACCGCGCGCACAGCGGCCTCCCCAAGCCTCCGCTTCGCCGGGAGGAGCGTTCCAGCCGAGACTCGCGCGTACTTGCGGGGGCCCGAGAGGATGGCGCGGAGGGGCCTTTCCTCCGCCAACCAGCCTGCAGTCAGTGGAGCACCCTGCATGTCCGTAGGCACTTTTCCAGCGCTGGACGGATGTGGCTAACTTCCCCGAGGAGTCCCACTCCCCTTTCCCTGCGATGCAGCCAGGACTACATTTCCCAGCCTGCCTTGCAGCCATGCCAGCCGAGGTGACTGAGTGCAGGCCCCGGAACGAGGATGGAAGTAACATTTTCCACTTGTCAGCTGGGCCCTTGAAGACTCGCCCTGCCGCCCCCTGCAGCAGCTGGTCTCCGAGGGAACGCAGCCCCACCAACATGACCGCGGAGGCTGGCTGCTCTCGTTCTTCCAGGAATGACACAGGCTTGGAGCCCTTCTAAATGCATCGGAAGGAAATCAATGAACTGGATACAATGTAGCAGCCTCTGAGCCATGTAGCCTCTCCTCCTCTGCTTGTGGGCTGCGAGCTGGTGCCCACCCAGAGTGAGTGGCCCCTGGAAGCCACTTGTTGAAGCATCTGGGCCCTGAATGACTGCCTGGGGCACGGCCACCCCTCCCCCAGTCCAGAGCGGGACTCGACGTGAACCGGAAACAATGCATTTCCGAGTGTTAAAGCCGCTGGCCTTTCGGGTTTGTTTGTCTCCGCAGCCAGTGCTGTCTTAAACTGGTGGCGGAGGCTGGAAACTCTGCAGCCAGCTGGGGGAGCACCGCTGGGCTGACGCACCTCACAGTACAGCCTGCATCTGAGGCCCCCCTGGATGTCCACGAAGACCCCCGAGGCTACCCCGCCGGACAGCCACGCGGCTCAGTGGGGTCAGGCGGCATCCAGACACACCCAGCCCGCATCTAGAGAAGGCTCCCCGCACCCCAGCCCGCACATGCACAAGTGCACCGCGTGAAGACTTCTAGTAGCTAACAGTCAAGGCAGGAAAACAGCGAAGAGAGCGGCAGCGAGGCTGCCCAACGCGGTCCTGGGGCACCCAAGTTACCAACTACAGCAAGGACGCACACGCAGATGACCGGCACGGCCACCCCTGGGCTCGCCCCGCCCCCCGCGGCCAGGCCAGCGCGCCCCTCTCAGCGCCCACCCTTACCGGAGCCATGCCTCTGCCGCAGAAGGACCGCCTGGCCCGGGGGCGGCGGCGCAGATGAAGCAGCGGCTCCAGCGCCCGCGGTGGTGGCGGTGGCGGCAGCGGCGGCCGCAGCGGCGGCTGTGCGGGCCACAGACGCCGCAGCGGCAGGAGGGCTCCCGGGAGGCGGGCTCTTGTCGCCGTGGCTGGGCTCGGAGGTGGTGTGGCCCGCGGCGCCGGTAGCGCCCACGTGGTTGGCGATGGAGGCGGCAGCGGGGCCGTGGCGCCGCGGGCCGCTGCTCTGGATGTGGGACACAGCCTCCGCGGCCTGCATGTTGGGCGGCGCGAAGCGCGAGAGCACGCGCAGCAGCGCCTGGGCCGTGTGCTCCTGCGTGTCGTCGTCGCCGTGGTCCGACACGCGGCACTCGTATACGCCCTCGTCCTGCCGCCGCACCGCCGAGAGCCGCAGCCGGTGCGAGATGTCGTTGCCCTGGACACGCACGGTCTGCAAGAGGGCGGGCTGGGGTCGCAGGCCTGGAAGGGCAGGCTGCCCACGCCCACCAGCGCGCCCCCACGCGGCAGCGCCGCCCCTTCCCCCACCGAGCTGTGCCCAATGCCGGGACCCAGGTGTCCTTCCGCCCCTGGTCTTCCCCGTGGCCTGGGGCTCCCAGCTCTGGCTGGACCCGGGTCGCCCCGCCCACTGCATTGCGTCCCGGTTCCCTATCGCCTTAACCGAAGGCTGCCGGGGCCTGAACAGGGGCAGGGCTCTGCGGCCCGGCCTTCAGTCCGGCCCCCACGGACATTTCTGCACTCCAGAAGCCGGGGTGTGGGCAGAGTGGTGGCCGCAGGAAGCGGCCCGGCCCTCAGAGGATGCAGGTATACCTGCTCACATCCCCTGGCCCTGCACCACTAACCCTCCACCCTCCAAGGGGGCAGGGACCCCGAGGCTGCTGCTGGCCCCCCCGGCCCTCTGCTACCCAGGAACCTGCCCTTGTCAGGTCAGCCCGAGGCTCCCAGGGACAAAGCACTCACCCCCCACCTCCCTGGCCCGGTGGGGACATGGGGAAGCACCCGGTGTGTGGCCCTCGCCCCACACCCAGGGACACCTCTGAACCCAGCCCTGGTCATTTCCAGGCCCTGACGCGTGTGCGTTCCCTCCGGGAAAGCGTGGGCGCGTCACCCCGAGTCACACTCCCCACAGCCCCGGATCTGGGAAGCCAGGCACGACTGCCCGCGCCCCCTGCAAGCCCACAGTACCTGGCACTTCGACCTGGGGCCTACAGCCCCAGCAAGGGCCCTGGGAGTGTGGGGGCAGGGGTGAGGGGCACCAGCCAGAGCAGGGACCCCCCAACCCCTCCAACCACAGAGGAGCAGCCACACCAGTCTTGGAGAGAAAGGCCAGAAGGGGTGATGTGGGCAGACACGCAGGGCCTGCGTGGACCAAGGAGAGTTTTACAGGTGAGCGCAGAGGGGAGGGAGGAGAGTCAAGCCTGGGGCCCTCGATTTGTACAAAAGAGGAACCAATCCCGCTACCGGCGAGAGATGGCGCCTGGACGCGCCAAGCAGCCGCCCGTGCAAGGCCGCGAGAAAGGGCCTACACCGCGCGGCCGCCCAGCCTTTCTCCCGGGGAGGAGGCTGCAGGGCGCGGGGCGGCCAGCAGGGGTCTCCCGCGGCCCACGCTGGGCGCCACACTTACGCTGATTTTAGTTGCATCCTTATTCGTTACCTAAAACGCAAAGAGGGAGAGAGGGAGACATGAGGCTCTCGGCCTTCAGGCTCAAGGGGACGCAGGGGCGCCTCTGGCGCGGGGACCCTCCGCAGGAGGGCTGGGACTTGGAAGCGCTCGGCGGTGGCCGGGGTGGCTGGGTGCAGGGAAGGGAAGGAAGCAGGCGTGCAGCGAGCGTGGGGCCTGGCCGAGGGAGGGTGGCCCCCGCGCCCCTGCCGGCCGAAGAGGGGAGGCTGGAAGGCCAGCGGTGGGGAGCACCCCCACTCCAGCCGGGTTTCTCCCAGCCTTGCGGGACAGTGGAGGGAAGGGCCCGTGCACAGGGCTCAGTGGGAGATGTAGGCGGTAACTCGGGGTGGGACGCTGTGTGCACACACGTGCACGAGTGTGCGTGCGTGTGCTAGGGTGTGCGTTAGAGACTGTGGGGTACCCCCTGGAGGTGACCTGGGGGCTTCCCTGTGCATGGCGCTCTGCGGGCGTCCAGAATCCAGGCACAGAGGAGAGGAGCAGTTTGGCCCTGGCGCTGCCGGGGCCCTCAGAGGGCAGGGAAAGGGGCCCCCCTCCAGCAGCCGGCACCCGTCAGACCCGGGGCCCGCAGTCAGCCAGCAAGAGCAGGCGAGCTGGGTGACGTGTGGCTCTTCAGGGGCTTGGTGTGGCCCTCCGAAGGGGTGCGGGGAGAAGCGAATGGACGAACAGGGTTTGGGGGCAACAGAGTGGACACGGGGAGGGTGGGAGAGGGGCTGCCCCGCAGGGCGTCGCTCTGCTTTCCTGCCCGGTGAGACCCCGCGGCCGGTACCTTGCTCCGGGCACCGGGCGCACCGAGCGCCAGGCCCTGCAGCCGCTCCCGCGGCGGCTCCCTGAGGTACCACCACTGGATCTCCAGCGCGTACGAGGCAGCTCCGCTGGCCCGGAATGCGCAGGGCATTTCGATGTCGTCTCCCTCCCGCACGGTCACATCTTTGGGGACTTCGGTAAAGGTAGCTGGGGGCGGGGAAGGGAGAGGCGTGACCAACTGCGGGGGCGGGGGCGGCCTGGGGCAACCCAAAGCGGAGCGCCTGGCTCAGGCTCACGGCCTTGTGCTTCCCACCCTGCGGCTGCACGCGTGGCCCAGGCGCCAGCAAAGTTCGCTAGCTCTCTGCCGGGTCGCCGTTGCGAGCCGCAGTCGCCGTAGGTTGCTTCTCTCCGGGTCGACCCCGACGCCCCGAGCGGCTTACGCTTCTGGCTCCCGCCCACCAGGCTATCCGGGCTGGGCTGCGCTGGGCTGCGCTGGGCTGCGCTGGGCTGGGGCGTGCCAACTCCCGCGCCCTGCTCGTCGCCCCTCCGCGCAGCTGGAGCCCGGGCCCCGCTCCGAATGACCCGGGCGCGCCGCGGTGGCGACACTTCGCTGCTCTGTTCCCCTACCCCTGCGGCCCCGGCTGCACGCGGGGACCGCTCGAGGCGGTGAGCCTCCCCCTTCTCTTCCTCCTCCTCCGCTGTGGCGACCGGGGCAGGCCGGCTCTGGTGGCCCTGAGGAGAACCCCGAGCCCCCAGGCAGCAAAGTTCCCGCGCTCACCATCGGCCACGAAGAGCAGCAGCAGCGGCGGCAGGTATCCGACGGCGCCGAGCTGGTTCCGCTGTTCCATCTCCCGCGGGGGGCGCGGCGGCGGCGGCGGCGGCGGCGGCGGCGGCGGCGCGGGCTCGGATCCGGATCGGGCTCGGGCTAGGACGCCTCGGAACCTGCCATGGCCCCGCGCGGCGCCCCCTCCCCCGGCCGCCAGCGGCCGCCAATCAGCCCCGCTCCCTCGCCCGCTGGCCCGGTGCGGCTCCGGCTGGGGGCGCTGCGCCGGGTGCGCAGAACGCGAGGTCCCGCCTGGGGCTGCTGGCAGTCGTTCCGGTCCTCCCTCTACCCCCGCGTCCACAGGACGATGGGGAACCGCAGGTTAGTCTCCGCCGGGCGGGCCGGGCACGGGCTGGGCCGCGTCGGGACCCATCCCTGGCCAAGGGAGCGCGCGCCTCGGAGCCGCGAGCAGAATTCCGCCTCCCGGTCTGGCTCCCGGCTGCCACCTCCTCCGGCTGCCGCCGAGCTCTCCCGTCGCCGCCCCCGCCGGTCCCTCCGCGGCTCTCTCCGCAGAGCGAGTGGGCGCTCAGCTGCAGCGCGCGGACCTGGCGTCCGACCCAGCGCAGCGAGGGGACAGCGGGTCCGGCGTGGCCGACCCAGAGCCGGAGACAAGCGGGGAGGGGAAGGGGCGGGGGAAGGGAGGGGGCGGTCAGTGGCAGGGTGCCGAGCCGCCTCCGCCGCTGCATCACCCCGCCCTCCCCTCCCCTCCCCTCCCTTCCCCTCCCTTCCCCTCCCCTCGCACAGCCCGCACCGCCCCCGCCCCGAGCCCCCCCCCACCCCCGCCTCGGGCCCTGCGGGGGTCGCCGGCTGAAACCACAGTCTCTCGGGCTGGAACGCAGCCCCGCTCCGCCCCCGCTTCGGCTGGGGGTCCTCCCACCCAAACTCCGTCGCCGGAGACGACCGCTTCTCCCTGCACGCCGCGTGTCCCGCGGCTCTCTCCGCAGACCCCCGCCCCTAACTCCTTACCCCGGTCTGGGCGCCCAGCCGCACCGCTCTTTGTCCCAGGCCCGGGCCATGGCGGGCGGGCGGGCGCCGGGGCCCGGGGAGAAGGGCGGAGCGCCCTGCGGGGCCGGGGACCAGGCCGGGTGACGGCGGCGACACCGGGAGTCTACAGCGTGCGAGCGGGAAGTGAGCGCGGAGCGCGGAGCGCCGGGCGGGCGAGCAGGTGCCCGCGGCGCGGAGAGCGCGCGAGCGAGCCGGCGAGCAGAGGCCGTGAGTGACGGCGGGGGGGCGGGGTGAGGTGGGGGGCGGCCGGCACGACTCCTGTTCCCGGAGGATTCCGGGCGGGGTGGGCTTCCTGCAGCTCAGTCGCAGGCCCTCGCGTCTCCAATGGCTCTTCGCCGGTCTCGCCCCGCCCCCGCCCCCGCTTACCGGCTGTACCGGGGATTCCCGAGGCGGCGGGGAGGCCGAGGTCGCTTCCACAGGCGGGTCCCGGAGCCCATCCCCCGCATCCGGATACCTTTCCCGGCCCGCACCCAGAGCCTGCCCCCGCCCCCTGCGGGAGCGCGGTCCGATCCCCGAAGCGGAACGTGCCGCGCGGGCTTGCGGTTCGCCTGGGCGCTCAGTCGCCGATCTGCGCAGCCCGGCCTGAGCCCCGCTTGCGTCGGTTCCCGGGGGAGTCCTCGGCCAGTGCGTTTCCGTCTCCCTGTCCCTGCGCTCCCGGCCCCTAAGCTCTCGGCTCTGACCGAGGCTGGGGGGTAACGACGCCCCCGAGAGCCAGTGCAGGAGGGGGAGACTGAGGGCAGACCCTTCCCAGAGCCCCCCTGGCCCCGGGCCGCCTCAGACTGGAAGCCACACAGGTCCCTTCAGAGCTTCGTCCTCACCCACGGGGGGGGGCGGGGGCGGGGGCGGGGGGGGCACCCTGGACAGCACCCTTGACCCCTCCGAGCCTGGGTTTCATTTTCTCCCCGAAGTCCAGGAGTTGTCCCTGGACCATCAGGCCAGCCGGCTGCTGTGCCCCACTTGCCCAGGTCCCGGCTCCCACGGAAGGAGTGTCCAGGGCCTTCCCCTCCCCCGAAGCTTCTCTCCAGGGGCCCCAGCTGGCGTGGCCAGCGGCCCTCTGTCATTCCACCCATCTCCATCAGGGACGGCCCTGGGTGGTGACCGGAAGGCCTGCTGGGACCCATGGCAGCCTCTGCTTCTGAAGGGGGAGGCGGCCTCGCACTGTGCTGCTGGGGTGCGGGGGTGGGGGGATTCCAGCCGATTCACAGGGTGTCCGGTCCCAGGCAGGGTTCTGACGGAGGAGCTGGCCGGCTGTGGTCTGCTGTGGTCTCCAGGGCCCTGGCAGGGTGCACGGCGTGGGGGCGGGGCGGGGCGGGGCAGGGGTGGGGGTGGGGGGGTGGGGGGGTGGGGGGGTGGGGGGGTGGGGGGTGGGGGGGGGGAGACCCCCCACTAGGGGGAGTCCCGCCCCCTTACTTCTCAGGCCTGCGAATCCTCCACAGCCGCAGCACCTGGTGGGGTGGGGTGGGGTGGGGTGGGGTGGGGTGTTTGTCCCTGGCCGCATGAGCTCCTGTTGTTACGGAGAGGGAAATGGGTGCGCTCCTCCCCGCGCTGGTTCTCAGCACAGCCGCCCGCGAGCCCTCTCACACAGAGGTTGGATCCGTCCCCTCCTCTGCTGGGGACCCTGCAGAGCCCCCCCCAACCCCGGACAAACGCCAGTGGCCTTGCAGTGGCTGACAAGGTCAAACCCTCTGCTCCCCACCCCCACTCGGTCCTCCTGTGTGATTTCTGTCCTTCCCGTGGCCACCTCCCCCGGCCACCCTGGCCTGCTCCCTACAAGGCCGGGCACCGGGTGTGCGCCCCGGGCAGAGCCTCTGTGTCACCTGCCCGGGCGGCCCCTGCCTGGACGCCGGCTCCACCCTGTTCCTCGGTGAGGCCCACGAGGCCACCTGTCCGCTAGTGCAGTCTGCCCCCGTCCACCCCGGCACTGGCCACCCCTCGGCCTGCGAACCTGCTTCCTGTCCCCGCAGCGCTAACCGTCTCCGAACATGTAGAACGTCCCCGTGTGCTGGCCTTCCTGTTTGTGGCTGGGCTCGCCGGCTGCTTTGCTCACTGGCGCACCCCCAGCACCCAGGACAGGGCTGGGCATCGAACGGGGCGTTCAGGAAGTAGTTCAGGAAGTACCGGCGGAGTGCGGGCAGGAGCTCATCCAACCCCACGGCAGCCCTGTGGGGCAGACGCGGTGATGCCACCCCGCTGCGGAGCTGAGGTGGCTGGAGCTCGGAGAGCTGGTGGCACTCGCCCAGGGTCGCACAGCTGGGCGGCCTCCACGCAGGCCTGCCTTTCTGTTGGGTGCTAGTCCTTCACCCAGATACCCACGTTCTCCCCACAGCAGGCGAGACCCAGGGTCCGGGGCCCGGAGTGGGTGCAGAGCGGGAGGCCCCTCTGCCCCCGACGGACACGGCCTGCCGAGGCCGGGCTGGCCCTGGGGGGGTCTTCCCTGCTTGTCGGCTGCACGCATTCCAGCGGCCCTGTCGGGGCACGGTCTGTCTGCTCCTCTGCCTCTGCCCCTGCCCCCGCCCCCCCAGTGGGCTGCGAGGGCAGCGGCCACTGCAGATTTCTTCTCCGTGTCTCTAGCTCCCCACTGGGCCTGACCCACACTTGGGGCTCAGTAAGCTAGAGCACTTGGGGGGCGGGGTGTTGGAAAGGAGCAGTGTGCCACTCTGGTGCCAGGGTTTCCTGGGGGCGGGGCAGGGACTTCCGCCTCTTTGACGGAGCCCTGTGGCCAGTGGAGGATCGGTGAGCTGGAACCAGGCTGCAGTTCCCCGCCCCCTCACCGTCTGGTGCCGGGCGGCCCCCTCCTGCAGGGTCCCCGTGTCCTGGCGGGGCGCGGGCTCAGGGGCAGGCGTCTGTGATGGAGCCTGTGTGTGGCTTCCCCAAAGGGACCTTTCTCTCTGGGAACACAGCCACTCACTCGGCCCTGCCCACCGCCTGGGTCCCTCGGGCCTCCACAATGCTGGCCGGTTCAGACTGAAGCCGGTTGCCGGCTGGCGGGCCTGCGGGAGCCCTCCGGGACCCGGCGTCTCCAGGCTCCAGCACGCAGCAGCGGCGGTGGCTCAGCCCAGCCTTGGGGGCTGCAGGACTCCCCTCCCCGTCTCCACCCACAGACCCTGAGAGGCGCTTGGGGTCGCTGTGCACAGGGACCCTGAGGGGGCCTCTGTCTCGTGGTCACGGGCCGCAGGCTGCCGGACCCCCACCCTCAGCCTGCCGCCTCCTGCCCGCTGCTGTTCCACACCGTGGGGTCTGCGAGTGGGGTCTGCACGGCCTGGCCAGACTGCTTTGTGGCCGGAGTCCCCGACCAAAGGCGTGTCCGAGAGTGCCCCTCAGGAAGACGGCCCGGCCTCTCGAGAGCACCCTGGAGTCACAGCCCTAGGTGACATCGCCCCCGGGACTCCCCATCAGAACGCGCTTCTCCGGACGCCGAGGCCCCCTCCGAGGGCTGGCTCCGACGCCGCCTTCTCAGCCGGCTGTTCCCGGGCTCTTAGGGCTGTGTGCGGCGGCATCGGTGTGGGGCGACGGGCTGTGAGGTCAAGGTGCAGCCCAGCTGTACACTTTTCTGTCAACGGTCCTGGCACCCACTGTCCCTGGCAGCCTACAGGGAAACACCAGGTTCAGGGGGGATTTTCTTTGCAGCCAAGTCAGTCAGTCGGTCGCTAGCTGTCAGTGTCGGGGGACACAGGCCTGACATCAGCCCTAGGAAGGCTCCCTCCCCTCCAAGGGCACATGCCAGGTCAGCGGCCCCAGACTGGGGGCGGGGTGCGGGGTGGCAGGGGTGCGGGGTGGCAGGGGGCTGGGGGCACGGCCCCATCTGTGCCCTGGGCGACAGGGAAGGAACCGGTGGCCCGACGCCCCCCAGCATGAGGGAGGCGAGTGGAAAAGCTCACAGACTGGGTTCCTGTCGCCCTCTTCCACCCTGCCTTCCATCCGAGGAGGACGGCTGGCTCTGTCCCCAGATCACAGGAGACAGGAGAGGGCCCCTGTCTCAGCCGTCAGGGCGGCTGGCCACCCCCGCACGTGCACCCCACGGGACAGCCTGTTGGGGGGGGGGTCAGCCTGTGCCGGGCAGCAGCAGTTGGGGACCCCCGGTCG